TTTACCAGTTCAAGTGTGTAAGATTAGTGTCTGGTTACTAAACTGCGCAGGTAGGTTGACCTCTAGGAGCAGGATGGCCACCCCTGTCATAGGAGAACTGGGCCTGACTGTAAGTCCACACACCCTGAGAACTGTGTATCTGCACCCGGTGAGCTCGAGTGGTGTCATTACAGCAGGACTCGCTCCTGTTCACTGAGTCATGTGTCAAAGCAGCTGGCTGAATGTATCTGTCAACACTGATTCCACTAACCTGACACGATCCTTGTCTGAAGTTTACCAAGATGTATTATTTACAGTAGAGTTAAGAGCATTACAGCACACATGAGCAGTCACATCGACTTTGTGGGGTGAAAAATCAGTCAGTGAAGCTATTAAATGGAAGCTCATTACATTACTTTTTCCTGTCAGGAGCTACATGAAGAAACTAAATACACCAGCATTCTAATAAAAGGTCAAAATATATATTGATTATGATATATTTGAACAACTTGACCATACTAATTACAATTCACATCCAATCATGCCTGCATATTAATAAGCACTTTCCATGATATGTTTATCATGCACCACCTCAGCAGTTAAAAATACAGGGGCAGCATGAAACATGCAGAGACATGACAACATTTCCAGTAAGTTAATATAGTGAACAGCTGATGGTTTTTAACAGTGCACTGTGGGAATTTTTAGGATGCAAATGTTTCAGTAACACTGGAACCAATCTGACAGCAGCACCAGAAATGGATGAGTTTCTGGGCTAAGCAGCTAAGGCTGTGTTCACACTTGTAGTTTGGTTCTCTTAGCACTTTTGGTACAGATAAAAAGGAAAAGAATACATTTAGTTAGGGCTACACAATATATCGTTTCAGCATTGATATCACAATGTGAGCATTTGCACTACACACATTGCAGTATTTGACATGTGGAATCAGTATTAAAGTCACAGGAGCCAAGGTTGAACAATGATATGATTTATTGTTACACTTTACTCTACATGTTACCAAAAAGTGTATCATTTGTATATATTTTTAAAGTCTGTTATACTGTGAAAGTATTCCAAGGCAGTTTTAAGCATTTGGGCACAACAATTTATAATGTTTGCAATTTAAAAAAGAATTAATGAAAGTCTACACAGTGTAACTTTACGTGTATAAATTCAATTTATGTGCCAGAATACTTCTAGACTCCCAAAAAAACTATAAAGAACTGTTTATTTCATTAGTATCTTTGCCGGGGTGCAAACCACGGGGGAGCTCAGCTCCCCTAAATAAGGCATGCCTTCCCTGAAAACATGATTTGTGCAATTTTGGTGGGGTCACAAAAAATATTGACAATGTGTTATTTTGACTTGCGGTTTCAGTATTGTGTAATGTGATCATGGATTACTATATGTTAAAGTACAAAAATATCATTCATGCATGCATGACGGCGATTTACACCTCAAGTAAGAAAAAAGATAACTACACATGCTCTTCTTGTCATTAGCATCAAGATGTGGGGGCGCTGAGGAGCAAAGTCCAGTCATGTCAAAGACTGCAAGCCAGATGCTTCCATATAGATGTTGAGACACTGCTTATTCATTTTCCGAAACAAATGATGTGACGTTGTGTTTCGTTTTATTTGCTTCATACAGTAAGCCAATACAATGTTTTTTTGTTTTTTAACACTGTGACATTGCTGTAAACATGTTGGACAATGCTGAAAGCAGGTAAACTTGACAAAACTTAGCCTCTTTCAATGGCTTTTCTTTCACTTTTGAATTTGCGATTACGTTTTACATTCTATAGGCCTATGTAAAATACAAAAAGCATATGTTGTCCCTACTGACATCATCTTGATCTTATAGAACGAATAGAAAAGTGGTAGGCTACATGACGAGTTTATTCATTTTGTTGTTAAGTGAAACACATTCATTTTTCTTGAATTTATGTAAAGTAATATATTTCTCTCACAGAAGCACTGCAGGTAAAATTAGGCAACGATGTTATGTTGTTTAGGCTGCTGTTGTTTGTGCATGTAATATATATATATATATATATATATATATATATATATATATATATGATACTTTCAAGGGTCAAAAAGGTTACTGAAGGGAAAACAAGTGATTTTTAGCAAGAAAATAAACCAATATCGTGGTCTTTTGTTCATTTAGCCTACTTTGTTATATTAGTCACAATTATATAAATATTTGTTTTATATTTGTAGATTTTTTGTTTATGCATTACTGTTTAACGACAGGGATCATGTTTGTTTTATAGCCTATATGTGCCAAGGGACTCTTAAGATCAAAGCGATCTCACCTCCGTTAGAAAATAACAAAAGTGGGCTCCACCATAGGCCATGGTATAGTTTGAACACTGATCTTTGCTACTGTATTAATCAGTGCCTGTGATTTATTGTATTTTATCCAGATGAAATGTCCAGCAAAACTATCCCAATCAGTGTACAACTACAAATTCTTTCCAAATAGAAACATTCAAGTCATCTGGTAAAATTATACTAAGTAATCGCAATATGTATGGCAGAAAAATGAAATTTTGCAATATCAGTTTTTTCCCAATATCGTGCAGCTCAACATTTAGTCTTTGCTGTTTTTAAAACCATACATGATAGTTTAAAAAAAGACTTTTTATGACAAATATTTTTTGAACTGAACTTCCAAAACAATGCTGTGTTCTGGGCTGAATGCACTCATTGTGTGATACATGTGGTGGTCTTTTTACCAGTTGACATAAAATGTGTAAAGCTGTAAAAACAGCACGTGGATTTCTTCCATCACACACAAATAAAGATCTGTGCAAGGTGGCATTGTGTACCAACATAATTGATTTGACAAGAACATCTATTTGTTTGACCATTTGGTGCTCATTTATGAATGCATCATGTAACATCCTGTGTTGTTTTTGGTCCATTTAAATGTCTTTAGTCTGCAGTTTGTTTTAGCACCAGAGATTGTTTGGAAGAAAAACCAACACACGCTCTTTTTTAGATGCCTCTATCTGGTTCTTCAACATGCATCAAGATTCAAATGACAGCATTCACTTATTCAAATAAGAGTAAGCAATCAAGCATTTGCAGAATTGTTTCAATCATTTAAAAATGTGAACAAGAATGCTAATAGGGGCAGAGCCCTCATAACCCTACTGTAGACACGTGAAAGAAAAGTGCCAAAATGTAGACGTCCACATATTATGGGCATTCTGCTTTTACTGAATCTTTTGGTTTTGTTGCCGCATCCATCTGTTTATTTATTTTTACTGTCTGTTTAGAGCAATGTTGTAGCACCTTTTTGCCCAAGACAAATTTCCTCTCTGGGACAAAAAAGTTTATCCTATCCTATCCTATCCTAAAAAAAAACATTAATGACGTTCAAAACATCACGCGATATCTGCAGTAGTGGTTTTTGGTGGAGACAAGCAGACATTACCACTGTTTGCACTGGGGCAGTCCCGCTGATACACAGACACACAAATTAACGTTATGAAAACTTAAGTTTGTTGTACAGTTGGCGGTTCACTTCCGTTATTTGGTACGATTGCATTCCTATCAGAAGTGAACCTTACCAGAGTTCACATGAACCGTACCCCAGACCAATTCTGTCCGGCGAACTTGGGTGCTTACCCGAGTTCAGAAGACGCGTTCACACTAGCTAAACGTATCGTACTCTGATGTCAAACGAACCCAGCTGTGGACCAGAAGTGCTAGTATAAAAGCACCCTAAAAGCCACTCCTTGAGGTTAAATTGTACTTAAGAAACCCAACTACACATCTTTAAGCTTGTTTTGGTCAATAAACACTAAACATACTTTTTTTTTTTTTTAAAAAAAGCTTTTTTTAATCTGTTTTTTTTTTTTTTTTTTTTTTTTGCTATTTTGCAGCTTTTGTTGGAGATTTTGAAGCTCTTCTGGCATCTTTTTTGCCTTAAATGTGCAATATAAATAGATGTTTAACCTGAAAATGACCATGTAGGTCGAAAGGTTTTGACATTAAAAAAAATTTTGGGAGAGGTAAAGTGGCAGTGTACAGATTTTCTTTTGATGTTTTGCTATTGTGTTTGATTTTAATTGAGCACCTGCCTTTAAGATTCCTAGATGTGCACACATTTCTGTTTCTTAGTTACTAAACAGACAAACAATAAATATATTTTAACAAGAGAAAATACTATGAAATATACCCTGAGCCAGTACAGCAGCCACAGCACCCGGTTGCTGCATTGCAACAATGAAAAGATTTACCAAAGCAAACAGCTTCAGACAAATATCTTATAGCCTAGTGGTTTTCAAAAGATCGGGGGGGCAAAGCAGTGCTGGGTGGTCTTTGAAATATTTAAATAAAAAATAAAATCACACAATATATAAAAAAAAACATTTAAAATAAACTAAACTAAATGTTATAAAAAATAAAATAAAATGCATACGACGCAGATAATACTTTAGATCTTTCATAAAATACTTTTTTTACCCAACAGCCCATTTTGAGGGATGTAAACAAAAAAAACAAAAAAATGGTCCCAATGTATTTCCTGTTTTACAATTTCTATAGCTTCCGAGAATCTAAAAAGAGACACATATTGATAAATAATGCCATAACATCTGTTTTAACATTATGATTGAATTGCCTCTTGTTACAGTTAAGAAATAGTTTGATGATAAGCAGGAAATGTTCATGGGCCAATGACAACCCCACATTGAAACGGTCTATATAAATGTAGCTTTTATGTATGTAATAGGCTAATATAGCCTATATAGATTTACATTTCAGGATGTAGTAAAGTAAAATATTGAAAATAACCAAATAAACTAGATTGGCATATTTTTACTTCAAAAGTAGTAAGGTGAAAGTAATGACATAAGCTTTTACAAGACAAACAGGTATGGCAGTAGAAAAGATATTTCGGATGCAACTGACTTTACCATGGTAAATCAATCATCAATCTCCTTCACCAAAAAAAAACGGTTGTTGACCTAGATGAGACGATTATCCACGGCGTTCAGACTCACCTGTAGCAGGTGTTTCGGGAACCCACTTCAGCTGGCCGATCTGGCGCACCTGAAACGCTGTTTTCACCTCGTGACAGCTGTGAGCGCGCGTGGCGGACAGTGTCGCGAGCTCCACCGCGAGCACCGTAATAATCCAGCTGACATTCACGCGTGACATGACGGCATTTCAGTGGAGAAATCAGTGCCGTGGAAATGCTTAATGATCTGAGACTGACTGCAAAATGTGTAAAAAAAAAGGAAAAGAGGAAGTCGCCCGTGTTGAACTTTCACATGCTGCACCGGCTGTATTGAGTCCTTCCTTCCCAAAGCCAGACTGGAGAAGAGCCGCCGCTGCGTCCCGTTCACGGAGAGTGTCACTTTCATTCAGCATGTGGAATCATTCAGAAATCTCTCTCTCTCTCTCTCTCTCTCTCTCTCTCTCTCTCTCTCTCTCTCTCTCTCTCTCTCTCTCTCACTCACACACACACACAATCGCGCGCGCGCGCGCACACACACACTCTTGCTCAGTCTGTCATCAAAGATTTACTTGACTATCAGGATTTACAATACTACAATGATTGCAAAGCACTGAAAGAGCCAAATGTAATAAAAAGATAAGAAATATTTTTAAAAAGTAAACAAAATAATTACATATGGGGTACAAAATCTGGCAAACAAATATCCCCAGGTTAGTAAATAAGTAAATAAATAACGATAATAAACAAACGAATACAGAAATAAATAAATAATGATAATAAATAAATATATAAATAAATAAATAATGATAATAAATAAATAAATATAATAAATAAATACATAAATAATGAAAATAAATAAAAATGAGAATAACTAAATTAGTAAATAATGATAATAAATAAATGTGTAAATAATGATAATAAATAAATAATTAATGATAATAAATAAATACATAAAAATAATGATAATAATAAATAGAAAAATGATAAAAATAAATACATAAATAATGTTAATAAATAAATAAATAATGATAATAAATAAATAATGTTAATAAATAAATAATTGCCACTGCATCTAAACGCATCGAGTGTTTTATTTTAGAATAAAATTATTTTTAAAATTATTTTAGAGTCCCCTTTGTTGTTTTTATTAACAGCTTAAAATATAAAATATGAATTTTTGTAAGTCTTATGTTTGTAAGTTTTTTTAAGTTTGGGTCTTTGGGTCTTTTTCCAAATTTTCAAGTTAAAATATTTTAAAGTTTTAACTTAACTGTAACCTAGACACAGAAAATAATTATTATGAAATTATGACATATACAACATTAAGTAGAGCTGTGTGTATTAGACTAGAAATCAAGACCCTGTGAACTTGTACTGGGCAAAAATCTATCGCATCCGAAATAAAAAATTGTTTTGACAAATACATTATACATATATAAAATGTTAATATAGTTAAAATATTAAATTCATAAACATATGTATATATAGAAACATTATTAGAACACACACATATTATTATTATTATTAATATTATTATTATTATTAATATTATTATTATTATTATGTCAAAACAAACTTTTATTTTGGATGCGATTAATCTTTGCCCAGCATTAGTTTTAACACTAACCTGTTTTTCTGTTGACGCCTAACCATAGACTGGTCCCAATATCGCTATGACTATATACAGTAGATTCACTATTCTTGTTCCTAATCCTAACAATTTCGTCCTGACAAAACTCAACTGCCCCGTGTGAGGATCGAACTCACGACCTTCAGATTATGAGACTGACGCGCTACCTACTGCGCTAATGAGGCTGATGCAATTGGATTTGTAAGTTGGCCGATGAGTTTCTATAAGGATCTGTTGGCGATAGTGATTGGTTATTATACTTTTTTAAAAATCCAATTGCAACTTTTTCATTACCTGCAAATAATGTTCATTGTTTTCTAATGTTTTTTTACGCCCAAAGGCGGTTTACTGAGCAAATTCGTTCTGCTAGTTTAAAAATTAAACAATCCACTTAAACCACTAACTCTTTAAATAACACTAGTATTAAAACTGATTTGGCAGCTGATTAATCTGTTTAGTCAGAAATCATGATGTAATGCTTTCGTGATGAGTTGTCTCCCTCTAGTGGTCATCTGTTATTAAACCCTACATGACCTGCATAATGTGTTTAGCTGTATTTGGGTTAGGCTATGTGTTTCTTTATTCTGCTATAACAGACCAAAGACAAAATAAATGCACTCTTATTGTTACAGTTCTTATTACAGGCTTTGGTACATTTCTCACAACACTACTTACATTTGCACAACAGTTAATGCATTTCCCAAAACATTTAGTACAATCTGCAAAACCTAGTTGATAACCCGCAAAAGCATGCCACATGCTCAAAATGAATAGCCTGATCCTCAAAAGCAAGTATTGATGTCAGTGAAAGTGTCAGTATCATCAATATGAAAAGTCGTGACACCACTGTTGATGAACAAGATACACTACATTCACAATCCTAAACTGCAGTAACATGCGTGGTAACAAGAATATAAAGCAAGATTGCACTTTAAATGTAAAACAATTGGGCCCAAATAAATGTACTGTATAAATACAAATGTTTATTTATTTATTTATTTATTTATTTATTTATTTATTTATTTATTTATTTATTTATTTATTTATTTATTTATTTATTTATTTATTTATTTATTTATTTATTTATTTGTTTATTTATTTATTTATTTATTTTTGTTGACTCTTCTCATTAAATATCAGATTTTTTAAACCTTAATTTCCATGGTTGATTGTCATGGTGAAAAAAACTACTAATCATTTTGAGCAGTGTGGCTCACACAATGACAAATACACTTCATGTTTTGGTGGCCTTGGCCAAATTACTAACACAATAACTAGGTTTTGAGCATGAATTACAGTTTTTCTCAGTCGCTTTGGTGCGTTTCTCACAACACCAGTGCATTTCTGCACAACAGTTAGTGTATTTTTCAAAACAATTAGTACAAACTGCAAAACCTAGATGATGACCTGCAAAAGCGTGTCACATGTTCAAAATGGATAGCTCGTTGTTTTTATCATGACAGATTACTCTGGACATTTTTTCAATGCAAAAAAGTCATATTTTGGTGACACTTGCTGAAAATGCCCAAAACAGCACTAGATACTATTAGCAGCCATTTGAAAATACAGTAAAATTAGACATCACTGCATTTAGTGTGCTATCTGAGCACAAGACACTGAATATGTATGTTTCACATTTTACTGCATTTGCTCTTTGCAATTCTAATTTATTCACAGCATTGTGCAAAAGAATAAATACATCCTTATTTACAACAAACATAAACTTTATTTGGGTAGAGCTGTGCACAACCTACAACATACACAGGTCTGTAAATCATTCATAAAATTGTTCAATTTTTAAGACATTTTGAGGAAAATAATGATTTAAATTTGTTTTATAAAGTTTGCTTGACCGATTTTGACAAGTAGTTCATCGTTTTTGTATGTAACGACTCAAGTAATGAAATGAGGACTTTTAGTTTTATATGGAATGACTATTCAGCATTTACAACTTTAGTTCATTTTGACTGACATGACATAAGCAAATGATAATGTTATAAACAGCAGAGAGTTGTATGAAAGCAATTGATAAATGTCCAAAAGCATCTGCAATTTGTTGGAAGGAATGAGAAACTGCTACTAGGATGTGCACAAATGACTAATTGTTTTGAAAAATGCATTACCTGTTGTGCAAATTTAAATAGTGTTTTGAGAAATGCACCAAAGCCACTGAGAAAAATGTTGGGGTACAATGTTCAATGTAAATGTACATTGAAGGGGTACAAAAGTCAATGTAAATGTTTTTGGGAATAACTACATTTTGCAGACATGCAATACAGTTCTAAAGTTCCAGCAAACAGTTTTGAGATTTGCACTCACAGTTTATAGAATGTTAAGTTTGTTTTTAAAAAGTGCCAAAGCAATTGAGAAAAACTGTCAATTAGAATTGCAAAGAGCAAATGCAGTAAAAATTTGTAACATACATATTCAGTGTCTTGTACTCAGATACCTCACTAAATTCAGTGATGTCTAACTTTACTGTAGTTTTCAAATGGCTGTGCAAATACTGCTGTGTTGAGCATTTTCAGCAAGTGTCACCAAAATCTGACTTTTTGCATTGGAAAAAATGTCTAGAGTAAACTGTCATATGAAAACATTACAAAGCCATTTGAATATCTTGTTCATAAACAATGGTGTCAGGACTTTTCATCTTGATGACACTGACACTTTCACTGACATCAATACTTGCTTCTGAGGAATGAGCTATCCTTTTTGAGCAAGTGACATGCTTTTGCAGGTTATCAACTGGGTTTTAAAGTTTGTACTAATTGTTTTGAGAAATGCATTAACTGTTGTGCAAATGTAAGTAGTGTTGTGAGAAACGCACCAAAGACACTGAGAAAAACTGTAACATAAAGGTTTTTGCCAGTGTCAATAGAAAAGATGCTTGAAAGGAGATGTGTGATGTTCCAATTTAAACCACTAGAGGCTCTCCAAGACCATGCGAACCAGACAAAGCTTTTAGCCTCTTCTCAAAACTCAATCACAAAACCTTCAGTTACCCCATAGTTATATACATATGTAAATATCTATGGTGTTACCCCATATTTAAGCAAAATGATAGCAGAATGATAAATATATATATAAATAAAACATGTAAACAAACAAACAAACAAATAAAAAAATACGACTTATGTGTAAATACATAAATGATATTCTAATATTCTTTGAAACTCTTAATAGTATAAGGTATTGTGTAATTGTGTTATTTATTATTTTTTAATTATACAGGTTTTGTGGATTTACTGAATCTATTATATATGGAATTTATCAGAAAGCTTTATACTGCAGATGTCTGATAACATTTCTTTAAAAAAAACTATTTCAACATAAAATAACTGTTGGATAACAAATTCCACAGAGTTTGCTTCTCTGAGATTAAACATTGGTATTGTGTTGTCTAAAACATGGCACCTTCTGTTTTTGTTTTTGTTATTTTATCAACAAAAAGCATTGTCAGCATTAGTACTGTATTCTTGACACATTTGTACTGTTGTCTTTGGCTTTTTGTCCTCTGCTTTCATCAGTCTGTTCTTTTTTTCTGTTCTTTTTTTCTTTTCTTTACTTTTTTAACTGTATTTTTTATGTAAGTGTATTTAATGTTTAATGTTGTGTTTCTATTTTAGGTGTGACTTTTTTAAATTCTGTAAAGGGTCTATGGATGAAAAATAGCCATTCTTGGCTAATTCTGGCACATTTTACAGTAATGTTTATTAATGTGCATTGACCCTGTAAACAAATAAACTAAACTAAATTATGCCAAAATGTGTCAATTAAATAAGCAATGCTATTAGTAGTTTATAAAATATGACAAAAAATGTTTCTTGAAACACATACAAATATATCATTGTTTTAATAATAAAACCTGATAAATAAATAAGTCATTTCTTATGTTAAAAAACACAACTTAAAATACAAGCAAATATACATACAAATATAGTAATTTTAATGAACGTAATTCTACGTTTATATATAAAATATATATATTTAAATAATAGTAAAAATAACAATAATTGTTATTTATTTGTTAGATAAAAATACAACAATATAAACAAACAAATATCAAAATACTTTTATTTCACACATTATTAATTATATAAAATAACACTTATATTTATATTAACTGTGAGCACGGAATGTACTATTTCAGATGTCTTGGATGGACTTTTATTTTAAAGTGTCGTCACAGTTGTCAGCTCTTCTCCGTTCACTCAGCGCCGTTTAAAAAACTCCAGTTTCTCACACACTCGCTCAAACGCAGACTCAACGAGTGCGGGGCTCTGTCTGCAAACCCTGTTCGAGGAGTACAACAGCAACTCTGTCATCCTTTGCATTTCCAATCAATGGCCTTCATCATGATGAAAAAGAAAAGGTTTAAGTTTAAAGTGGATGTGGAGCTGGAGGAGCTGTCATCTGTCCCATACGTGAACGGAGTTCTGTTCTGCAAGGTCCGACTGACGGACGGAGGCTTTTCAGAGGAGTCTTCGAGGTGAGACAAACTAACTTAAAGTCATCAATTGTTTTATATTAAAATGAAACATTTATGTTTTGGCAGAAATAATAAAGGATCATTTTAAGCACTATCTATTTTTTACTTGTTAGGGCGGATTTGTGTTTAACTATATTGTGTTATTGTTATCAGTGATTAAGGACATCTAACGTTAAGTTAGCCATTGAAAAATATGTTTGTTTTAATCTTAATTTATTTAAATTCGTTAGCTTGCCTGATTAATTTTGTTATATATAATTAAGTTAGACGTAGACTGACAGACTAACAGAAGAGTTTGTTTTTTAGTCTTCAATTCAATAGAATGCATTTACATCTGAAATGATGCCGAGTCAATTACTGTATGTAGCCCTGTAAAGTTTTTGCTAGAACGTGTATTTTGGCAGGGATCAAATGAGGGGGGCGGGTTTGTAAGGACCGCAACAGGTCTGCAAAAGTGGGCAGTGGTTGATTAGCTAATCCTTTCCTTCCTCCAACCGTCGAGGCTGGAGTCTCTAGACTTGTGCATTTTACAAAATGCTAACAGACCTGTGTAGTCCCAGTCCAGTCTGTCGGAATGCCAGACGTTTCTCCTCAGAAACACTGCGGATAAATGTTTACCTCAGTGGTTTGGCATTTCCGGACACTTGCTGTAGAAGAGTCTTTTGAAGGAGTACAACACAAACATATTCAAAGTCAGCGAAACAGCTGCAAGAAGCATTGTTCAACGTTTATTACAGAATGCACAATATTTCACAACGAGCAAATATGACGTAAGAGACACTGTAACAAACTAATCCTCTTCAATTACTGAAATGCGTCTTCTCGTTCAAACATGCTTCAAATCCCTTTACAAACGCTTTGTCCAAATTATTTCACATAATAACAGTTACAATGTGGAGTCTATCTATCTATCTATCTATCTATCTATCTATCTATCTATCTATCTATCTATCTATCTATCTATCTATCCATCTATCCATCCATCCATCCATCCATCCATCCATCCATCCATCCATCCCTTCCTTTCTATCTGTAGGTCTGTCTTTCTGTTTTTCCATCTAATGTTTCTGTCAGGTGTCTATCTGTTGCTACCTGTTTGTCTATCTACCAATTTTCTCTGTCTCTCTATGTCAGTCAGTCTCTGCCCACCTGTCATTGTTTTCCTGGCAAATCGTTGTACACAGTGTCTGTCTGTCTGTTATTTGTTGTTTTCTATTATGGTCCTTCTTTCAGTCTAAATATCGGTCAGTTTCTCTCTGTCTCACTCTCTTTCTTGTGTTTTTTTCTGCAGAGAGCCAGTTTTGGTGAATTGCGTTAAATGGAAGAAAAGATTCTCCTTTATATGTAAGATGAGTGCTAATGCCGGGACAGGGGTGCTGGATCCTTGTGTTTTTCGGGTATCTGTAAGAAAGGTACAGTTTTAACATACTATTATCATTAAGATGAACTGTAGAGATACTTTTTCTGTGCAAATGTTGTTGGATCGGGTGAGATTTTCATTCAGATTTGTTATGTTCTCTTATGAAGGAGCTCAAAGGTGGGAAGACGTTTGCAAAGGTAAGCTCTGTTTATCCATGGATTATGAAATGTTTTCTTTCAGATTACTGGCGCTGACACTGTGTTTGTATGTCACACAGCTTGGTTTTGCTGATTTAAACTTGGCTGAGTTTGCTGGTTCAGGAAGCACCACGAGGCGCTGTCTATTGGAGGGATACAACACCAAAAACACACGTCAGGACAACTCTATACTGAAGGTACAAACGGAAAGAGTTCCAGACTGTGAGGAAATTGTGGTATTTTGCTACCTTTTTACTTGCAAAAGCAACAATTTGATTAGAGGATGCCACTACTGATTTGCTAAATCAAAAAGCAGTGATATTCTGTTGTGCATGAGATGGATCACAGAGGGATTTAATGCACTAACTGACTGAACTGCACACAATAAACAAAAAAGTAATTTACAAGACACCTAACCAGTGCTGTGAAATCCATTGAGAAGCTTTTAAGTTTGTTACAGAGCTCTCTGATACAAACCACAAATTAAATAAGGGGTTATATCACAAATTAAGTTAAAGGGTTAGTTCACTCAAAAATTAAAAGTGGGTTTTTTATTACTCCCCTCATCTTGTTCCAATCTATAGCCCCTTCCACACAGTGATACCGGTAAATATATGGAAAATTTCCGAAACGACTTTACCGGTAGATTCATAAAAGTGCTGTTCACACAGGCGAGGGCATTACGGAATTTTTCCGGAAAAGAGCATTCACACATCCTTTCCAAAATACCGGAAATTTCTGACATCGTTAACCATAAATGAGCTCTAAACATCTACGCTTGTATTTGTAAACATTTGACTACATCACAAACTCTGTGGATGGATCAGTATTGTGAACAACTTTGATGAAAACATATAGAGACACACTTCCGCACGTCGAGATGTACATGATATGTGTGTGCTGGCGCTCATGGGCTGTTTCACGGGCACACGCAAAGCTTGAAGGTAAACAAACAACGGCTTATCATAAGCATCTTATCGATAATTATTTACACGGTTTGCATTAAGAAGATGAACATATAAACGTTATCTGACTAACATCTAGCAGCGAAATGTGACTGGAAAAATATTCAAAGGCTTTTATTCTTATAAACCGAGCGGACGTGAATGCGTCTGACTGTTCTGATTGGTTAAAGCAGACGTCTCACGTCAGCACGTTCTAGACGTGCACGCGCTCTTTCAGGCAATCTTCCTTTTGGGTTCACACAGCGCAGCATTCCAGCAAATTTTTTTTTTGTATATATTATACAAATATATATATATTAAATTGTAATGTTACAACTTCTCTTTCCGGAAAGTCGACAGAACGAATTTACCGGTATTTTCAAAAAGGGCCTGTTCACACATACACACCTTTCCGGAAAATTGCCGGTAATTTTGTGAAAGGTGATGTGTGAAAGGGGCTTATGTCATAATCATGTTTGTTATGTTAGCAGCAGCAGTGTTTTTATATTCTCAGACAGCATGTATGTAAATATACTGGCAGTCTCGATACAGCCAAGTCTCGATACTTGCTTTGCATCAATGATAAAAGCAGCAGCAGCAGCGTAGCAGATATATTCCACCAAGACCAAACACTTCACCATCGCCACATACATATATATGGTTCCGAACACGTGTGGCCCGCAAAGTAATAATGTTTTTACTTGTATATTAATCCTAAATTTGTAACAATCGCTGAGAGATTGCCTCTCGCGTCATTCAAATTGCATGTATGAAAGCATTTAGGCTTTTCTGTAAAATATAAAATAATGATGACAGAAGAGGATGTGGTAGGTTATTTGGGATGTAGTGGGTTTCTTGGGTGTTTTCTGTCACTATTTGTTTAGCCTGCATTAGTGCATTCAGTGTAAGCTGCACAATTAATCATTAAAAGATAGAGATCTCAACACCCACCCAACATAATTTATAAATGATGGTGGTTTATTATCTACCGTAGGTGTTTATTAATCTTAAAAGATTCAGTCTTTTGTCTTTTTAGTTAGTTATGAAGTTACAAACTGTTAAATAACACAGAAGAACTGGGATAACAGTTTATAGTTTAGATTAAACCATGTTTATGGTAAAGATTATAATCGCCGTCATGTGCTTTTACGACACTCAAAAATTAAAGTTGTTGGCAGCAATTACATTATATAACCAATAGGTGGCGACAACCAGCCATTAAAAAAATGCTGCTGAATTATTCTTCGAAAATGATCCATCTAGCAATAAAACGTGAAGTTTTATAACTGAATAACTGAATCATTTATTTAAAATGAGACTAAAATACATTTAAATACATATTTTATACTCAATATACACTTTATATTTAGGGTTATCTGCAGCAGTAGTAGAAACAGTGAATTTTTCACAGTACTGAATAATTTACAATTTATTTTTATTCAGCTGAATATTTTTTATTGTATTTTTATTAAAATAACAAGTTCTAAGTTCTGTTTGTTAAAACCAAAAGGTTTTTGCAGGACTGTTTTTGTAATAAATGGAACACAAATATATTTGTTTCCTCCCATTTTTGACTGAGCCGAACAATGGTCCGATCCATGACTAAAAAACCATAATGTGATCCGAATCGTGAGATTTGTGATCCATTACACCACTAATTACCATACTAAATCTCTCAGAGAGTATTAGTGAGAGAATTAATATTACAATAGTAGAGCGCTGCTAAATTAGGTGTTGGTGCCACCATGTGTAGACTGTACAGTAGTAGCATCAGTCCCAGTGCTGTCGAATGTTACTTTCGAGCCCTACAAGCACATACACAGTGCTCAGCATACTGTAATTGACTAAGCCCCTCTCTTTTAAATGAAAATTTTCTATAAGATGCTTTACAGTAATACAGTATATTTGTGCATACTAGGGATGGGAAGATTAACCGATATGTATCGATACGCGGTCATGCGCGTGCACGATGCGAGTGCATCGGTTGAGCAGCAGAGGATGAATGAAATTTTGGAAGCAAATCGAGATGCATCGGTTTTTACGAGATGCATCGATTTTTCCGAGATACAGCTTATATTTTTAATATAGAATGTATTTTTTATTTATTAACAAGTGTTGTCAACCTGTTTTTGGCGCATAATTTAATCGACCTACATAAAGTAAGCCTTAGCAACGGATTTGCGGATGTGCACACTTACACTACAACTCAGTGTATCAGGTGTGCGGATGAAGCTAGTGGAGCGCCCTCAGAAAGCGCGAGAAGCAAAACAAACGTTTTATTCCCCACTGAGTTTTAAATCTAAAGTATGGCAAGCAACATTATGGATTTAAGGATGGACGACATGACAGGACAGATGCAATTTGCAAAATGTGCCGCGCATCTGTAAAATACGCGGGCAGTACGACTAATCTGAAATCTCACTTGAAGCGGCGCCGCGGTGTTGTTGTGAAAGCATCTTCCAGTGTTTCTGCATCCCCGGCTTTCGCACTGCTTCAAGCAGCTCCAAAAGTGGTGAGAAAAGCATTGAAAGTTTTTTTTCCATGCGCAACAGTTCTGCTCGCTCTACGCCAATAACGAATGCTATTGCATTGTTCATCTGCAAAGATATTCAGCCTAGTGTCACGGAGAACGAAGGTTTAAACACCTCCTCCTGTTAATTTTTATTTAATTATAATAATAATAATATTAATAATAATAATGATAAAAATAATTGGGTGTCACGGTGGCACAGTGGGTAGTTTGACCACCTCACAGCAAGAAGATTGCTGGTTTGTTATATTTTTATTAGCCTGTTGTTTACAGTGACAGTGATGTTTCAAAGCAGCATAACACTGCTAGTTCACAACCTTAAGTTTTGAATAATACGTGGCAAAATATATCTTTGTAAAACTTGTTTTCATAGTTGAAAAGTTAAATCACAATTCTTGTTGTGCAATGCTAAATTTATTTATGTTGAAAGAGTGCAAATATATACATATTTTTTTAATATATATTGCACTTATACATTCTGTTTATCTTGAAAATACTTAAATAATATGTGCTATATGTTCTAAAATGGCCCTCTACTGTAAACTGACACTCTGGCTCTGAGAGAAGAGCCAGTTTGTAAAAAAAGTCTTGGTTTTGCTTGGTTTATAAATAATCAAACTCATTCAATGGCACAGCATCCTCTTTCACATCATCTCATAAACTTGATCTAATTAGTTAGTGCTGCATTATAGCATTGTATCGTGATATGGGTGTGAATCGTATCGTGTCGCATCGCAATATGTCACAAATGTATAGCTAATATATCGGATCGTATTCTTTGTATCGAGATGCGTATCGGATCGGCATTATAGCTTAGATGCCCAACCCTAGTGCATACGCATTAGACTAGTCCGTACCGAAGCCAGAACTAGAAAAAAAAAACTTAAGATCCCAGTCCAAAAATGAGTCCACCCAAATTAAAGTATTGGGGGAAATTGTTAATAAAATTTTACTAAACAAAAAAAATCAAGTAAAATATACACGTTTTTAAATTTAGGCGAAATTTTGCAGTTTGTAATTGTATTTTTTTTTCCAATAACTCATTTAAATTTAAATGTATTTTCTTTCTATTCCTTAGGAAGTTAGGTGACCAAACTTTTAGTTTTATGAATACAATAGCTTTGTTTAAATGCACCAAAAAATATTGGCTGTTGAACTTATTTTTTAATGCGGAAGTGGGCTCGTTGTTTCGATTGTTTTAGAACTTCCGATTCAGTTGCCTATGGGAGAAATGACTAGGAATAATAAATGTCAGAAAACAGTCAAACTACTTGCTTAACAAACAAGTGTTTGCATGACTATACAGACAAAGTAGAATAAGATAATAAGTAAATTTCAGTTTGCAACATCAAGCAGCGTAATGAGCTGTTTTTAACATATAAAAATGAATGGAAATGAATGAGACTGGAAGTCTGGAGCCAAAATGCCGAGCACTGTATACAGAACAACAGCTTCATAATGAAGACACACACAGACTTTAAGACAGCTGTACACTTTGTCGATAAATCACATACTCTCTATATTGTATCCTTTAGTTTATTTATATCATAAACATGCTGTTACTAGGGGCGTGTCCTGTCAGATCTGTGTGGTGTTGTGTTACTTTATGTTCTGCTTCATGTGGGTTTAGTATGGCATGCTCAGGCCTGTGTTGAGCTGTGTTTTTCCAATGCACAACCCCCACCTGCGCCTGGAGCTGTTCAGAGAGTACTCAGAATTCCTCAGTCCTCGATCCTTCTGCCTCCGCCTGGAGCTGTTCAGAGAGCACCCAGAATTCCACACGCTGGCACATTTATAGCAGCAGACGGCCACGCACACAACCAGACAGTTTATATTGCATCACCACAGTCCAGTAACAGTTGGAAAGAAAGTTTTATTTAGAAACAAGTCATTTGAGTATTACACCATGTATGCACCATGTTTCTTGTAGAGGTTTTCTGTGGCATTTACAATTTTAGTTATGATTACTTTTATGAGGATGTTAAACTGTAACAGTTCTTAGGTCATCAATAATAAAAAAAACAGACAAAAACAACAAAATGTCTATAAAAAACAATATTTACATGCACCGGCCACTTTATTAGGTACACCTTACTAGTACCGGATTGGACCCTCTTTTGCCTTCTGAACTGCCTTCTTTGTGGCATAGATTTAACAAGGCTCTTCTGCATACCTCGGTTGTAATGAGTGGTTATTTGAGTTACTGTGGCCTTTCTATCAGTTCAAACCAGTCTGGCCATTTTCCTCTGACCTCTGGCATCAACAAGGCATTTGAACTGCAGAAGATTGTCTTGACCATGTCTACATGCCTAAATGCATTGAGTTGCTGCGATGTGATTGGCTAACTAGAAATTTGCGTTAACGAGCAGTTGGACAGGTGTACCTATTAAAGTGGCCAGGAAGTGCATATTGACATACCTAAACAAATATAAACATTTTATATATGATAGCATGACCATTTTTAATTTTGCTAATAATAGCAACCATATGCAGGGGTCTTCCAAATCATTATTATTTTAAAATATATTAAATTAGAGGACAATTATTTTAAGGCTATAGATTGAATAAATATGGTAAAATTTACCATTTTTTTTTTCCTAGCTCTCGTTGTTATTCTTAAAGTGAAAATTAATCCATTGAAGTAACTCCACTGAAAAAAAAATAGTTTGTTTTGGTAATATATGAAAATCTACTGGCTGTTTGCTTATGCATTTGGCTTCCATAGCAACTGCATATTGACATTCTTAACCACAGTTGTGGGCAGAAGTTTACGAGAATTATTTATAATATTTATTAAATTACCCATAAATTGTATTTTATTTACGTGTACCCCTTACGCTACCCCAAACCTAACAGTAATATAAAAAATGAATTATTGTTGTACAGTGCTATATTGATGAGTATCTGCAACTGTTTCCCATCTAGACCGTTAGTTTGCTATGAGGGAATGATGCACAAAACCCCGCCCCCTACTCAATATTCAGGTTTAATTGGAAGTTATAAATAAATTACTTATATTTTGTAATAAATATGTTTAAAAAAAAAAGCAGTAGAACAAAATGTATATACAAAAACTATTTATATTTTCATACCTAAACAAAATTATTTTATATATGATAGCATGACATTTAAAAAAAAAAAAAATTGATAATAAAAGCAACCATTTGCAGGGGCCTTGAAAATTAACAGGATTCTAACAGGTAAAGTAAATAAAAATAACCATAATATTAATAATATTGTTTTATTTGATGTAAATTTGTTATAAATTCAAAGCAAAAATAAAACTATGTTAATTTAAAGATTCTTGTTTTATAAGACACTTGTTAACCTTTATTTAACCAAATGAGTCAATTGAAAACCAGTTGTCATTTACAATGATCACATGGCCAAGAGGCAACATCAAAAAAGCAGATACGAAGCAGTAAGAACACAATACAATAGCAATTACACACATGCAAATAATACCATATAAAACAAAAGAAAAGCTTTAAAAAGCACAGTGACCTTGTACTGTTAAAAGAATGGAGCTTTAAAACCTAAAGCTGGAAAGAGCAGCAACTAAAAGAAGTACAAACTTTAGGTATACAACGGTTAAAAAAAAAACTACTAGAGCACAGATTTCTAAATGTTTCATGAATGTTGAGTGGTGACTGTAAATATAGTGTACAAGACTTAAACAATATCGTTAAACATAACAGTATTGTGTATAATACATCAATACAAAAATAGTATCTTAATTGCAAATTCATACAGTATATTTATTTTAACTGATTATTTCATCTGTTTATAGTGCACATAGGGCTATTTTGCTTTAACTTCTTACATGGTTCATCTAATCAGATTGTGGAGGTTCAATTTACCATGATCCCCAGAACCAGAAGGCATTTTACAGGGGCATTAGGAATGTATAATCTGCTGCATCTCGCAGCCTATATAACTGCTCACCACCTCTCTCTCTCTTTCTCTAGGTGATAATCAGTATGCATCTAATGTCGGGTGATCCCTGCTTTAAAACGTAAGTGGTACATTCACTTTTAATGCATTTTGAAAAGTTAGAACTGTGTCTTCAAATCAAGGTCTGCAGCATTTTGTGTGCAGTATGGATACACTTGCTTTCTTTTAGCTTGTAAAGTGAGTCTTAATAGGATAGTTCATTTAAAACAGAACATTTTCTCACCGTTTGTTCACCCTCAAGTGGTTGAACAGAAAAGGTGGAATGCAGGTAGCTAAAAACATTCATAGTATATATTGTAAGATATTCTTTAAAATATCTTGTTTTGAATAAAGAAACAGATAGTGTGAAACAAGTGGAAGGGAAGTAAATGATGACAGAATTTTCGGTTTTAGGTGAACTATCCCTTTGAACACCATGCTGGTCAACTAGACCATCATAAACCAGCATTGTTTTAATCTAGTCTCTTCAACAGAATTGTAACCCAGCAGACATGTGGTGCTTCTGTTTATGTTCGCGCGTCTGTGCTGATGTACAAGTGTGTGTTTGTACCATTGTCTGACACCACAGTCTAGTGCTGCATGAACTCAGGAAGTCTGGTTCAACCACTTCCTTGGTGATGTTTAGTAAAACACGCAGAGGTTTCTTTTTCAGCATCTGAAACTTGAAGCCTAATTAAGCTAGTTAAGATGGCAAGTCATAATATGACACTATAAACTGGAGTTTAGCTTGAAATTAATATATGTAATTAATATATTTATGTTAAACTTTGAATGAGCTTAATCTGAAAATGCAAGATATAATCTATATCATTTCATTCAAGTATGTGACAAAAAAGTTGAATATTAAGGGAAAGCCCATTTATTTATAAACAAATTTCAAAAAGTGAAACGTGTGTGTTATATTAGTTCCCTATACACATTGTGCAATATTTCAAGCCTTCATTTGTTTGGATTTGGATTTGGATTAAAGATGACAAAAACACCAAATTCGGTATTTCACAAAATTAAAATATTTTATGTGACCAATAAAAAAAAGCCTTAAACACGTTGGCCTTCTGAAAAGTGTGTTAATGTACTGTATTATGTCCTCAGTATTGTGTTGGGCCTACTTTACCATAACACTACAACTGTGTCAAGGCTGATTGCCTTCATGCCACACTGCCTTGATGGTGTAATTAGTGCTAGTCTAAGTTGCTTTGAAATCGGTCTTCAGCTCGTCTGCATTTCGGGGTCTCTGTTTCCTCATCTTCCTCTTGACAATAGCCCATAGATTTTCAATAGGGTTTAAGTCAGGTGAGTTTCCTAGCCAATTAAGAACAGGGATACCATGGTCCTTAAACCAGGTACTGGTAGCTTTGGCACTGTGTGCAGGTTCCAAGTCAGTGCTAGAAAATAAAATCATCATTTTCAAAAAGCTTATCGGAAGCATGAAGTACTCTAAAACGTCCTGGTATAGAGCTGTGTTGACTGTTGATTAAAGACAATGGACCCATATCAGCACATGACATAGCTCTCCAAACTATCACTGACTGTGGAAACCTCACACTGGACTTTTAGCAGCTTGACTTTAGTGTCTCTCCGCTCTTCCTCCAAGCTCTGGGATCTTGATTTCCAAATGAAATACCAAATTTGCTTTCATCTGAAAAGAGGACTTGGGCACACTGCACAACAGACAAGTACCGTTTCTCTTTAGCCCAGCACAGATGCTTCTAGCATTGTTTTTTTAGCATTGTTCAGGAGTGGTTTGACGCATGGAATTCTACAGCTGTATTTCATGTCATGCAGATGTCTGTATGTGGAGGTTCCTGATGCTCTGACACCAGCCTCAGTCGCCCTTGCTTGACAATCCTCTCAAGGCTGCGGGCATACTTTTCATACCTTTTCCAGCTACATTTTCCCTTTCTCTTAACACTTTAATTATTTACTTAGATATTACACTCTGAGAACATCCAGTTGCTTTTTGAAATCTTTCCTCGCTATGGAGGGTTCCAATGATAGTCTCCTGCACAACCAAAGACCATAGAATACACAAGATGTGTCACTCGTATCTTTTTGAATGGGGAAAAGTGTAATGGTCAATATGCTGAACAAAACCCCGCCTACTAGTTCAGCAGCCAATCATCGATCGATATATTGTAAATAAAGCCCCCCTTCTAGTCCAGAAGCCAATCATCGATCTCCAGGGGAGGAGCTTGGACCAGACTTGGACGTTTAGAAATTAAACTAAAGACACGGTTGTTGTTCAGTTTTATTAATGATTCCTAATATGAAATTAAATTATTTTTACACAACTGTCAAGTCAGCAGTCTTCCTGATGATTCTGAAGCCTACTAAGTCAGACTGAGACAATTTCAGGGCTTTGCATTAATTAGTGGACTAGATTGAGACACAGGGAGCTACAACATAGAACTTTGTCATGATATTCTAATAATTTCAGTAATATGGCAATAAATGTCACGTAAAGTAGCATTCAGACTCGCATTGTTAGTACCTAAGGTGATCATTGATTAAGTTTCCTGTTGTTCAGCTGCAAGAAATAGAAGCTGTTTCTAAAATATTAATGTGTTGGTCAGGACAAAAACTCCTTTTATTATGGAAAGTATTCCTTTATTGCGTGCCGTTGCTTTTATTTAGAACACAATTTAAATAAGCCTTTAGGCTCAATAGTGAGGCACGTGCCTGTTTGTCCTCAATCTGGCAACCTGTGCTTGCGTGTGTTTTGATCCAGGAATGCAATACCTAGTTCAACCACTGGGTGTCAAACTTACATTCTGCACCATTAACGTTAGTTTGGATTTGTTGCTATAAGGGATACAACTGCGGGTGGAAGTTTACAATAATTATTTATGTTATTTATTAAATTACCCATTAATTATATTTTATTTATGTCTACCCCTTACCCTAACCCAAACCTCAAAGTAATGTAAAAATATGAATTATTGTTGTACAGTGCTATATTGATGAGAGTATCCACAGCTGTGTCTAGATTTTACCATTAGTTTGCTATGAGTGAATGATGCACAAAAGTCTGCCTCCCAATATTCTGTTTTAGTTGGAAGTAATAAATAAATTTCAATGTAAAATCAATTTACATTTAAATTTAAATTTACATTTAGTGACTATTTTAGTAATACCTTACTAAGTACATTTAGTAATTTACATTTACATTTTAGTGACTAAATTAATGACTATTAATTTAATAAATTTACCTAAATAAAAGTATCAGCAACTTACGATTCATGCAAATTTTAAAGAATGTTCATAGCTGAAATTGTGGCGCTTAGTGAGGCATCATGTAATGCAAAACAATGATTACCCTTTGACGTGTATACAAGTATAACCGAATGAATATCTGTAGCTCCTGATCTTGCTTTAAGATTTTATACAGCTTCAATAAACAGGCCACACACGTTAACAATGGTAACAGGAAAATTGTTTGCAAAACAGATTAATACTTGCTTGATTTTTTTTTAATCAACATAAAAAAATGACCTTTAATCTTATTTTATTTTTTAATTTTATCATTTAGCTTTCTCTCTTCACATTTTGGTCAGAGGCTGTGCAAGTAGACCAGTGCTTAAAGCTGTTTATAGTTGGTGCGGTTTCAGATCAGAGTAGTTGTGTGGATGTGTTTTGTGTGTGTGTGTGTGTTGAAATAGTTGACATTTATTCTGACATTTAGAGGGGGGGAATTCATCATCTCACACAGCACCCGGACACACACTCTGAAAGGTGCGCTTCCTGTTATATAAGCTGCTGGCACACAATCCACCGATAAAACAACACATACAGTGATCTGGCAGTGCATTAGTAAGTGAAATGAGTGATGAATTAACCCCCATGAACAAGTGTGTGTGTCTGTACCTACTTCTGTCATCATAGTCATGAGAATCGTGCTCTGAGTGTTGTATCATTCCTTCGATGCCGATGGTTGTCAGAAATAGTCATACGCAGTCATAAATCAGAGTGTTTGGTGGTGTTTCCCTGTGAGTATGTGTTTATGAGAAGCCCACAGAAGTGTTATGGGGGTGTGTGCGTGTGTGGGACTTCTCAAACTGCGCCTGCAGTGCTTTTAGCCCTGACTGGTGCGTCATAGTTGCTATTAGATGCACTAAGACCAGTGAAATGGCAGATTAGTATGGATTAATATCCCTCAGAAATTTAAGTTTTATAAATTGTTCCTATTCTAAAATTATTTAAAATAGTTTGACTGAGTTCAGCTTATTTGGGAATAATTCATGCGCCATATTTCTCTGTCTTTGATGATCATATTACAGTATTCATTTATTCACTTATTTTCATTTCGGCTTATTCCCTTTATTAATCTGGGGTCGCCAAATCGGAATGAATCACCAACTTATCCAGCATATGTTTTACGCAGTTGATGCCCTTCCAGCTGCAACTCAGCACTGGGAAACACCCATGTGCTCTTGCATTCACACACATACATTACAGCTAATTTAGCTTATTCAATTCACTATTGCAACTCTCTACTAGCCGGGCTCCCAGCTAACTCTATCAAACCTCATCAGATGTTTCAGAATGCAGCAGCACGAGTGATCTTTAATGAACCTAAAAGACCACATGTTACTCCGCTACTCATTCGTTTGCACTGGCTGCCAGTTGCTGCTCGCATCAAATTCAAAGCACTGATGTTTGCTTTCAAAGCGATTTCTGCCTGCACCCCTTCTTATCTGCTCTCACTTCTGCAGATTTATAGGCCCTCCAGAAACTTGCATTCTGAGAAGGAACCACGAGGCGACGTTCAATCCCAAAGAGGGAAGAAAACGCTTTCCCGAACGCTCGCGCTCAATCTGCCCAGTTGGTGGAATGAACTCCCTAACTGCATCAGAACGGCAGAGTCACTCGCTGTCTTCAAAAAGCCACTAAAAACTCAACTATTTAGTCTCCACTTTCCTTACTAATATGCAACTACCTCTCTGACTCCTCAACTAGCTACAAAAACAAAAATTTAATAATGCTTTCCTTCTTAGACTTTACACACCTAAAACTTGCCTACAGCACATTGTTGCTCTTATAGTTGTGTAAATTGCTTCCTTGTCCCCATTTGTAAGTCACTTTGGATAAAAGCGTCTGCTAAATGACTAAATGTAAATGTGAACAATTAGGAGTCTTAATTTCATCATGTTGTAATATTTTTATTGTAAATTCACATAAAAAAAGGTTTTAACTATGCTTGATTTTTACTAATTGGAATTCTTGCTTCTGATTGGTCAGTCCGAGGTATGTTATCCCGAGATAACAACCCTTAAATAACACTCATAAGCTCATCCAGGAACTTTAAACCACTTTGACCCTCACTGAATACATTCCCATCCACATAATAACATTCAATCTCAATTAGGGTTGTCACGATGCTGGAATTCTATTCCAATCAATACTGAAGTTTTAAAAATGTCAATTTCACGCTAACATTTGAGCGCTGTTGAGCGCGTTCTTAAACGGCGCTGATTAGCTGTTGTGTTCACGTGCTCAACAGAAATGACTGTGATTGGCTGTGAAGGTCATCAGTTCACCGAACTCATACAGATACAGGGACACTGGAGTGTTTCAGTCACATCAATCAGCTGGTTTGTTTTAGAACCTGACATACTAGCGATCCACTGATGAATCGCGGCTTTGAAATGCTCCAGTGTCCCTGTATCTGTAACCCTATTCTCAATACAAGAACTCATCCAAAAAATAATACAATGCTTAATGGATACTTCACACTGTGATGTATTGTTATCTTTTGTTTTCATATGTTTATATATTTTTAATGGTTATGCTTTTGTTCTAGGCCTCCATCCACTGCAATGACAATAGGATTTCCAGGAGACACAGAGACATGTCTGCATGAAGACAGAAGAGGAGAGACACCAAAAACAACCAATTACTTTACAGGTATAAAGCATAGAAAGTATAGAACACTACCACCTAAATACAGTCCTCAGCATAAATAAGTACATCCTCTTTTAAAAATGAATATTCATATCCATTTCTCAGTGAATATAGCCAATATATTTAGGTGTGTTTAAACAACGCTGTTTTAATAAAAAGTTATATCCATTAAAATAAGAGTTTGGTCACCTGACATATTTAGTTATAGAAAGATAATATAATTACCTTCAGTTGAGTTATTGCAACAAAAACAAAATACAAACTACAAAATTATACATTTATATTTTAATGCATTTTTATATTACATTTAAATTTGTTTTGTTTCTCTTGATTTTTATTTCCTGTTTATTTTTTGTGTTTGATTAGTTCCAGTTTTGGCTTTTGTACAGACCAGTCTAATGTATATGCATAAATATATAATTGTAAAGCATCATATAGAAAAAAGAGGTGTGCGAGAGGTGCACTCATTTATGCTGAGCACTGTAGTTTATGGTAAAGCATTTCAGCCATCCCACAATTCAGAATGATACTACCAATTAATTAGACTGAATTTCTTCTAAGCATGTTTAACCAGACAGCACTTTTTAATTGTAAATACACAACCGTTTTATTCAGAGGCATTGCAGCTAGAGCTATCACATTATCTTTTTTTTTGTGTTATAATATATATACCAGCAAAATTTATTGCAATCAATAATATTATCATCATTTTAGGACCATTTTGACACTATAATAGTATTAATGCAGGTACCCTATTCCAAAGAACACATAATATTTTTAACAATTTAATAATTAGACATTGCAGTCAGAATATAAAAAAGGATATCCTAAACAAATAAATAATAATACTAATAATAATAATAATGATAAATGTCAACAAAAATGTCCAAGGTAAAACAAGGGGGAAAAACATCGATTTTCAGTCATCAGGCATCCACATACTGTAAAAATAAACTATAGTAATTTATAGTAAGCATTACAGTGTTTTTTTAACCATACTGACACTTTAAATAAAGATAGAAAGGCCAAAAAGACCAAAAATTATGAAGGACATGTCCACATGTTGTGCGACAAGTCGATATATTAATTAATGTGACATTTTGTGAAGAAAAGGTACTTATTTTTGAGTGTGTAACAGAAGAGTATGCAAGATTTACGACATACTACTTCCTCATTAATGGTCTCTTACGTTACTTTGTTATGAGCCTGTCAATAAACACATCATCCACATTTCTTATTTATTTTATTCATTCATTTATTCATTTTCTTGTCGGCTTAGTCCCTTTATTAATCCGGGGTCGCCACAGCGGAATGAACCGCCAACTTATCCAGCAAGTTTTTACACAGCGGATGCCCTTCCAGCCGCAACCCATCTCTGGGAAACATCCACACACACACACATTCACACACACACTCTACGGTCAATTTAGCCTACCCAATTCACCTGTACTGCATGTCTTTGGACTGGGGTGGAATCCGAAGCACCCGGAGGAAACCCACGCAAAGGCAGGGAGAACATGCAAACTCCACACAGAAACGCCAATTGAACCGAGGTTCGACCCAGCAACCTTCTTGCTGTGAGGTGACAGCACTACCTACTGTGCCATTGCGTCGCCCATATATATTTCATTACCTTCCTTATTGTAGAAGCAAAGGCAGGTTAATCTGCCATCCGTGAGTCTTTCATGCAGAGAAATGTCCTCAGGTTGGATAATAATTTATTCAGAAGTTAATGTCTAAACACGTCTTTATAGAAGTTCACATTGTTGTAGAAGATGAAATGTAACACATTAAATAGTTTCCAGTTGGCTAGATATTAATTGATAGTCATTCAAACAACTTTACCAAAGCCTCTTCACATTTGGTCTTGTATGTCTGCCATGTTTGTAGTTTGTTAACACTTTTTATCCGAGTTTGTAGTTCTAATCGAATTCACATTCAACACGCAATGTGTTATGGGCAATATTAGCAGTTAGAGTATGGATGGTTCTACACTTTGAATTTATTTATTCTCCTTCGGGTTAGTCCTTTTTATTCGTCAGGGGTCACCACAGCGGTTGTGCAGTTTAATTCACAGAATATCTACACCAGGGGTGGCCAATCCTGTTCCTGTAGAGCTACCTTCCTGCAGATTTCAGTTGCTACCCATATCAAACACACCTAAACCAATTAATTAGGACCTGAACACCATGTGATAATTACAGGCAGGTGTGTTTAATATGGGTTGCAACTGAAATCTGCAGGAAGGTGGCTCTCCAGGAACAGGATTGGCCACCCCTGTTCTACACTGTATGTTGTATACTGTAAACTTGCATACTTATTTGGTCACATCCATAATGCATGTTGATTTCCCTCAATTATACATTAAAAAATGTTTATTGATGAGATGAAATATTTTGCTGACCCCCCATAACTCTATGGTTGGTTGTTTTGAAAAAATATAAACAAATGTTTTAATATAATGTTAATATATACTTTCTCTGTTAATTAATATTTTAAGTTTGTACTGTTAATTGTCACATCTATAACACTGGAATTGCTCTTTTCTAGAAAACTTAGGAAAAAGTGGCTTTAGTCATGGTTCGGTTCCAGATGAACTGGGAAAGTGTGGCCACTCAAGAACCGCGAGCTACGCCAGCCAGCAGTCTAAGTTTTCAGGTGTGTTCATGAATATTTAATGGTTTTCCATTACATTTTATCATTTTATTCAATTGTATGTTTGCATAATATTACATAATAATATCAATCATTCTGGACATCCCCTCAGGTTACAGCACAGGTCACTCACGCTCCTCCAGCCTGACAGAGCTCTCTCATCGGAGGAACTTGTCTGTGGGCAGTGCCTCCACCGGGATAGGTAGCCTTCAAGAGCCCAGTGAGAACAGAGAGTCCCGCACACCTTTACCACAGCATTTACCCACACCGTCACACAGTGCATTCTCAGCCGGCAGGTAAACAATATGCAATGAATGATCAGTTTTCCGTGAAAACTTTAGATCAAGCAGTTAACAGAGTGTATGTTTGCATTTCAGACATCCAGTAAAGCAGGACTCGGTGGAGTGTCAGTTAAAGCGAGTAGATGCTACCAGAGTGGACGCTGATGACATCATTGAAACAATCCTACAGGGTCAAGACTTCAGCCACAGCATTCTGGACTCCAGTAATGAAGGTACTGTTCATTTTTAATAACAATCTTTCCTGATTTCTACAGGACACTTTCATAATTGCAGAATTTGTAGTTCAGATGTTATGTAGTTTATGGAATAATTATGTAAAAAAATGATTGTAATAGCTCACTTAAAATAGCAGTTTGGTTCATTATGAAGACATGCAATGCTATTTGAAAATGTATGGTTCTTGTACACTTTTGATATGCTGCTTTCCAAGCCTGTACAATAAGTATTGAATATGTCACCATTTTTCTTAGAAAACATATTTCTAAAAGTGCTGTTGACTTGAAATTTTCCCTGGATGTTGGTAACATCCAAATAAATCCATATATGCAAAGACAATAAATCTAATTAGTTTACAAATTAAGCTATGCATAATAAAATGAAGTGACGCAGGAAAAAAAGTATCAAACACATGAAGAAAGGGAGGTCTAGAAAGGCAGTGTAAGCCCAGACAGCAGCTAAAATCTCTCAGTAGTTATTCAGCAACTCTCTGCCCTTCGTCATTGTAAATTAATATTAGCTGCTTCAGTCCAACATCCACATTACCAGGATGATGAAGATGAAGCCAGAGTGGACTTTTCAGCAAGACAATGATCCAAAACGCATCCACGAAAACTCTCAAAGGCTTTCAGAGAAAGAAAAGAAAATTATAAATAAACGCTGCTGAAGTGCGATTTAGTGTGTTTATGTAACGGGTTTATCACCATTATTTATTAGATTTGCTAGGAATATTTATTTGTGTCTCCAGTAGACCTACAGAGTGGTATTAATGCATCCTGAAGTAAAGTGAAACGGCTATACGTTTTGTTTGCTGGCCTCACATATCACGCACCTGTCAGTCAGAGAGTCAGTCAGTCAGCACGGAACCTTAAAGGTTTAAACAAATAACGCACAGCACTACTACGGTTACAGAAATGTTTGTGCTGTTATAATTCACTTACCTTTTTAATGTGTTTTGGTGCGATTATCACCTGCTATGAAAAAACACAACTGAATGTTTTGAACGAAAAGCTGTAATGTAGCCGTGGCGGGATCAATTTTGGCGTGGTGCTCCGCCATGGAAGAATGAATATAGCGGAAAACATGAAATTAAAATAACATTTAGCAATATTTCTGCTATTTCTGTTAATATTATCTGTTCAATGGTATGTCACCATGACAATACTGCACTCACGACATTTGTCATTGAAATAGCCACAGGTAGTTGGTAGATCTGAGTACAAAAGGCCTGCCGCCACAGCTGGAAAAAATCCTTGAGGAAACACTGAATTTGAAATAGCTGTCCTTTTTTAAATGCATTTTCATGTCATTTATCCCTTTGTGGTATTACTGCAGTATTTAGTGTAACAAGATTCTTCGGAAATCTTTCTGATATGTCTGATCAATAAACATGCCTTATCGGTTCAGCATCGATATCGCAATGTGGGCATTCACAATAGACACATCGTGACTATGTGCAATGTTTAGTCTGAATTATAATGGATCATTTCACAGGTGTTTTTGAAATTGTACTGTTTGTAACTTTGATGCATTAATAAGGAGTAACTGTATTGAATTGTTTACAAAACAAAGACTATGCAGTATTATTTTACTTTAATTTATTCAACTACTGAAAACCTGAATACAGATTTTTCCTCGGAAAACAATAAATGCTGTTTATTTAATTTGTATCTTTTTCAGTATTGAATTTATCTACGCTTGTAGATTGTTTCTTATATTTTATGAGGATACACGCCCACACAGAATCATCCCAATCAATTTAATATATTATAAATTCTTTCTAAATAGTTATTCAACAAATCTAGTGATATTGTATTACAAGTGGCAATATATATCGCAATGTTAGATTTTTCCAATATTGTGCAGTTCTATTTTCCAACATTAAATTGTAAATTATAAATTGTGACTTTTTTTTGTAACATTATAAATATCTTTACTGTCACTTTTGATTAATTTAATGCACCTAATCTGTGACATTTCACAGCTTATAGTATTAAAACAGCCTGGTCGGAGAGACTGACTAACAATCAAATAAAACTAAACCACATCCAAGTTAAATGCTATTGTTTTTGTTAAGAAAAGGTACCAGGGAGTGAGTATACACATGCACAAGATGTACTCTAAATACTTCTACAAGTGCTTTTTTGATGGTAACATCCCTGTTTATATCTGCACATTATTCCTATCTCCATAACAGCACGCAGACTACAAACACACACGCATGGAAATATATTGTGACTAACTCGTACAGACTTTTACCATACACACTGAGCACACATTGTTCCATAGTAGGTGCAAAATGCATTCACAAGACACAAACTTGGGACAAGGAAATTGTGAGTTGTGTTTTACCACAGACGCACAGTTGCACTTTTATATGCACCACATTGTGGCATTGTAAAATGAACATTTACTATGGTTACTAAAGTCTCAAACAAACAGATGGAGTTTCCCCTCTTCTCTCTCTCTCTCTCTCTCTCTCTCTCTCTCTCTCTCTCTCTCTCTCTTTCTTTCTTTCTTTCTTTCTGTGACTCATAAATAGACCTCAGAAACTTACAGTTGCCAAAATATCTTTCCTCTGGAAGCAAAGCATTTAATGGCACTTTAAAAGACTCAAAGAAAAATTCATGAAGGCGGCACCATCAAAGCTTAAAAAACTTAAAGCTCTCACAAAACATGTGATGTTTCAAGCACTCCAGCACTTCATCATTAAAAGAATCAAAACATATTGACAGTAACTTTGCAGCTCCAAAATATGAATTATTATTTTAAATATAGCATTTTTGCAAATATTCTTCGAAACATATTTAACCCTTTTGTCATTAAAACATTTAAATCGTTTTAAAATGAGGTATGATAACTTATTCATTTATATATTGTTTAAAAGGATAGCTTTCTCCAAAACATTTGTTTATTTACTATCAAACAAAAACAGATATTTTAAAGAATGTACATAAACTGAATTCCAAAGTATTTTTTTTTCTTACTATGGATGTCAATGGCTACCAGTTTCCAACAATCTTCAAAATATCCAGTTTTGTGTTCAATAAAGGGAAAAAACTCAAACGGATTTAAAACAAGTGGAGGATGAATAAATGAAATAACTGAATTTTCTTTTTCGGATTAATTATTCCTTTAATTAGCATAGACCAGAATGAACATGTTGTTTAATATTTACATAAATACATTTGTTATACTCAGTGATGTTAGCACTGAGATACTGAGAGCACATCACACCTGTCCTCAGGTCTTTACACTGGCTCCCAGTTGCATTCAATGTAGATTTTAAAGTCTTATTATTTAAAAATCACTGGCATAGGACCTCAATGCATTACAGATATTTTCATTTAATACAAACCCAACAAATCACGAGAGTTCAGTCAAAGCTGAGTTAATCAGCTACTGAACCCCCTGCTGCTGGAATCAGCTTTCAGAAATGATCAGATGTGCTCCAACATTAGGCACATTCCAATTGAGACTGAAAACGCATCTGTTTAGCTGTGCCTTTACTAAATGAGCACTGTGCTACGTCTGACAGATCATACTATTGTGTCTTTCTTTTCTTTTTCAGTCCTTTAAAACATGTTTTAACACATTTTAATCTGTTTTTAATCATTTTTATTATTTGTTGTTTTTAATATTTCTTATAATTGCATTTTATGTTTCGTTAATTCCAGTTAATATAAAGCACTTTGAATTACCATTGTGTATGAAATGAGCTATATAAATAAACTTGCCTTGCCTTGAAGATGGAGCATTATTCCACCCCTATTTTGACATGTTATTTTTACAAAAGATATTTGAAATGGTAGTTTATTCCGTTGCATTTAATGTGCTTTCTATTTACAGTACATAAAATCAGGAAATATATGTTGTTTAATGTTTACATAACTATCAAACATTTTGACATTTTATTATATCAGTATGGTTTCTCCATTTTATGATTTCACATAAGAGCAATTCCTGGAAAATGTCAACCTTGCCATGAAAAAAGTTTTTACCAAAATAGTGAACCCTTTTTAAGTTTTTTGAGTATGCTTGTACTTTACAGTTCTGTAAAAATACTCAATAGTTTCTGTCAATGTTTTCAAACAACTATATTTGATTTACCAAAGTTGCGGGAGGAAGTTTGGCATTTTTTCTTAGGTTTTTATATATATGCACAAGTTTAAATTAGTATTGTCGACTGTTCTCTGTCATTCTAAGGCCTCCGGGCGGTGGTGAGCCCAGGTTTGGGGTCCCTTTCATCGCTGCTTACAGCTTTAATTCTTCTTCTTCTCAAGAACGAATCACATTTTTGAGCGTCTAAACATGATTAAACTCAGAAAACTTTGCATATGAACCAGAAGTGGCGAAAATGTACATTTGGCACTCAAGTGCCAATTTCACATCCATAAGAAAGCTTTGCTCATAAATGCAAAGATGTCAAATAAAATCAGTCATTTTTGTTTTATAGAGAGCCAACTCTTATCCTTTTGATTAGCATTGTTTCTTTTGGGTTGTGCAGTTTGTTCTATGTTTTAAACTCCTTAACACATGTTTATTTTGCTCATTTAAAATCTAAAAAAATGTTTACTGAAATTTTTGATCCCATAACTCTGTGGTTAATTGTTTTGGAAAATATAAACCGATATTTCGGTAACACTTTAAAATAATGGTCCATTAGTTATTGTAATTACCAACATAAATAATTAGTAATACATTTATCACAATATTTTTGTATATATAGTTAAAGTCAGAATTATTAGCCCCCTTGAATTATTAGCCCCTCTGTTATTTTTTCCCCCAATTTCTGTTTAACGGAGAGAAGATTTTTTCAACACATTTCTAAACATAATAATTTTTATAACTCATTTCTAATAACTGATTTATTTTATCTTTGTCATGATGACAGTAAATAATATTTGACTAGATATTTTGCAAGACACTTCTATACAGCTTAAAGTGACATTAAAAGGGCTTATCTAGATTAATTATGTTAAATAGGCAAATTGTGGTAATTAGGCAAGTCATTGTATAACGATGGTTTGTTCTCTAGACGGCGAGGCAGTGGTGCAGTAGGTAGTGCTGTCGCCTCACAGCAAAAAGGTCGCTGGTTTGAACCTCGGCTCAGTTGGCGTTTCTGTGTGGAGTTTGCATGTTCTCCCTGCCTTCGCGTGGGTTTCCTCCGGGTGCTCTGGTTTCCCCCACAGTTTAAAGACATGCGGTACAGGTGAATTGGGTAGGCTAAATTGTCCGTAGTGTATAAGTGTGTGTGTGTGAATGTGTGTGTGGATGTTTCCCAGAGATGGGTTGCAGCTGGACGGGCATCCGCTGCGTAAAAACGTGCTGGATAAGTTGGCGGTTCATTCTGCTGTGACGACCCCGGATTAATAAAGGGACAAGAAAATGAATGAATGAATGTTCTCTAGACTATTGAAAAAATATAGCTTAAAGAGGCTAATAATTTAGTTTAGAATTCTATTTCAGAAATTAAAAACTGCTTTTATTCTAGTCGAAATAAAACAAATAAGAGTTTCTCCAGAAGAAAAAACATTATCAGACATACTGTGAAAATGTCCCTGCTCTGTTAAACATCATTTGGGAAATATTTTTAAAAAATTTAATTAATGTTTTGAGTTTTTACTGCAAATGTCACTTCCATAACACTGAAATGGCTCATAAACGGAAACCATACTAATAATAAAACGTAAAATGTTACTGTAGATATGTATGTAAAAATTCAACAAAATTCATCGTTTAATTTCTGCTAGTCAAAACAAAATTTTGTGATTGTTCGCATTCGCCATGGCATTGCTAATAATATGGGTCTTGCTTTATACTGTATTAGATGGCCTTGACTACTACTTGCATCAACAATTAAATACAATATACTTACTGTGTTCATAACTGCAGAACACTTGTGGTGGCAGATGGGTAGGGTTCAGGACAGGTTTGATGTATGGGTAGGTTTAAGGATGGGTTAAGGTTTAAGGCATGGTCAAAATTACAGATGTAATTTCATGCAGGTATTTAATCAATCATAAGTACAATGTAAAAACATGTATTAACACAATAAGTATTGTTCACATTCTATCAGTTAAGTTCACCTAATTTAAAGTGGGAGCAAAAAATGGCATCACTAAATATAGCGCATTATTATTATTATTATTTTTGTCTGATCTTTTTTGTTAGCCTTTCCACTGACTGAAGTCAAAATGTGTGTTTGTGTGTGTTTCAGAGGAGGGTCTGCGCCTGTTTGTTGGGCCAGGAGGCAGCACTGCACTGGGCTCTCAGCACAGCAGGTGAGATTGATTATGTAACATCCCTGCCGCAAGGTCAACACATCAACTGGCATCCCCTGCTCACGATGTCCTTGTGTTTGCTCATTGTGTTTTGCATTATGATAAGCCAATTATTGAGAGGTATAATGTTACATGAGCTCTGGAAATATCATCAAATTGCACACTGCTGTAATGTAATTCTATAATGTAATGCAATCCTATCCATCTCTCACTTTCTGTCACTCAGGGTTGGTGCTGGAGCTTTTGAACAGGTGGTTATAAAACGCTAGACTGAGCGTCCATGGGGGAAGGTGATGTAATATCTTGTGTCAAAAGAGGGGACGGCAGTCATCTTCCATCCCAAGCAGCACTTCTATACTGGGCTACTGACACATGCGTGGGCTCTAGGGATTGTGGGATTCCTGCTCCCCCTACTGGTCATCTCTGGAAACAGACAGAAGCTTTTTTTCTGTACCTAACAGTTACAGAAAATGCTTGGATTGGAAGCTTTTTACCAAAAATAGATGTTTATAGTTCTCGGAAAGAGATTTAAAGGGATTGTTCACACACAAAATAGATTCTGTCATCATTTATTTACCATCTACTAGTTCCAAACCTGTATTTTGAACAAAAAAGAAGATTTTTCGAAGAATGTTGGAAACTGGCAACCCATTGACTTCCATGGTATTTCTTTTTTCTTTTTTTTTTATCTGACAAAAGTTAAGTGAATACACTTTATTCGTCAATGATTTTTAAAGTTTAAAAAACAAAACTAATTTACATTGTGGTATCCTTTTATATATTGGCTTCCAGTTTCCAACATTCTTCACAATATCTTCTTTTACAAATAAAATGTTTGAAACCACTTGAGGGTGAGTAAATTCAAATAAATCTGGGGGTGAACAATCATTTTAATGCTGGCAGAACTGAAAAGACGTTTTCCTCTTTATGTTTTCTTGTTGACTTGGACTTTCATCTGTCCAGTGTTGCTTTTAACAGATGCTGCTAATTTGAAAAAGCAAGTATACTTGTTTAATGTAAAATGGTTACTTCAAGTGGACAACTTGAAATCATATTTCTGATAGAAGTATTTTTGTAAGGTCTTGTTACAAATGTGTTCATTTATAAGATACTTGTATATGTATGGTTAATAGAAGACAGCTAAGATTTTCTGAATTCTTAAAGAGGCTATTCGATCAACATAGTTGACTAGTGAGTTACTTATATAATTGTTTAGCACTGTCTTATGTAATCATCCATAAATTGTATGTGGATTGATGATGCTGTAAATGGTAGATATTTCAAGACATTTGAAACCAAATGACTTTGTTTAAATAACTTAATGCACATTCATTTTACAGGCATTCCTGTATGGTTAAGAGATATGCACAAGGCCTGAGTCAAGATTCCGGATTCATTTAAATACAGTATTTGGTTTGTTTAAAGGAGATTGTATATGTTGGATTTTATAGTTTGAGTTCTAGTTTTCCAGTAACAAACATGCCATTTTAAAGGCTAATAATTCTTATTGTAGATTACAGGGCTGTTATATCTGAAGATTGTTGTATATAAGGAAGTTGTGAATTTAATTTATGTTTGTCAAGTGACAATTGTCAATAAACAAAAACTAAAGAAGTTATAATTGTTAGTCGTTTCAGCAGGAACAATGCACCAGTAGTCAATTGTATTGCATTTGAAAAGTGCATTAGAGAGTAACTTTTTTATATAAAACTTATAAATACAATTTTTTGTCTCTGTAGTTTTGATTTGTTGCCAAATTGCTGATTTGCTGGAAAGTTTATGGTTGTTTAAATGTTTGCTGATTAACTTTGAAGCACATTTTATATTTTTATTGTTTACATATTAGCAACAGCAGATATCTGTGGAAATGTTTGAAGAAAAGGCATTATAAATATTAGTAGATAAATAGAAATTGTAATTATTTCTAAAAGACAAAAATAAACATTAAATTAAGAAATTATCATCATCATCTTATAGTTCTAATAATTTTTTCTGAAAAATTAATCAAATAAATCAATGACGCAAAATCATATACAATCTTACAAAAATCTTATTTTAATGTTATTTTTTATTAAAGAAGTTTTATTTAATTTTTTATTCAAGAAATCCATTGCATGAGAATTATCAGTGACATTGACAAGATTGAATACGTCTAATTTAGCAAACATGCCACATTATGAAGCAATAAAAATACTGTACACAAGTCGTAACCTTAATTGACAAAAAATGTGTATAATTTATTTATCACCATTTATCGGACGGGTTTTACAAGACATCTGCAGACAAGCACAAACTACATCAAAGAGTAGTGTTGCCAGGTCCTGTTTAAGACTTCATACCCGGCAGTGGCGTTATAAGGTGTAATATTTCAGAAAACCAATAACAGAACTGTTTGTTGCGATTTCATGATGTTATACAAACAATTTAACTAAATCAGCAAATTACATGTGGTTTGTCATTTACGTCAAATTTGAAATGTTTCACTTCTTGGGAATAAGCAGGTGAAATAACTGGCAACCCCAATCATCGCGTCCCTTTCCGCCTCCCCTCTTCCGTGCGCCATCTTGTCCCCACAATTCGGTGTAACAGAGCGCTTCGCGTGCGTCTGCCTCCAACCCAGAGAATAAGAAACAAAACGACCTGAAAACACACTTGAATGAATTAAGAGACGTCGGTCCGCTTCTCGCGCACCTCGTCGGACGCGTTCCTTCGCGATATTCGTTAAGGTTAACGACTATTTTTGTCCGTTTTCTCATTTAATGGCGTTGTGAAGGAACTGCCATGGCGGGTAGTCAGCAGCAACAACAGCAGCAGGCCGTGAGCAAACCGACCGGCGGGAAACACGGCAATAATTTGCCATTATGGGGCAACGAGAAGACTATGAACCTCAACCCTATGATTCTGACAAACGTGCTTTCTTCACCCTACTTCAAGGTCCAGCTGTACGAGCTCAAGACGTACCACGAGGTGGTGGACGAGATTTACTTCAAGGTGGCAAAATTACCCCGGGCCGATACGTGTGAAGCCTGTGGTTTTCCTTTTTGTGTTGATTTTGTCTTTTTGGTAGTAACTCATTCAGTAGGTCTTTATAAAAATCACTCCTTTTTGGTTGTACTTGCGTACATTGAAGAATACCGTGTTAGGCCATAGATGCTAACTTGCTTATGCTAACTTTTTCAAAATAGCGCTGTTTTATATATTAAAGGGTTTGATTACCTAGAATGAAAATCCTGTCATTATTATCCCAGTGTTTCTAACTAACGTTAACGTTATTATGCCTAATTGTGTGATGTAGTTAAATGAAGTTTAGACACAGTGACCACTTCATTCACCACTTACTTTAATTGTAACGTTAATGGAAAATTATTCAGTTAGCTGGTGACTGTTCGTGCGAGCAGGTAAATTAAATAACTTATCTCCCAAATCGCTTTCCACTATTAGAGCCCGTTGTTCTCATAGAAACTATAATGATAACTTTATAAGATGCCACCCAACCGACGAGAACATTTCTTTTATAATCATTGCGCGCTGGTGGTGTGTGTGTGATCTTCCGCTGAAAGCTCAAACTGGCGGGTTTTGATTGGCTGTCAATGTTTTTATTGTTCAGCTGAAGAAAAATAGCGCGGAAATGTTCCATATCTGTTCCTAGTTTCGTGTTTGTGCATCGTTGAACGATTATAAACATTCGTCAGTCTTGCTTTGGACGGCATTTATGTCTACTGTCGAAATTAAGTTACTTAACATTAGTTAATGCTGCTTTTTTCCTCAAAAGGCGGACCTTTTTGCAGTCATACGACTCATTTTTTATTGAATTATGTAGTTTAACAACTACATATTGTTGACATTTTAAGCACTGTTCTGAATTAGCTTGTTGGATGGTCATCATAAGCACACTTTTGGACAGTTTTAGCCAAAATAGCATTCAAATCTATTTTAAAATGGGCCACTTTTGGTCTTTAACAGCTTTTATTGGTCATTTTTAGTTTTAAGAATAAGGTTGAAGATTTACAATAAAAGTTACTTGTAAAGTGTCTTCTCTATTTGAAAACAATACAGTAGCGAAAGATGACGTCACTTAAGTCAGATTGTATGTTTTCTTGGAGATGTTGGACTATTGTTAGCATTGGCCAAAACTGATTAGCTAAAGTCACACCGAAGCGACAGCCAACGGAGGATTCCACTTAGCCCTAAAGCATTTTTCGAAGGGTTATTTACACTGTGATGGCATAGCAGTCAAAATAGCACAAATAAGCTTTTGTACAGGACATTTTCTAGACCTTTGTCATTGAGAGGTGGGTCTTTGAACCACCTGATCCCCCTGTGGCTACTGGTCTGTAACGTCACCATCTTTTTATTATTGTTGTGGGGGGGAAACAGTTAATTGAAAAAGTTTCTAAAGCCTTTTTCATTTATTCTTATTGCAATGTTTTAGAATTTAGGTTCACCCACAGATGAAAGTAATTGAAATTAATTTTACTCACCCTCTAGTCAACTTCGTCCTTGTTTTTTGTTTTTTTTTCCGAACATTACATTTTTCTTAGTTAAAACTGTCTTTAGTTTTGGGTTGACTATTTCTTTACAATTTATAGATATATTAATTTTAGGGTTTTTGTTAAAGTGTTTGTTGTATTCATTTGGAAACAACATTGAGGTTGGGTTGCTGTTTAAACTCTTTAGTGCATGGATGATTTACAGAACTTGATGTTAGACTGTGATCTGTTGTGTTTCCTCAGGTCAACCATGTGGAGCCATGGGAAAAAGGCAGCAGGAAGACAGCTGGGCAGACGGGAATGTGCGGAGGGGTAAGTAGAAGTACGTGCCTCGAGACCTCAACTTTATCCTCCCGTCCTCTTTGTTACTGATTAAATTCAGGGAGAGATTAATTTGTGCACAACATCTGTCAAGCTTTAAGTCTCATGATGTTTGTCCTGCAGGTTCGAGGAGTCGGGACAGGTGGAATCGTGTCCACGGCATTTTGTCTGCTGTATAAACTGTTCACACTAAAGCTGACACGGAAACAAGTGATGGGTCTTATCACTCACTCCGATTCACCCTATATCAGGGCATTGGGCTTCATGTACATCAGGTAAGTTTTTGGATGTCATCTTGCCTTTGCTTTGGAGGTTGATATGGGCAACCTAATATGCATAATATAATTATAACTTTGAATTTATGAAATTAATAGGCAGTTAGCACAGAAATGTTTAATTCAAATAGTGCTGGGTGATTTGGCCTTAAATCAAAATCTTGATTAATTGAACATTTTAAATCGATTGATTAATAAACGATTATTTTATTTATTTAAGTTATTTTTTGCCCTCATAGTTCACTGACAAGTTTTGTACAGTAAATATGCTCACATATTACAAGTGAGAGATTTTTTTGAATGAAGTGCGTATTACTTTATGATAAAATATTGAAGGAAGCACACTATCTACAATCTGATTATTAATTGCACATTAACCTTGAACAACTGAAATGAAAACTCTAGTTGCCTTAAATTTTTTCTTATAAAAAAAGTTTAAATTTTTTAAAATGTTTTTCATATTAAAAGTAAAAAGCAGCAATATCTCTTAAGTATTGTATGTTCTGTAAATAATATTTTAAACGGTGCGTCTTCTGAAAACATTTTAATGTAAATTATAATTTTAATATAATAGAAAATATGTCGTGTCAAGGCATCTCTGGCGCAGCTTCTAATCATTGTCAATGTAGTTCAAAGTAAGGCTCAAGAATCGGTCTCTCATCCTACTTGACCGAAGATCAGATGTAGCTGCAAAGCCTTTAAAGCAGAGGTGTTTAAACTCGTTCCTGGAGGGCTGGTGTCCTGGAGAGTTTAGCTCCAACCCTAATCAAACACACCTGAACCAGGCAATTAAGCTCTTTCTAGATATACTAAAAACTTCCTGGCAGGTGTGTTGAAGCAAGTTAGGGCACTGGTCCTCTAGAACCGTGGTTAAACAGCTGCTTTAAAGGCTGATGTATACATCTGCATCAAGTGATCGCTGTGACCGACAGCGCGTGCCTTGCGCGTAGTCGTGCATTTATACTTCTGCATGCTGTTTGTGTTGCTCTGCAGTAACACTTCCTAATCGCTAGTTCCTCTGTGCAAAGTTTCTTTGCAGGTGTTTTTTTTCTTCTGGACAGTACCTTAATGTACTTTGCGTAGTGTTGTAAAAAGTGCCTCACGTTTTTGGAATGGAAAAGCGAGTTCGGTGTGATCGGCCCCTAAATCAATCTAAACGGAGCGGGGTCGCGTGACTCGCGTGAAAAATTTAATCTATTATAGGTTCTGAATGTTGATTTCAATTAATCACCAAGCCCTAATTTTAGGACTGTAGTTTGTTTTGAACAGAGCACAGCTAAATGAATACACATTTATTTTATAATTTGTGTTTTCCAGGTATACTCAACCTCCTCCTGACTTGGTTGACTGGTATGATGAGTTCCTTGACGACGAGGAGGTATGTCGCCACGGGTAATGCCTTCACCTCTCTCTTATTTCAAATGTACACAGTTATAACCAGACATATCCAGGCTGAATGCTGATTGTGATGCACATTGCTGTCCTTCAACCTTTGGCCTCATTTGGCTTAATGTTCATTTTAAGAAATCACAGCTGCAACTGTATTTGTGGTGCCAGGTTTACCCGAGACATCAGATGACTCATTTCTTACACAAACAGGTTTGCCATGTCCATTCTGAGATCAGCTCAGTGAATTGTCCTTTGAGCTTCCTCTGCATGCAATTACCAAATTCACATTTAACTACAATGTTCTTTTAGTGCAGATAAATCTCTATATGGCAGTTTAATTTTTAGTGATTTATATTTAATTGTAAATATCAGATCTCCATTACTGTTTGCTACCTGAATACTAACAAGTATTTACACTCACTCTCAACTGTGAAGGAGTTTGTAGTATTGTATATTTTAGAAATGGCCTAGAAAAGGAGATCTAAATCACATTTGAGCAGACATTGCTGCCAGGCGTGATGGTGGTTGTGTGTGTGTCTGGCTGACTGCCCTGTTCTCTCTCCCAGATGGCCCTTGTGATGCGGGTGGATTGGATATAGGGTGCGCTCCACACTCTTGGCTGACGTTCGTGAGTGCAGTTAGACAAGCTCGCTCACCCACCCACTCCACCCCTTCACACGCACCGGTACAGCAATATATGTCAGCTGACCTTCTACCTGCTTTGCATCACACCTATTTTAAGTTGGTGCATAGTAAGAAAAGATGTTTTGGAATCAAATGATTTAGAAAAAAAGCAGTACTTAATCTCTTAATGATATTATTATTAGCATTTTTATTATTATTATTATTATTATTATTATGGGGATTAGAGGGGGGGGTAGACCATAAGAAATGTAACTATTTCCTCTCAGTTCTATGTGTTTTGAAGTAAAGGTGCAATGAAGGTCCTATGAAATATCTTTGGTGTTTAAAATTACATGCATGTATATTACTTTAGATCAGCTGCCCAGAAAATGCTGTATGTTTATAACATGTCCAGGATTAGATACTAGTGAAAATGGAATTTATATGACATTGTGTTTTTTTTTTTTTATGTTGTTTATTTGTTATTATAAAGTCAAATGTGACAGTAAAAGAGCAATACAATTACTTGATGCACCATTAAATACTGAATATTAAGTCAGGTGAGAGCAGAGGTGAAGACTCAGTATTTGGTCATCACAAATGAAGCATATTATCCAAAACAGTTTGTGTTGTGTGTTTAGGAAGTAATAATCTTTAGAGTTAAATTAACATGTACTACATCGGCGATGCTGTGTAATAAGAGCATGTGTAAGTGTTGTTTTTGTGATGTTTATGGTGTTAATGGTTTTCCTCCTCTTGTGATCAGGAGCTGGACGTGAAAGCTGGAGGAGGGTGTGTTATGACGGTTGGAGAGATGCTTCGCTCCTTTCTGACCAAGCTGGAGTGGTTCTCAACATTGTTTCCAAGAATACCTGTACCTGTGCAGAAGGCAATTGATCAGCACATGAAGAGCCGACCGCGTAAACCCCCACAAAAAGATGAGCAGGAAGAGGAGGAGGAAGAGGCCACAGCAGCACCAGCAGCCGATACAGGCAGGCATGGAGATAGGCGCCGTTCCAGGTACATTGGTTGTGTGTGTGGGTGGAATGAGATTATTTGGCTAACCAGATCAACGACCAGTATTTGTGGTGTTTATTAATGTAAGGATGCAAGTTTTGTTAAATTCCTTTTTAAATTATTCAAGATTATTTCAGTAAGCCAGTGATGAAAATGTATATCTTTTTTTAATATATGGTTATATATACTATTGGTCATAATAAAGGGAATAAAGTGTATTTTACTTTTGGTCAAAAGTCTCCCTTTATTTTTTGCCAGGAAAAAAACAACGCAAAATACTATAGACCGTTTTTAACTAGCCTCTATATGAGCCAACCTTTGTTGCTTCATGGTTCGCTTGTGCTTTTTGCTGGCACTAAATGTGATTCAAACCTGTTCAGTGATGAACTGACAAAATGAAACTTAAGTAAACTTGACAGCACGTTGAATAATAAAAAAAAAATGAATGGCATTAACACACTTCAATTTGAGCTTTGTCAAATGATAAATGTTTCTCAACATTGTATGTTTGTTAATAATATCAGTAATTTTAGGAATTGGTTTATTTAATGGTACTTATTGAGTCCAATTAATTTCTTTGTTGGTTATTGCTGGTTAATGTACGGCAGCTGCAGTGCGCTGAAATCTAACTGATCTGTTTTTGGGAATTTGTGTGGTTTACTCCTTAGAGCTGCACAATTCTGGCTAAAATCAGAATCTTTTTATTTTTTATTTTATTTTATTTTTTTAATGCCTAAAATCAAGATCATAATTTTTTCACGATTCTGTAGATGCTACAAAAGGTTAATATGAGTATTATTTGAGTATTATCAAATATGGCTACTATTATTTTTTAAATGTATGGTAAAACAACAACAATAATATTAGGCCTGCGTGTAGGTCTACTGTTGGTTAAAATGCTAAAGTTTATGTAGACTTAAAACAGTGGACTTGAATGGACTTTTTAATTATGTTCTGTTTGTTAATGCACAATAAATTGATTCGTCAGAACTATTCATAATTCTAAAGTTGAATCATGTTTGAGACATGCTTGTCAGTTGTCATTTTGGACATCATTGGACTATTTTGTCACTGGTAAAATGAGACATTTGTCATCAGATTCCCTCTTGTATTTTATTTGACATCATATAGGCTAGAGTAGTTATACTGACACTGTTAAACATTTATTGTCACCTATAAAACTGTTTGCTACAAAAAGAAAAAACCTATCAAATGCTTGTCATAATCGTTACTCTAAAATGTGACATGATTATTTAAAGGATGTATGTGCCGGTTTCACTTTCAGTGCTGAGTGCGGCTCATGGCTGCCGTCACTTTGAGGAAAAAAACACATACAGGGAAATCATACTTTCCACGCGGCTCCCAAACGATTGCTCTGTGCAGCAAACTGAACGTTTTTTGCAACTTGTATTACCTGTTATTCACAGCCTATGCGGGTTCTTTTCACTAAAGTAGACCTCATTCATATCAGTAGTAAACAAACAGTGCGTCATGTCACGTGTGATTTTTGCGGTCGTGAATACATCATTACATAAAGACAAAAATGTAAATTTTTGGGTGAATTATACCGTTATAAATGCAGTGTGTGACACTATCAACGCCATTTGGATGCCAGTTGCTGTCTGTTGCTGCAAAGACTTGTGCGATCGTCTTCATGCTTCTCTCCTGACCCTGAAAATATGATTGGCTGAATCATAGAAAAGCTGAATTAAAATTGTGTGGGGAGTTGAATCTTTCTTTCAAGTAATCATGCAGCTTTAGTACTGACTGTGGTCGGGATGTGTTTTGCAGTTGACATGTCAGTTTCTTCCATTCTTGCTTCATGTATGGATCTGCTGTTCAATGGTTTTTGATTTTGTGTGTGTGTGCCTTCAGGACACCTAGGAGAAGTCCAAGTCCCAGGAAATCCCAGAATCGCTCCCGGAGTCGCAGCCATCACAGAGAAAGGCATGGTGCTAGCTTTGATCATGAACTGGAGAGAGAACGAGACCGTCAGCGCAAGGAACGGGAAGGAAAGGACCGGGACAGAGATAGAGACAGGGACCGAGAGAGAGACAGGGAGAGAGACAGAGATAGACGACGTTCCAGAACTCCAGACCGAAACGCAGAACGCCGGCGGAGCAGAAGCAGAGAACGACGCCGGAGTCGCAGCACCAGCCGAGACAAGAGAACGGAGAGAAAAGACCGTGATAAAGACAGAGAGGCAGAGAGTGAGAGAGAGCGTAGTCGCAAGAAAGACAGGGAGCACCATAAAGATCGAGAGAGGTCAAAAGACAAGAGGAGTAAAGGAGAGGGAGAGGAGCGGAGGCACAAGGATGATAAGGAGGAGAAAAAACACAGGGAAGAAAAGAGAAGTAAACGCTCGAGAAGCAGAAGCAGAGACCGCAAACACAAAGCTGAGAGATCTAGCAAGAAACGCTCCCGCTCTGGCAGCAGGAGCAGGCAGGAAGCCGGGGAAGAGAAGAACAGGAAGCGGGAACGCAGCCATAGTAAGGATCGCCAACACAAGCGCAGTCGCAGCAAAGAGCGATCGCACCGTCGGGAATCCAGCAATGAACGAATACATGCAAGACAAGACCGCCCCAGTTCTGAATCTGGAGAACGAACAAACAGTGTTCGAGCAGATTCTCCCTGATCCAAGTTTGTCTTCTCCCCTCTCTCTCTCTCTCTCTCCCTCTGCAACTTTATTCCGATCCCTCTCTTATTACTTTGTGTTCTTTTCTTTTAATCCCCTTGTTAAAAGGCAAAAGCCTGGCTTTTTTTCTGCACTGTTATCCACCACTTGTGTAGATATTAAAAATGTAATTTTCTCTCAGTTCCCCATTTACAAATGTCAGGACTCAAGATGACATTTTAAAATATTTTTTATTATTTCCCTTTTCTCCCAGATTTGTTTTCAGGATTTCCACAAATGGCTGTGTACATAGAGCTCAGAGAATGTTTTAAATTTCAACAGAGTGTCCACTGAGTTGAGTTTGTGGCACAGGGAGCTGAAAGCTATGCTGACATTGTGCTGTTTGATTCATTGCTCTGTTGCATCTCATTTTCTAATAAAATTGTATGGAATAGAATTGCTCAGTTGTATAGTTTTGTCATTAAGCAAAGCAATAATATCCAACTACAAACCAACTTGCATTTCAGCACATACAATCCAGCACACATGATCAGGCGAATGGGGAGCGTTGTTTCTGATCGTCATTCAATATACTAGACGACAGTTATCTATCAGTCATCAGATTGTCAGATAAATAATGACTGATTGAGTCAATATAGCAGATACAGGTTTGCTGGCCTTGCTGAAACATTTTTCAGAGATATATCAACTATCTAAATTGGACAGGTTTAATTTATACAGTGCATTCATTTTAATGAAGGAAATAATAGCAAGTTCATAGGCTATAATGCATCTTTATTTGTAATGCAAATCTTTTTGTTTAATAAATGTATAACACTATATATTCATATGTTACAACAATGACTGAACTGTGAAACTCCAAACTGTTCACAGACGGTTTCGATCGCAATACTTGTGAAATACACTAGATGGCAATAATGCTCCTGATCCGTCATTAACTATATATGGTTCGCCCCTGCCTAGATCGTGCGCCCTGGATTGTGTGTGCTAAAATGTGTGTGGGTCTGCGAGTCGGCAGCTGGATATATCTCGAGCAATCTCCACTAACATGGACCCATAAGATTTTCATTGGTTCCGTTAAGACATGCTTCTGCTGTATTATTTCAACTTTATTTTGCAAGCCAGTACTATCCCTAATGAAGAGATCAAAGAAGTTCCTATTACCATGCAATTGAGAAAAGTAGTGACCAACTATTCCCATAAGGTAATGTAATTAGCTGTACTCTCAAATGAGTTGTACATGTGTCCATTGTTTTGGAAGGCACCTCTTCTTTTGGCTTCGAATAGGTCGCTTGTGTCTTGGTAAGTTCCTCATAAAAAGATAAATTTTATTGAACAGCAGAGATGTTTATGTAGCATTAATTTATTCCAGATGGGCTTTACATGTCATAATTTATAAGACCATGAGTTCATAATTTATCACAAATATAACATATTTTGGAACTACATTTTAAAAGCAATATATATTTACCCAGTCAATCTATTCCACCCAGAGATATTGTGAAGAATAACCTTGACCCAAAGAAGTGAAGCAACACAGAACAGTACAAATTCTTAGGAAAAGGCAAAGGGTTGGTCGGGATGAAGAGTCCACTCAGGAGTTGTTGGGCAGGCCTGGTGTGGAGAGAATAGTGTCATTACTATATGACTTTTAATGACATTTAAGTAAATATGTATCAATATAAAACCTATAAAATGTGGATTGGGGCTGTGCAATGTGCAGAAAATATTTTAATTGAGATTTTTTTTTTTTTTTTTTGACGGATATAGTGAATTCGATTTGATTTGCAATTTAATTTTGTAGTCCAGCTTCGGCTCAATCTGTATCGTAGCTTCTTAAATTTAAAATACAGTGAGTGTTAGTTAAAAAAAAGAAACTGAAAAGATATTGAAATTTATTTTTAAATATTCAGAAATGAAACCTTTTTTACTCTGGAGCAAACTGAGCACAAATAAAATGGCCTTGTCTTTCTGTGAACAAATTGAACTCAAATTAGGGAGATAGTGTAGCTCATTATACAAACAAAAATAATAATTATAAAAATACAGAACACTCAGCAAACTAACATGGCTTAAAACTCTGAAATTGTTTTTTTTAATTTATTATTTCTTTTTTAAACTTCCCAGGTTCCGCAGGTTGCAATGTCCCGAAGTTTGATCGCCAATCTTAAGCCAATTGTAATAGCTTGTTTTGGTTCAATTTGGAATTTCCCCAACCAGTCGCAGAGCCTGGGGGACCAGAGTGAGTGCTCCGACTTGGTCTTGGTCCCTGGTCTTGAATTTGTACTTTGCTGCTGCTTGCTACTAGACTGAGGGCGTACTCACACTATGTGCAGTTGCCTTGAACTGGGCCAAAGCACGCTTCTCGCCCCTTCCGTCTCCCCCGATGGCCCAACTCACATTCGAGCCTGGGCGCCCTTACATCATCGATGATGTGCTGTTCAGTAAGCGCTTTCGCTCAGCACAGTGGAGATTTCTGTGGTTATATCGTTAAGTCGTTTGATATGCAGTGACACGCAGTCAAATATTTTGCTGAACAGATCAGCCACTTTTGACGCTCATAAACAATCAAAGAGTCCTTGTGTTGCAGGAATTAGGAGGTTTGCTGAAGGTGCATCTATCGTGCAGTGAGGGGTTTGTATCTTTAATAATCTATGACAGTTTGCATTCGTTGAACGGTAACAATGATTAATAAATCCATTTCTAACAGTCCCTTAAAAGTCACGTCTCGCTTTCAGTTTCGGGCTCAGGCGTGTTTTGCACTCGCACACAAGCGTACCGCGTCAAAGCCCAAGTGAACCAAGCTCTGGCAAACCTCTTCCAATCGGGCCAGGGCTGGCCAAGTGAACCGTGCCTGAGCCCGATTCAGAGCACTCACACTTCTTAAACGATCCGGGAAATGGGCCTGGGCACGGTTCGGATAGCATAGTGTGAGTGCGCCCTAAGTGTCACTGGCAATCCTTTCAGTTGACTTTTTAGGAAGACACTCATCAATCAATTGTGCTCAAATCGAGAACCGATTTTGATTAATCGCACAGCCCAAATGTAGATTAATTGATCTTTCTTGCATGTTACATGAACTTGTTTATTTCTGCTTGAGCATCATCTCACCTTTCTCTGTGCTAGGTCTCATCTTCTTCTGCTACTGGCTGAAACTATCAAAGGATGGACAACGTCAAAATTTACAAGATTGTCACCAAAGCAGCCATTTTCAATTATTTGATTGTATATAGCGTTCCATTCGCTAAAAGCTACTTACTTAAAACAGGCACAGAGTCTTCACTTTCCCCAGCAGCGTTCCTGGCAGTTACAACAAGGTTCCCACTGCTGAAGTTACTGACCGAGCAGAGAAGCTGTGAGGTCATGCAGAGTGTCGTCCTATTAGAAGAAGCGACCACATAAACGGTGTAGTTTGTAGCAAATACAGACTCCGCCCATGCCACTTGTGCTGATGATGCAGTGAATGTAACATTTGAAGGTGGACAAGGTACTGAAGAAAACAAAGGAACATCAATTAAGTTACATGTGTACATTTTTTTTTTACTTGAGAGCATTTTAATTCCCATTTAAGCGTATAGGAAGGTAGTGCAATTGTGCTGACGTTATGCACCTGTTGTTCCATTGACAGCAGCAGAGGCATCGCTCGTGGCTGCAAAGTTTCTCGCCTTGATGGTCGCGCTGTACGAGGAGCCACAAGGAAGAGGGATCTCAAAGAATGTGTGACTTGTCCAGTAGGAGGTAAGGTCAGATTGTGCATTGTGGTTGCCGTGAATGCAGCCTTTGAGAGCCAGGAGGTATTCAGACTTAGAGCAGTTCACAGTTGACCAGGATGCCCTCAAGATCTGAGTGCCATTCACTACTGTACGAGGGGCAACCCTTAATTGAGCTGGAGGACAAGGAGCTGTAGGGGGAAAGGTGTATTTAAAGAATTAAAACAGATCTGAAATATGTTGGATTTGCAGAGTGGAAGATTTTTACATTTGGGCTAAGCCAAGGGTGCTCAACCCTGTTGTTGTAGATCCACCTTTTCAACCATTTCAGTTTTAACCCATATCAAACACACCTGCCTGCAATTATCAAGTGATGTTCAGGTCCTAATTAATTGGTTCAGGTGTGTTTGATCAGGGTTGGAGCTGAACTCTGCAGGATGGTAGATCTCCAGGAACAGGGTTGAGCACTCCTGGTGTAAGCACAAGTTTGATCAGCTTATAAAGGTTATTTTTCATGTTGCATCCAGTCTAAAATGCAATGTCATTGTAAGCAGTCGCTAGCCTAATTGTGACTCAAGAGAAGTTGCTAGAACCTTTACTTTGCTCTACTTTGGTTTAAGTGGCTTTCATAGGATCACTCATATTTTTATTTTACAGAATTGAGTTTTACCATTTTTGAATCCCTTCAGCTGACCTATAGGTCTGACAGTAGTATACTGGTGGCTATTTTCAGGCACTGTGTAATAGTGTGCTACACCAGAATGAGAGTATAGTTTATAGACATATCGAACTAGAAAATGGGAACTTTACATTTTTTGTCAGTTTTGGTACACTACAGAATAGTCAAGCTTTAAAAAAAGAAAACGATTCAGATTATTTGCCCTTTTTTAAACAAGATGAAAATGAATGCTTTAGGCCAGTGGTCTCAAACTCAATTCCTGCAGGGCCGCAGTTCTGCACAGTTTAGCTCCAACCACTTCCAACTCACATCTGCTTAATATTTTCTAGGGCTGTTTCTCAATATGCGTTCCTTAGCGATCTTGTATTCTCGTGTAACGTCATCATCAACTGCCAAAGCTCAGTTCCGCAAGACCGGACGATGTGTTCCCGGATGTGTTCTTGATATCGAGGATGCAGACCTGAGCGCAAAACTCGCTCAAGAAGTCCCAGAAGTCATTGGGGCTGAGTAATGGAGATGGAAGGCGCAGCATTTTATATAGATGTATTATTAAAGTTCAGAGATATAACTTTTTTATCTCAGGATTTTCCCTAAATGAAACTGTGAAACTAAACATTGACATGAAATATGTGTAAAGGCATAAACACATTAAGGGTGTTTATTTGCTGAAATCCATATCAAAATTTAATTTATTTGTATTGTCCAATTTAAATTTATGATGTCTTTATGCATAGGATTTTTTGTGAAAAGGGAAAAAACAATAAATCGCTGTATGAATGCTGTAATGTTTAAATCACTTTTCATTAAAACATGTGAAGGTCATGTGACCATTAGGAAGAGGAAGAATCAGGAAAGAATGCAGCATCTCATTTCTCACAGGAAGAGTTCTCTGTTCTCGCGGTCTCCCAAGTTTGTTCTTCCGAGGTAACTTGGCAAGACCGGTCTCCACAAGAATGCAAGTTTATTCTCTGCGTTCTTGAAATTGGGAAACAGCTTAGAAGTTTTATACTCCTTGATTAGTTGGGTCAGCTGTGAAATAGGGTTAGAACAAAACTGCAGAGTTGCGGCCCTCCGGGAATCGAGTTTGAGACCTATGGTTTAATCTGATTCAGTAATCCATACAAAGCTAAACTAAAAGTGCTCCTGCCAGAACCAGAGATCAACTGAATGGATTCATTCATGAATATTCCTCCAGCTTAGTCCATACCTGCCAACAGTCCTATTTTTTTTCCTGGGAGTCTCCCGTATTTTAGACCCATCTCCCGTTTTGTTCCGTCTCCCAAAAAACTCCCGGATCCCCCCACCCAAAAAAAAGCTTTTTGGTAGGACCCCCCTTGTTCAGTTTGCTACTCACCCCCAACCCATGTCTCTCTCCCACCCTGAGCCACCCCCCTCCGCTCTTCAGTTCACAACCCATCCAAATCCCCCCTCCTCCCCTACTGATAACCGCTCAACAATTCACGAAACAAAAACAAAATCGCAAAAAGTTTTCAGAGACAAATGTTAGGAGGTATGGCTTAGTCACTTATTAGTCACTGTGACTTCCCAGGTAAAAAAGTATACTAAAATGCACTTTATTTAAGTATACTTAGTACACTTTTCAGTAATGTACTAAAAGTGCTTATTTTCACACACTAATTTTGTACTTAATGTACTAAAAGATAGTATTAAGTATATGTTAAGATAAACTTATTACAATCTAAGTGTACTCAACTCTGCTATTTTGAGACACCCTGAAATTGAACTAAAATGTGCTTTTAATATACTACTGTATATCTGTATTTTAAAAAATATATATTTAGTTACAACTAGAAATATGCTTGAACCCTAATTTTAAACATTTATAAATATATTAAAGAATAGCTTAAAGTATAATAGTAATATATTAAAATAATATACAAAATGTGAAAAAGTGTACTAAAATACAATTTAAGTACACTAAGTATATTTTTTTAAATAATGTACTAAAAGTGCTGTATTTTCACACACTAATTTTGTACTTAATGTACTAAAAGAAAGTATTAAGTATATGTTAAGATAAACTTAATACCATCTAAGTGTACTCAAATGTGCTATTGAGACACCATAAAATAGAACTAAAATGTGCTTTTAACATACTATATCTGTATTTTAAAAATATTTATATTTAGTTGCAACTAGAAATACACTTGAACCCTACTTTTAAACATTTAAATATATTTATGACTAATTTAAAGTATAATAGTAATGTATTAAAAGAATATACAAATTGTAAAAAAAAAAAAAGTGTGCTAAATACTGTATTAAAAGTATTTTGGGAAAATGTACTTCTACTACAATACATTTCTAATAGATTTTTTTATATATTAACTTATTTTAAACTTCTACTAATGTTAAAAGCATTTAAAGCACACTTTTGAAAAACACACTAATAAAACTCTTGTGGATGTTTTTTCTTTAGTGTACTTTATTGTAGTACACTTAAAATGTATTTAAGTATTACTGGTATTTGGCATACTTTTGTCAAGTGTACTAAAGTCCTACTGAAGTATAAACATACTTCTAATTAGTATATTTATAGTGTAAAACCATCAAACTTATTTAACACAAAAAATAACAATGTACTAAAAATGTATTTGCGGGTTTTTAAGTGTATTTTAAATGCATTTAATTATATATTTTTTCACCTGGGTTAGTCACTAATTCACAATGAAATTAACCACTTTTGGCTTAGTCCCTTTATTCATCAGGGGTCGCTACAGCGGCACTGCCAACTTATCCAGCATATGTCCTTCCAGCCACATTCCAGTACAGAGAAACACCCATACACACTCACATTCACACATGCACAACAGCCAATTTAGTTAATCCAATTCACTAATACCACATGCCTTTGAACTGTGCGGAGTACCCAAAGGAAACCCACGCCAACACAGGGAGAACATGCAAACTCCACACAGAAATGTCAACTGGCACAGTCGGACTCGAAACCGGGACCTTGCTGTGAGGTGACAGTGCTAACCACTGTGCTGCCTGAATGAATTCAAAAATGGTAAAACTCAACCTCCAGATAAGTTTAGTGGAGAAGTGGAGTGTTCCTTTTAATGACTTTAACAGTAAGTATGTGTGTCTGAAAATTCAATGCCAATACAGACAACTGTACATGAGTATTGTGGTTTGAGGGTGAAAAATGAATGTTGTACCTGCTCCTATGGTTTGAGGATCACTTAAGGAACTGTTGCAGGTGCCATCCGTCGACAGCACTGTGAAGTTATACACAGCTCCGCACACCAACCCCGGCAAAGAACAGGATGTTTGTGTGGTTTCGCAGTAGATTGTTGTGCCGTTTTCAGACTGACCAAGTCCCATGTAAGCCACTGCCCCTTTACTCCCCACCCAAGACAAGGAGGCACTACCATTTTCGCACTTTATATTTGCTGTCAAGTTGGAAGGCTTACATGGCACTGCAAAATAAACACATATCAATAAGTATTTAAATCATGGAACAATTTTTATTACCGAGTTTAAAAGTAATTTGTTTCTCCTGCCTGTTTGGAAGGTGACGTTTGTGCTGGGCAGGCTGGTGCAGTTCTCATTACTGGCCGAAACGGACACATAGTAGCTATTACTGCAGTGTAGATTGGTTAGTGTGCAGTTGCTGTCTGAGGTATTGCACGTCTTTAGGTCTCCATCTCTGCCGACTGCAGTAAGCAGGTATGACTGTGCCACGTATGATTTGTCCCACGACACAGACACATCCTTCGACTGACAGTCTGTATGGGTCTGAATTGTTGAGGGTGGACAGGGCACTGCAGAGTATCAAAGGAAGAATACTGATGTTATTGAAGCACATCTACCATGGATCGATCTGCAGAGCAGGTGTGTCCAGACCTCTTACTGGAGGGCAGTTTCCTTCCTGCAAGAATTTAGCTTCATCCTGTTTATAACCTTTTCAAGGTCTCTAGGATTGGTGGAAACTCCCAGGCTGTTGTTTTATATCATGTTAGAAGAACTAAACTCCAGTAAACAGGAGTAAATCCACATGTCTATAGAGGGCAACTGTAATTCAGCATGATGTCAACAATTCAGATGATATGTATATCTAGTGGTTGTTTATAATAGGCATACCCAGATGTCTTTTAATATATTATGGTGGACCTAGACTTTTTTGTTCTCATGTTAAAATTTCAAGTCAGATCATCAAGGAAAGTTGAATAAATAATAATAGTGAAGGTTTTTATCTATTTGGGTATGTAGTAGTTAACATTTGAAGTGGTTCGAAACCTTTCTTTTACATTTGTCTTAAAACTATTGAAGAACACCCATTTTTCAGGTTTGAGACAATTTTGAAAATCTTTTTCTATCCACTTCAAGGGCTCTATTTTGACGATCCATGCACAAAGCGCAGGGCGCAAACGCATTAAGGGCGTGTCAGACTCCACTTTTGCTAATATAAGGTCGGAAAAATCTGCTTTGTGCCTTGGCGCATGGTCTAAAAGGGTTGAGCTTATTTTCTTAATGAGTTATAGGTGTGTTTTGAGAATAAACCAATCAGACTCTTGTCTCTCATTCCCTTTAAAAGTCAGTTGCGTCGCGCCATAGTGCATTTGCTATTTACATGACGGACTTTGTAGGTGGAAAAGCTAAACGCTTTACTAGCAAGAAAACAGTTGAACAGAGCATCTACAGCAGGGGTCTCAAACTCGCGGCCCGCGGGCCATTTGCGGCCCTCAGTGCAATATTTTGTGGCCCGCGCCGACCGCTATACTCTGACAGAATCAGCGGAGCGGGGAGAGAGAGCGCTCCCCGCTCGGCTGATTCTATCCGTACACAGCGCGCTTGTCACTCAATGCGCTTGTCGCGCGCGTTCTGATCAGCTGTGTTGTCGCGGGCGTACTCAAGAGCGGTGTTATCGCGCTCCTACTGAAGGGCGGGACCGAGGGTGTGTCGCGTTGCGGGGGCACTTTTGATCATTTTGGAAGGGCACTTTCTATGCAAGACTAAAAAGGGCATGTGCTCTGCACAGGTTGAGCCCTATGTGTGCACGTGCCTGCCCTGTTGATATTATAGGTAGATACAGACTGGTACAGACTGATGTGACTGGAGTGGGGTGGGGGTGTTTTATTTATACATATATACGCCTTTTTTTTTAGGTGAGGGAATGGAAGTTTTGAGTGAGTTCCCCCACTTTTTTCCCTAGGACTTCAATAAGTCAAAGTACAGGTCTAGACTTAATGATGATCATCTTCAAGCCATACTGAGGGTCTCAACTGCTTCCGCTCTAAAGCTAAATGTGGTTCAGATTTGTGAGAAGAAGCGCTGTCAAGTCTCTGGCAGCAAGAAGTATGCAAAAGATGCCATGTTCAGAAGAACTGTTCATAATCTTCACTCAATGTTCTATTAATGTTCAGGACACTTCATGTTCAGAAGAAATAATTAAAACTGTTAATAATGACATTTGAGGACTTTTTTTTGTGAAATCCCTTATGCGGCCCAGCCTCACCCAGACTTTGCCTCCTGCGGCCCCCAGGTAAATTGAGTTTGAGACCACTGATCTACAGCATGAGAATATGAGATGAGCCTCCTCATTATTTACTTTCACTTTGCTCTCGTGGATAGGGAAACCTTGTACGCACAGACATCAAATAGCTTATAAATAATTAATTAAGTTTGTTAAGCGCAATTATTTGTTTCAAAACTATTTCTAAATTCAGTTCTAATTTCCAGCAACCGAATAAATGAACAATAATAACGAAGTGTGGTCAAAAAAACTGAGTTATATCCAAACACACATGCTATGCGCAATAAAGTCTAAAACCTGACAGGTTGGCAAATCTGATCTTATTTTTAATAAAACAATTATAAATATGGATATAAATAATACTGCTAATAATAATAACATTATGCAAAAGCAAATTGTCACGAATAAACTGAAAAAGCCCCCCGAGATGAAGAAGGCATGAAAGTATGGTTTTTATATTTATGTAGGCTACAAATTAATATGTTTTGTAATATTTTAATCCTTTATATTTATATCCTATATATATCCTTATTATATCCTATATATATCTTTAATATTTTAATTATTTTTCATATGTAAAGATATTTGCGTATTGCTCTACATCTTGTGTGTATTAAGCAGTGTGTAAGCAAGGCGAACAACTAATGCGCTCTGCGCTGGACTTTAACTTTCTGGTTTATAGAACAGACTAATTTAGTTTCTCAAAATAGCAACGCGCCAGGAATGTGCCTCAACACACCTCCGTTTTTAATTCAGAACGCCTATGGGCACACATATGAGCGTAAATGCATTTGCTATTTAAACAGCGTGGCGCAAAACGACTCTGGCGCCAAGCTGAAACTACCCAACAACAAGTGCGTCTCGCCTTGCGCCACATTGCGCCGGGTGTATGATAAGGGCCCAAATGTTGACTACTGTACAGCAGTGTTCCCCAACCCTGTTCCTGAAGGCACACCAACAGTACACACCACTTCCTAATCAAACACAACTAAATCAACTCATGAGAACATTAGAAGAAACTCCAAAACTTTCAATAAATGGGTCAGATAAGGGAGACATCCAAAATATGTACTGTTGGTGTGCCTCTATAAACAGAGTTGAGAAACACTGCTGTATAGCATAATTAGCATAAAACAGGGTTTTTGCAAGTTTCAGCAAGATAAATTTAAGACTTTATAAGTCATTTTAAGACCGTTATGAATGCAATTTTGTACTCATACAGGGTTATATGCTAATGTGTTTTTTGAATGGCCTAGTTGAAAAATAATTTTTTTTGCTTCTTCAAACTTACAATTATTATATTGAATAATATTATTGTATAATTAAATTGTATTATCGTTGTTGTTATTATTATTATCATTATTTTTATTATAAAATGTTATTATAATTATTAATATAATAATATCATAATTATTTATTTATTATTATATGTTGTTAATAGTATTTTGCTGTTAATAAATTTTATAATAATTTGTAATAATATTATATAATTTAACAAATGTAATAATGCAATAATAATAATTTAATAATTAAAATATTTAATATTTTAGTTGGTTTTGAGCAAAATATTTTAAATATTGTGTCACAACAAACAAGCTCTAGTTTTCAACATAACTTTTCTTAAAAAGAATAAAACATTTTTAAATGTTTTAAAAGCTATAATAAACTAAATGTATGCACAACACTGTCCTGGTTAGGTTCCTTAGCAGTAAATACATGAAACACTTAATTAAATACATGAAACACTTAAACTTAATTAAGGAAAATAATTAAACTATTATGGTAGATAGAGTAAAAATTACATTCTTAAATAAATGGAATGTTAGTGATTGGATTGGTGTTGGCCATACTGGGTAGCTATACATGAACAAAGAAAATTAAGACCTATTTTGAAAAGATTTAAGACCTACAACATACTATTTCAGTAAATTTAAGACTTTTTAAGGCCTAAAATTTTGTTTTTGAGATTTAAGACATTTTAAGACCCAGCAGACATCATGTTTAGAGTAGTTATTAATTACTTATTGTTTGCTTTATTAAATATTCATGATATCATGTTTTACTATGACATTTTATACATGGTTATCTGCAGTTGTGCACTATGGTCCATCCAATATCAATACCTCAACTTTTTTCTGAGTGTTAAACAACATGCATCTTTTTTAAAGTTGGTTTTAACAACGACTACCTTTTAAAAAGGGCTACACAAGTAAACTTTTTATAATAATGAAGGTTGTACCTGTCCTAATCTTGTATGGTGGGCTTCGGAGGCTGCTACATTTTTTGGCAGAAGCTTCCACAATGATGGTGTACTCGTTGCCGCACTGCACATTGGTAAGGTTGCAAGAAGATGTGGAGCTGTTGCAAGAAAGGAAGTTACGGTCTTGATCCTCTGCTGTGACAATGTAGAGAGAATCTCCCATCTGGTCCCTCTGCCACTGCACCTTGATAACAGAACTCTGGCATTCGGCTGTCGCCACGATGGATGATAAAGCACAGGGTGCTGGAGACACAGAGATTACACATACTGCAAAACTGAGGCCTGGGATCTCAAAAAAGAAGCGGTAAACCTGTTTTCTATCGCATGTCTACTAACCTGTCTCCAACTTAAAGCTCTTGCTGGGTGGGCTCACACAGGCTCCATTTGAGGCAGTGACCTGGAAGGTGAATCTCCTTCCACAACCCAAGTCCGGTACATGACACACAGAGTTTGAGCTGATACAGGTGGAATTTTGACCACTATCCCCTACAGCCAGCACTGTGTAAGTATCTGTACTATTATCTACATCCCATGATACCCATGCAGAATTAGTGACACAGTCCACAGTGCCGTTGACCCCCTGTGGGATACATGGAGCTGTGAAGGAAAGAGATCAGACATGCATTAGGTGAAGTTTGGGTATTAGAATCTGTAGTGGTGTTCTTGTGTAAGTGTCCAACCTGAGGTGATGTTGACGCCACTACTTGGCTGACTCTGACAGCTGCCTCTCACTGCCACCACACTGAGGTTGAAGATCTGTCCACAGGTTAGATTGGTGATGGAGCATTGTGTGTTTGTGCTGTTACAGAAGGAGATCAAACCCGTGCTCTGGGACACCAGTTCCACAACAAACTGGCTGCCATCCACTGACGGGCTCCAGCTCACCAGCACAGACCCTGTATCACACTGCACGTTGGCCTGCACGTTTTGAGGGGAGCATGGAGCTGAGAAAAGAGAAAGCGGTTGGCTTGTTTTAATAAAGGTAAGCAGTTAACCATGTTGAAACTCCTTACCACACTGACTGCATTTGCTATACAGCAGCACTACAAACATGTAACTTACCTGCTGTTTTTGCATGCCCAGAGGTTAACCAGCCATGCAAAGGCAACATGCAGTAACTTAGTTTTTATCTGAAAATAAGCTATTGATATTTTAGGGATATATATAACCTCCTTTATTACACGGATATGTATCTTGAGCAAACTTTGTTGTTACCTCTGTTGGCACTATTTAATGTTGGTCACTGCCTTTTTTGCCAAATTATCATGTCCAGTCAGCATTTGTTGGTTTAGTGTGAACCGGGTTTAACACATACATTACCTGATAAAAGCATTGTCGCCTATTCAAGTTTTAGGAACAACAAATAATAACTTGACTTCTAGTTGATAATTTGGTATCAGAAGTGGCTTATATGAAACGCAAAAGCCTCTAGATTACGCTTAATTTACCAAAATAAAATATAGTCATGCCTTGATTTGTAATTATTTAATTAAGACAGTAATGTCTGACTTTGCTTAGACAAAAGTCTCATCACTTAACAGAAATAATGTACTGAATAGAATATAAAGTCATGGTGAAGTGGAAAAAAAATTAATATTGTGTATGACTTCCATGAGCTTGGAGGACTGCATCCAGACATCTCTGCAATGACTCAAATAGCTTAAAATTATCTGGAATGGCAAAGAAGTCCCAGAGTCCATCAAGATTCTTTGGATTCATCTTCAATGCTTCCTTCATCTTACCCACGACATGCTCAATAATGTTTGTCTCTGGTGACTGGGCTGGCCAATCGTAGAGCACCATGACCTTCTTTGTTTTCAGGAACTTTGATGTGGAGGCAGAAGTATGAGAAGGAGCGCTATCCTGCTGCAGAATTTACCCTCTGGGGTGGTTTGTAAATTAATGGACAGCACAAATGTCTTGATACCTCAGGCTGTTGATGTTGCTATCCACTCTGCAGATCTCTCGCATGGCCACATACTGAATGTAAACCCAAACCATGATTTTTCCTTCACCAAACTTGACTGATTTCTTTAAGAATCTTGAGTCTATGCGGGTTCCAATAGGTCTTCTGCAGTATTGGTGAGGTTTGGGATGCAGTTGATTCATGTGAAAAATCGACCTTCTGCCACTTTTCCAAATGATCAACTGGAAGTTATTATTTGTTGCTCTTACAACTGGGATTGACAACAAGACTTTGTCAGGTAGTGCTGTCTTTAAGGTACATCAGTCGGTTTAATTCTAAATGATTTTACATCACACAAAACATTTTTTAGTTAAAAAATAATAAAAGCACATGTTATATTTTGAGAGTTTTAACCCCCTTCAGAATTAAACATACTACTGTAACTTCAAGACTACTACATTGCATTATGACTGACTAACCTCTTTGTAACAAGTGTATATTTTGATGTATTTGTAGATGTATTACTGCATAAAGCTAAAGATTCCAGTTAAATTATTGCAGAATAATTCTAATGATGCACTTATATGGACTTTTTGGTACATTCAGATCATCGTCTTTATATTTTAAAGCCATTAAACAATATGTAGAATGATAAATATATGTCTTCATATTACTTTTCTTGAGCCTTCTTGCATAATTACAAATTGCAATTCTGATGTACTTTTGTTTATGGTGAAAAACTTTTGTGTCAACAAAATTCCTAATTTATCATTATCAGCTGACATCCATTTGGACCCCCAATATATCATATATCCCTAAATAATTGTATCTGGTGTTAACAGTGGGCTATATGACTCCAAAACATCAAATACCAAAGCATACGGTTGTTCTTACTTAAGTATGTAAAATCCACACACACACACACACACACGCACCTGTCTGTACTTGAGAGACTGTGCTCATCACACCCCCACAACCATTGGCCAGTGAGAAGACAGAAACGTTATAAATCTGTCCACACTGCAGTTCCTGCAGATTGCACGAGGTGGTGGTGCTGTTACAAGAGTAGGAATGACCATCACTAGACACGGCCACAGCCATGTACGAGACTGCCCCGCTTGCTTGAACCCATGACACAGACACAACCCCTCCATTGCGCATGTTGCAAAGCAAAGATGTCTGAACATTGCTAGGTGCACATGGAGCTGAAACAAAAACAATATGTCAGCATAATGTTAATACACTTGCATGGACATTTTGTTTCCTTACACTTTATTTTGAACATTAGACTATGTCTAAGATCACCAGCATGTAAAATGTATCAATGCACACTGCTTTTATATGGTATTTATATTTATATGATAAAGGATGCTCTTCCTTTGTATATACGATCAATACTTTTTAATTGTATTCCCAGCAACTTGCTTGCTGTTGTTTTCACCTTCCCCAGTGACCTCATCTGGGCCTCAGAAGCATTTCCATACCAACAGATTACACAAAATGTTGCAATACTGTTGATAAAAGCACTATAAAACATGATCAACAATGTGATGTCAACATTACCAACATTCTAGGTATAAATGCCCCATGTTAAACCTTGTTTTATCTAAAACACAGGTGTCAAACTCAGTTCCTGGAGTGCAGCAGCTCTGCACAGTTTAGTTCCAACCCTAATTAAACACATCTGATCAAACGTATTAAGTCTTTCAGGCTTGTTTGAAAGCAAGGTTGAAACTATGCAAGCTGTGGGACCGTTTGACACCCCTGATCTAAACTATTTATAACAAAGCGATTTTGTTAAGTCAATGACTGAGAGACTAGCTATTTTAATGAAAACTTATGTATATTTGAAAAGCAGCTATGGCTAAATTTGACCTTATGCATCTCTAGTGTTATTCTACATTCAATTTGGGTCCCACTTTATATTAAGTGGCCTTAACTAATATGTACTTACATAGGAATGAATAGTTTGCTACATTGTACTTATTGTGTAAATACATGTATTTACTGTGTACTTATGCTTGTTTGAATACATGCATGTTATTAAATCTGTAATTAACTTTTGTAATTACATTTGTAAATACACTGTTGACCATCCCTTACACCTTAACCTACCCTTAAACCTACCCATGCCACCAAACCTGTCTATAACCCAACCTCTATTCCAACTCAAAAGCACCACAAGTGTTCTCAAATACATTATAAACGCAGTAAGTACATTGTATTTATTTTTTTTGATGTAAGTACATAGTAGTTAGGGACACTTAATATAAAGTGGGATCTCAATTTGAGCTTCTCTGTCATCAGGTGGACAACAGAAGCAGCAGACTGACCTGACTGCAGACTGAGGAGTGTGTTGCTGCTGTCACATATTCCATCCAGGGCAGAAACGGTAACGTTGTAGTTCTGGCCACAGTGTAAAGCAGGTAACATGCAGGTGCTGTTAGAGCTGCTGCAGTTGACATGATGTCCATCAGTACCCACAGCTTGAACAGTATGATGTGTGACGTGATCGCTGAGCTCCCAAGTTACAATAGCGGAGTTTGTGTCGCAGGTGATCTGAGTGCTGACATTCTGTGGCTTGCAGGACACTGCAATAAAATAAAATATTAGGAATCACTAAAACAACATTAGAAACTTGGTAATTCCTAATGTAAAAATAGCTGAAGTTACTAAGGCAAGGCAAGGCAAGGCAAGGCAAGTTTATTTATATAGCACATTTCATACACAGTGGCAATTCAAAGGGCTTTACATAAACAGGAATAAAAAAGACAATTTTAGGACATAAAATGCAGACAATAAAAATGATTAAAAACAGATAAAAACTATTTAAAATGTGTTAAAGTAGGTTATAAAAGAAAACGAAAAAAACATAATAGTGCAATCTGTTGGACATACTAGTGACACTGACTTTTTTTTTAAATGACGATCCCTAAATTGTTCAATTTTCAAGAATAGTTTAATTATGATTAATATAATTTAATTACAAATCAGTATGTGTTTCTAGATGCTTGTTCTTTTATTAACAAAATAAGATAAGATTATGTTGAAATACAGAAAGGTTTGAGGTTATTTTCTCAGGTCTTTTTAGGGGGGAATTTTTTTTAAACAAGGACACTTATAATCGCTGAAAACTATAGCCAATTTGGTTTTTGGAAAGTAAAACAGAATAATATCACTGGGAAACACCCACACATTCTCATTTACACACATACACTACGGACAATTTAGCCTACCCAATTCATCTGTACTGCATGTCATTGAACTTTTAGGGGAAACTGGAGCACCCGGAGGAAACCTACGTAAATGCGGGGAGAACATGCAAACTCCACACAGAAATGCCAACTGACCCAGCTGGGACTTAAACCACCTTCTTGCTAAGAGGCAAATGCGTTACCCACTGCGCCACCGCTTCGCCAAACTATATTATTATAATTGTATATTACTGCGGGGCGGCACAGTGGCTCAGTGGTTAGCAGTGTCGCCTCACAGCAAGAAGGTTGCTGGTTCGAGTCCTGGCTGGTCCAGTTGACATATCTGTGTGGAGTTTGCATGTTCTCCCCCGAAGGAAAATGAATGAATAATACTGCATTTTTTAAAATCAAATTGCTCGGTGGGAATAAGAGGCTTTGAATAAAAATTGTTCCAATCCTAAATAGCTGAATGTTATTTAGCATGGATATAATTTGGATATACATAGCTAAACGCAAAATTATAAGCCTTTCTGTAAAATTTTTAATTCTTTTAATTAATTTCCCAAGTGCTGTTTAACATGGAGAAGATTACCTTCAACACATTTGTACACAGCCATTTTAATAACAAATTTCTAATAACTATTTTGTTTTTCATTATTTTAGTATTATAGTATTTAATATTATTATATTATATATTAGTTAGTTATTATTTAAAACAAACACTAGTTTTTAGCTTAAATTGTCATTTAAAAGCTTAACTAAAAGGTAGGTTAATTAGGAAAGTTATTGGATAACGGCGCTTTGTTCTGTAGACAATGAATATATATATATATATATATATATATATATATATATATATATATATATATATATATATATATATATATATATATATATATATAGATATAGATATAGATATCCGGAAAGAATTCATAACGAAATTTAATTCCAAAATGGACTGTTCCATCTGATTTTTCAGTTTTTTTATTTTTAATAAATTTGCCAGAATTTCAAAAAATCTTTTTTTTTCAAAAAATCGGTTTTGTGTGTAAAAATTTGAGGAAATAAATGAATTCATTAAGGAATAAGGCTGTAACAAAAAAATATTGGAAAAAGTGAAGCATTATGAGTAGTTTCCGGATGCACTATACAAATATATATATATATATATATATTTATATATGTATATGTATATATGTGTATATATTGTATATATATATATATATGTGTGTATATATATGTGTATATATCTATATTGATATATAGATATAGATATATATATATCTGTGTGTGTGTGTGTGTGTGTGTGTGTGTGTGTGTGTGTGTGTGTGTGTGTGTTTGTGTGTGTGTGTGTGTGTGTGTGTGTGTGTGTGTGTGTGTGTGTGTGTGTATACAGTTGAAGTCAAAATTATTATCCCCCTTCGAATTTTTTTCTTCTTTTTTAAATATTTTCCATATGATATTTAACAGAGCAAGGGAATTTTCACAGTATGTCTGATAATATTTTTTTACTTAGGAAAAAGTCTTATTTGTTTTATTTCAACTACAATAAAAGCAGTTTTGAATTTTTTAAAAAACATTTTAGGGACAAAATTAGTAGCCCTTTGAACCTATATTTTTTCTCGATAATCTACACAACAAACCATTGTTATACAATAGCTTGCCTAATTACCCTAACTTGCCTAGTTAACCTAATTAACCTAGTTAAGCCTTTAAACGTCACTTTAAGCTGTATAGAAGTGTCTTGAAAAAATATCTAGTCAAATATTATTTACTGTCATCATGGCAAAGATCAAATAAATCGGTTATTAGAGATAAGTTATTAAAACTATTATGCTTAAAAATGTGTTGAAAAAATCTTCTCTCCGTCAAACAGAAATTGGGGAAAAAATAAACAAGCAGTCAAATAATTCAGGGGGGCTAATAATTCTGACTTCAACTGCATGTGTATGTATATATATATATATATATATATATATATATATATATATATATATATATATATATATTAATGACTATTAATATTGTCAATTTTTTATTTAAGAACTACTTTTATTCCAGCTAAACTAAAAGAAATAAGACTTTCTCTGGCATGAAAAATATTTTAGGAAATACAGTGAAAATATTCTTATTAAAATATAACAGGAGGGCTAGTGATTTAAATTATTTAAGTTAAATAAATGTTTGTTTGTGTAAATATTTGTATATAATGTTGTATTTATTTATTTATTTTAGGTACCTGTGCTCAGCAAAATTGGTTGACTTGGTGTAGTACTGCAGGTCCCATCAGATGCACTGACAGCTAGACTGTAGTTCATCCCACAGAGCAGATCTGAGAAGACACAAGCTGTTCCTGTGCTGTTACACACTGAAGTGTAGCCACTGCTACTCTGAGCGACCGCAGAGTAGGAAACCGCCATCTTGCTTTGATTCCAGGATAAAGCTACAGCTCCAGTGGTACAGTTTACACTGCCCTCCACATGACCAGGTACACACGGCACTGCCAAAACACAAGGTTGAAGAAAGATTCAATTCAACTTCCTAACCCTTAAGACTAAGTACTAAACATAATTCAGAGTAACATTCATTAACAGTTATTACCATTTTATAAAGACAATTAACATCAATCATTTTGATTCTGTAGGGACATTTTTTCTAATTGCTTTTCTTTCTGTCTTTGTGTCCAAATACAAACAATGTATATTTTTATTTGACATCAAATATCCACATTAAAACCCATACAGGTGCAATATTTTTATAAAGCATTAAGGCATTCTTCATTAATAGGCTTTCATTCCATCAGCAAGGCTGTAAACTAGTAAACAACCCAGCATTAGAAGGGTTCAAATCATCAAAATTAATTTATTATTATTATTATTAATTTTGTATGTAGTTATTTTAAGGACTGAGGTTAATGGTTATAGATTATGGTTCTAAGATCCATGTATTTTTTATTGTATATTGTTAGTATTTCCATTCAAAATATGATCCGCACTAATGCCACTGCCGTAATATTTGCAGACAGAATGCATTGATTCTGGCTTGTTATCATTACTCTATTCTCTCGTTGCTCTATGACTTCAGCTCAGTGGTGGGCAAACTTTTTAGACCCGAGGGCCACATCAAGTTTTGCAAACCAAGTGAAGAGCCACATGTCAAATCCTTAAAAAAATAACTTTTATTTATAGTGGCAGTATGCATAGAACATGTAATATCAGACAGAAACATGTCACATTAACACAAAACAGATTTTTTATAGTTATTATTGAGTCAAATTTACAAGTCAAATGAATTTGCACTGCAATTTATATTTATCATCACTTATTAATCATCATAAAACAATAAAATAACCCCTTATAAAATATAATAACAATAATGTAATAATTTTTAAAGTGGAGAATAGAAAAAATATTATCTGATAGAAAAAAAACTAATATTAACACATTAAAAAATTTATTCTTAAAGTTTAATATTTAGTCAAATTTACATTTATTTTATTTGCACTACTTTTAGAATATACAGATCAATCATCATAAAACTTGATGAAATCACAAATATTTAATAAAAGAAATTTTTAAAGTGGATGTATGCGTGGAAAATATATTCTATGCCAAAAATTTACACATTCAACCGTCAAATTCAAATCAATCTCATTTGAGCTTGCATTAATGTGCTCATATCATTCATAAAACTATAAGATAAAACGTAAGGAAAATCTTAGTATTTGTTATTCCAAGTCAGGTAATGAGCCTGAAATAAAAGTTATATTAATATCAACAGCAACACTCTCGCAAAATACCTAACTTAGCTGATTCAGTCGTTGCCTTACCACATAAAAAGCGCACCATGCTCCTTTTGTCTTGTCAACAAAAAGGCAGTGTGGTGCACTTTGCATTTTTGGAACGGAATGCGTGTTCGGTGTGATCAGCTCCTTAGGTTGTACTATTTAAAAACAACAATAATTTCTTGCCATATTAGACCTACCGCTTTTCATCCGATATTGGTGAAGAAGTATTTTGTTGTCCATTCTTCCTTAAACACACGACGTTTAGAGTCAATATTTTTTTGCATGACTCATTTTCAGTCATTAACAGTCGAGTGCATTTTAATATCCGAGAGAGTGTTCCAATTCTACTGGTTGCGCTAACTGCATCGCGTGCAATACTGCTATCACATAGCGTTCACTTGTAATTGCATTATTAATATACTAATTATGAAACAAACTGTTACTCTGATGCAGCATTTTAAAAACTCCCTCACGGGCCGCATATAGCCCGCGGGCCGTAGTTTGCCCACCTCTGCTCTAGCTACGGTCATCTAGCTATTTGTTTATGTAAGATATAAAGGTGTTGACTGTACCAGTGTTTATCCGTGAGATGGAACTTCCTGACGAGTTGCATTGCTGGTTTACTGCAATCACACTGATATCATACGAGGAGCTGCAGAGCAGTGTTTGCAGTACGCATTGTTGGTTGGCTGTATTACAGGCCGTCACTGGACCCTCGGGTCCTGAAGCTACCACTAGATAAGAAGTAGCCCCTCGGCTGAACGTCCATAACACAGTTACGAAGTTTAACGTGCAGTCCAGAGTTGCCATCATCTGAGGAACACATGGAGCTGGAAAAGAGCAGATCAGGAAAACCACGTCAGGTAAGTGGCAGACTATTGCAGGGTTTCTGTGTGGTCTTAAAATCAAAGGCCTTAAAAAATGTAAATATGCAGAATTGTTGTGTTTTATGACTTAAATAGTTTTAAACAGGTCTTCATTTTAATGTTTCCATGTAATGTTATCAGTAATTATTCTCATTGAAATGCTCCCACAACACTTTAAAATGTGTTTTGATACTTTATTTTCTTTCTTTCCAAATCCAAATTGGGGTGTGTGATGTTTATTGTTTCTTTCTAGTCCAAATTGGGATGTGTGATATTTATTATCTATCATATATCATAATTGTTCTACTAACGATATGTGATCTGAGTGTCTGCATTACTGAGTATGCCATGCAGCATAAGAATGACAAAATGTATAGCATTTATAGCAATTACATGGTAGATTTTGTAAGCAGAAAACTGAATGCAAGATTTGTTTCAAAACTATTGAACTAACTGCGTTCACTTTAAATTTTCAGCAAATAAATAAATGAACAGTAACAACGATGTGTGGTTCAAACACAGAGCTATATCCAAACACACTTCCTTTTCCTATGCCCCATATGCTGATTCTCTAAACCATACAGGTGGACAAATGTAAACATATGAATTATAAAAAACAAATAAAAATATTCATAGAATAAATACTACTTGTAATAATAACAGTAAAACAAATGTATATTGTCATGAATAAACTGTCTACAACAGAGCCCGATTTAATTTATTCAAGCTTTGTTTTTTCCGAGCTTATCTGAGTTCTGTTGCATGGTTGCTCCATTGATTTATTTAACTACAGTTGTTTATTAACAACTGTTTAAGTTAAAGGTTTGAAACTGATTAAAACTTGAAGTGGCGATGAGGTCTTAAAATATTCTGAAAAGATCTTTAAAAAGTCTTAAAAAGGTATTAAAATTACCTTTAAATTCCTGCATATACCCCGATATATATATATATATATATATATATATATATATATATATATATATATATATATATATATATAATTATTATTATTATTATTACATTTTAATCCTTTAATTTTTTTTATTTAAAGATATTTGTGCACTGCTGTACATCCCTGTGTGTGTATTAAGCAATGTGAGTATGGCTGTTTTGCACCACATAGGTTAACACACTCCTTAAACGACAAATAAAAACAATGCAACATTGGCTTTACACTAGCTTTTAGTTGATCAATGTTGCAATATATTTCAGACTATTTTATATATTGCTATTTAAACAACGTGGCGAAAAACATGAAAATGAAACTTGCGCCGGGCTGAAACTAGCAAAAAACACTTGAGTTGCATTGTGCCAGGTGTATGACAGGCCCCAATAGACCCTTTTCACATTTCCGGGTTTCTCTGTAGCAGAAGTCATCATAGTTGGGAAAACTTAGAGCGCAGTGAATGGGAGAGTACAACAACATTTTTTCATTCATTTTTTTTTTTCGGCTTAATCCCTTTATTATTCTGGGGTCGCCACAGCAGAATGAACCGCCAACTTATCCAGGATATGTTTAGACAGCGGATGCCCTTCCAGCTGCAACCCATCACTGGGAAACATCCATACACACTCATTCACTACGGACAATTTAGCTTACCCAATTCACCTATACCAAGTCTTTGGACTTGTGGGGGAAACCAGAGCACCCGGAGGAAACCGGGTTAGTCGACCTTGCGAAAATGCTACCCAATATGCCACCGTGCAGCCCCAAATAATTTTTTCACAGTCTTATTTGCTCAAATAAATAAAGAAAAACTCCACAATGATGTTATAAAGACTTTCAGAAAAAGGTAAAAAATAGTGTGAGGCTGATGACGGCAGCCAGAGGAGAAAATAAAGTCAAATTTACTGTCCTGCCCTATAGACTCTGCATTAGAAATACCTCTCACAAGTGGTAATTAGTTAGTTAATTAGTAGAAGCAAAGATGATATAATACATACAGATATACATTTAAATGTTTATACGTTTTTTTTTTTTCATCTAAATATTAAAACTTTCAAAGATTTAAGATGCTGATGATCATTAAACGCGTCATAACAGGCATGTGAAAAGGGTCCATATACAATTTGTCTGTCTTATCTCACCCATGTGTATGATGGTGCTGGTGCTGCTTGCACTCGTGCACTGATTGTTATTGGCAGTGACTGTGACGGTATAGATGTGACCGCAGTGCAGGTCTGTCCAGGTGCAGCTCGTATCTGTAGTAGCGCACTGGTGTTGGTGTCTGTCTCTACCCACTGCAGTGGCTTTGTACATGATTGCCCCTTCACTTGAGCCCCAGCTGACGGAGCCCACATGGTTATTACACTCCGCATATGTTTGAAGATGAACAGGAGTGCAGGGCCCTGAATCACAGCACACTTTATAAGAGTGAGTCTGCTTATTTCCTTTCAAAATATCTCAATTGAATAAGAGCAACATGAATAATTGTCCTTTTTATCTACACTACTCTCTATTGTGCTTCAGGGTTGCACTTCCAGTTGGTGGAACTTCCATTAAAAAAACTAAGTGAGAGGTACGTCTGATTTTGTGCTCAAATTTTACCTGTCATGAAAATAGCTTTACGCTTGGTATTTTAAGGTAATATTGGTATCGCAAGCATATCTGTGGCCAAAGCTCTTTTGAGTTTAGAGGGTTTTGTTTCTCCAGATTATTTGATCTCTGTGCTCCTCACAGTACAGTTATATTTAATATATGTTCTTGATATTGCTACCAAAAGTTTAGAATTTGTTGTTTAGAATTTTTGGGGTGTGCTCAATGTAGTTTGTTTATTCTAATAGGTTTCCTTTGAATGTTGAACGGATGAACTCAGGAGAATAATGACTCCGTGATCGTTTACATTTTAACAGAAGTGGAAAATGTCACTTAAAATATGTGGATTTGATGTTGTTGTGTGTGTAATTGCAGGGATGTACTGAGTCTGAAATTATTAACAAAAAATATGTCATTACATTAGTACAGACGTGCAACTGTTATTATGAATATTAATATATAATTGTGTTTGTCCCTTCTCATTAAAACAGTAATATCTATCTATCTATCTATCTATCTATCTATCTATCTATCTATCTATCTATCTATCTATCTATCTATCTATCTATCTATCTATCTATCCATCTATCATCTATCCATCCATCCATCTATCCATCGATCTATCATCTATTTATCTATCTATCCATCCATCCATCCATCCATCCATCCATCCATCCATCTATCCATCCATCCATCCATCTATCCATCCATCTATCCATCCATCTATCTATCTATCTATCTATCTATCTATCTATCTATCTATCTATCTATCTATCTATCTATCCATCCATCCATCCATCCATCCATCCATCCATCCATCCATCCATCCATCCATCCATCCATCCATCCATCCATCCATCCATCCATCCATCCATCCATCCATCTATCAATCTATCTATCTATCCATCTATCATTGATTGATCTATCTATCTATCTATCTATCTATCTATCTATCTATCTATCTATCTATCTATCTATCTATCTATCTATCTATCTATCTATCCATCCATCCATCTATCCATCTATCCATCTATCTATCGATCTATCCATCCATCCATCCATCTATCCATCGATTTATCGATCTGTCTATATATCTATCTATCCATCCATCCATCCATCCATCCATCCATCCATCGATCTATTGATCTATCTATCCATCTATCCATCTATCCATCTATCTAACTATCTATCTATCCATCTATCTATCCATCTATCCATCGATCTATCCATCCATCCATCTATCCATCTATCCATCGATTTATCGATCTATCTATATATCCATCCATCCATCCATCCATCTATCCATCTATCCATCTATCCATCTAACTATCTAACTATCTAACTATCTATCTATCTATCTATCTATCTATCTATCTATCTATCTATCTATCTATCTATCTATCTATCTATCTATCTATCTTGATTTCTATCTATCCATCCATCATCTATCCATCCATCCATCCATCTATCAATCATCTGTCTGTCTGTGTGTCTATCTATCCTATCTCTCTCTCTTTCTCTCTCTCTAATATCAACATAATGGTAATATAGGTCATTTTAATGGCATTAAAGATCAAATAATTGTACAAATTTTACATTTTACCAATCAAAATGTACAATATATATAAAGTATTACATTGTATGTAATCAATAAAAAATGTCTAGCAATATTATCTGTAATAACAAAAATCATTATGCATTATGTTCTCGTGTATCTCGTGTGTTCTCATGTATGCTTGTGTATTATATTGTATTATTATTTATACCAGTAAGTATTAAAATATACATTTTAAAACAAATAAAGAATACAGTTATAAATGCACACATTATTACTTGCATGAATTTCATTTTAAAAAATTGCGTAACACTTTATTTTGAGTATGAATTATTAGTTGGCTGTCTGCTTAATATCGGTCCTTCAACAAACATTTAACTGACTATAAGAAACTTTGCAAGTACATGTCAACTTGCACTAACCCCAACCTAACAGTCTACTTATAATCTAATAAGAATTAGTTGGCATGTAGATGCAATGTAACTTAAATTCAACAAATGGATCAAAATAAAGTGTGACCCAAAATTGTTACGATAGATTAATAATAAAGATAAGAATCTGTTTAAATGTAATATTACTGTCAAAAACAGTTTAATATGCATAACATGACACATCAAGAAATGTGTGGCTTTTCTCACTTGCACAATAACAATAAATTATATATTGTTATTAACAATAACAATTAAACATCTAAAATAACAAAAAAATGTATCTAAAATGTATCTAAATGATTATATTAATAATAAAAATATGAACTGATGATTGAACTGTGAGGACTATAAATCCACCTCTTTCTATTCCATTTTTTAAAGCACTTCACTGATTGTTTACAGTTTAACATGCACAGCATCATGGGGCATAGGGAAAAAGTTGGATACATAATGCATTGCAGACTCACTGGACTGGAAGATGACGTTGGTGTCGGTGGTGGTTTGGCACTGCTGGTTAATGGAGGTTAAAGTGAGATTGAAAAGCTGTCCGCACTGCAGGGACAAGATGTAACAGTAGTTCTGATTGGTTGAGCAGGAAACCATTTGTCCTCCTGAACCCCAAGCCATCACAGAGTAATTCACAGCCCCGTCCACGAAGCTCCAGGTCACTAGAACTGAATCCGTAGCACAATCCACCACAGCAGAAACACTGGTGGACGCACAGGGCGCTAGAAATACATGGAGGGAGCATATTCAGTCATTATGATTCTTGTGATGAAAAAGCTGAATTTTCATGCGCACTAGCCTTCAGAAGTCATCCTAATATGCTGATTTGATGAATTGAGATTCATCAAAACACTGTTCATTATCAGTGTTGAAAATAGTTTTTTGCCTGGTTAGGGTTTTTGTGGAAACTGATGCACAACTATTTAAAAAGTTTGGGTTCAAGTGAAAAGTTCAACCAAAAACTTAAAATCTTAAGACAGTTGTAAACCAGCAAGCATTGACTTCCATAGAAAAAACAACATTTTAGGCCCTAAAAAGCCTTATTTTCAATTAAAAAGTGTGTTGTAGGTATTAAATCATTTTAAACAGGTCTAAATTACCTATGTCCAAGTAAAGCTACCCAATCAGGTCCACACAATCACCAAAGTGTATGCGTGTATGTCCTGGTCTTCCAGGTAGAGCGTTGAGCGTTGGGCTAACAACCCACCTCAGCAAAACTAGATGTTACAAAATGCCAATATGGTGCGACTACTATATAAGATACACTTCAATATAAATGGCTCTGGGAGTAAATAAGTAAGTTATGTGTTTGTGTAAAATATAATTGTGGTTTTGGGCGAGGCAGTGGCGCAGTAGGTAGTGCTGACGCAAGAAGGTCGCTGGATCGCTGGTTCAAACCTCAGCTCAGTTGGCGTTTCTGTGTGGAGTTTGCATGTTCTCCCTGCCTTCGCGTGGGTTTCCTCCGGGTGCTCCGGTTTCCCCCACAGTCCAAAGACATGCGGTACAGGTGAATTGGGTAGGCTAAATTGTCCGTAGTGTATGAGTGTGTGTGTGAATGTGTGTGTGGATGTTTCCCAGAGATGGGTTGCGGCTGGAAGGGCTTCCGCTGTGTAAAAACTTGCTGGATAAGTTGGCGGTTCATTCCGCTGTGGCGAACCCGGATTAATAAAGGGACTAAGCCGACAAGAAAATGAATGAATAATTGTGGTTTTATTTTGTTGTAAATGCTGATGACATTTTATTTTTTATATATTTAATATAAAAAATATATGATATAGTTGTGTGTGTGTTTTCATTTTATAAAATAACCAACAAGGTGTCATTTTAGTCATGCTAACTTTCATTTTTTGGCAACATAATACTCGTGTTTTAACTTCAGACGAGTTAAAAAAAATTACATTTGGTGGAATATCTTTGATTTTCAATCATGACAAATTTTAAAACGCTTAAACCTGTAAATAATAATTTCAATAATACAGGGAAGCTCAGAGTTTTCAAGTGGTATCTTAATGTTTTCATAAGCTGTATATTTGATTAAATTATTGCAGACTCAGAGCAACATTCTTTGTCATATAATACTTAAAAGTAGACAAAGTTACAATTAAGTTAATTTAATTAACTTACTAAATAAAAATATATTTAAATAATGTACACAATTGATCATGCAGAATAAGAACATGATCAGTTCTGATTTAATTTACACTTTAATTTTAAAACCTTTTTTCTTTTGTTGGTACTAGATGATTGTGATTATTGTGATGACAAAAGCATACACGAATTTATTTGTGATGGTATTGTTTTTACAGACCTGATGTGATGTTGAATCCTATGCTGTCAGAGCTGTTGAACACTTCTCCGATTGCAAGGACTCTCACGTTATACAGCGTTCCACAGGTGAGATTAGCTAAACTACACTGTGTTTGATTAGTCTGACAGGAAGTTGAACGACCATTTCCACTGTCCAGGAATGCAATGTATCCTAGTGCAAATTGGCTGGGGTCCCAGGAAACTGTAGCGCTGAGAGCAGTGCAATTAATGCTAGCTTTGACGTTCTGAGGAGGACAGGGCTCTGAAAAAGACAAGAAGAAAATGAGACTAACTTTAGGTAAAAGCTTCAAATCTATAGTAAACACACTACTGTACTAGTAAGAATTACTTATTTTGGTCACACTTTATTTTAAGGTACAATTCTCACTGTTAATAAACCATTAACTATAAATTTCCCTCTCAATAAACCCCTAATTTGCTGCCTATTATTATATAGTTATTCAGGTATTAGGATCAAGAATGTTAATATGATCATGCAGAATATGTACTTTATAAGTACTAATAAACAGCCAATATCTTAATAATATGTACGTAATAAGCCACTAGTTAATAGTGAGAATTGGCTCTTAAATAAAATGTTTCTATTTTTTAGGGAAAGACACTGGTGTATAATCCCCAGTTGACATTAAGATTTCAAGAAAAAAATTAGGCTTTCTAACATGAAATGTTTAAATGTGCAAATGAGGCATTTTTAGATTACATTTTAGGCAAGTTTGGCTGAAGCCAGGTTTAGAAGTCTTATTTATATATATATATATATATATATATATATATATATATATATATATATATATATATATATATATATATATATATATATATATATATATATATAATATTATTTATTTTATTTATTATTTTATTTTATTATTATTTAATTATATTAATTAATTATATATATGTGTGTGTGTGTGCGTGCGTGCGTGCGTGCGTGCGTGCGTGCATGTGTGTGTGTGTATGTATGTGTATTTTTTTTTTTTCTTTTTTTTAAGTCAAGGCGGGTTTTGTGGTTTGTCTTTATCACTCCACAATAACAGCAATAAATAAATCAAACTTTTGTATATAGTCAGAGGGGAAAATATTTATAAATGTATAAAGGCATTCAAAATATACAGCGGGGAAAATAAGTGTAAAACACTTAAACCTGTGCATAATAATTTCAATAATACAGGAAAGCTCAGAGTTTTCAAGTGGTATCTTTGTTTTCTTAAGCTGTATATTATATATGAATATATCTTTCAGTAAAGGCATTCAAAATATACAGCGGATGAAATATACAGTCATGTTTTTTTTTTCTGGGAACAATATTTCTAAAGGAGCAGTTGACATGGAATTGAACCAGATTTTGATAAACCTAAACTTATAATACTTATCAAATAAAACAAAACAAAGAAATCTGAACAATTAGTTGTGTTTAATAAAAATAAAAATGACAGGAGAAAGTGCTGAACTACTGAAATGTATTTAATACTTTATATAAAAGGTGTCTGATGATGGCAGCTTAAAGCCTCTCATATGGAGAATGAAGTCACATGAATTCCTCAGGTGTGAGTTTTTCACAGACCTCAACAGAGTCTAAAAATCTTGTTGGTTCTGTGGCTTTCATCTATCAAATCTGATCTTTATATTGTATTTTATATTGGTCAGGTATTTTGTATTGGTCAGGTATTCGTCTATAGGTCAGGTGATTGGTTGGGCTATTATACAGCTTTATTTTCTTTCTCTGAAAGCATTTGAGAGTTTTGTTTTTTTTTTTGTTTTTTTTCTCTGTGTTTTGGATTATTGTCTTGCTGAAATGTCCATCCTGGTTTCATTTTCATCAATCTGATCATGTAGATATTGGACTGAAGCAGCTGATATTAATTTACAATAAGGAATGGCAGAGGCAGGCCCGGATTGGCTAATCGGGAGGACCGGGAGAATTCCCGGTGGGCCGGTCCGTTTTTTGGCTGCGAGGGCCGGTGTCCCTAGCTCCAGAATCTGTTGCTCTCAGCAGTCACACTTTATAAATTTATTTATTTATTTACTTGACCACAGTTTTCTTATTCATTATTTTAGCGCAGCTCTGCTCTTTATATATATATATATATATATATATATATATATATATATATATAACCAGCCTGCAGGTTAATGATGATATAACTCAGATTAGTCACTCTTCAATATATAACTGTTGTGGTCCAGTGGAGAGCACGTTAGATTACAACGCTGCCAACCTGGGTTTGATCCTTGTCTGAGTATGTTATTTATTTATTTTTTTTATTGTTAAGACATATAATACTGTAAGGGTTGTTGAACATTTAAAGTTATAAAGCCGCTGTTTTCTCAAAAAAAGACGTGATAGTGTAATTAGAAACAGAATTGGAAATGACTTTATTTTAATATAGTCAGTCATGAACTGAGGTGGGCCGGTCTGAGGCTTGAAACTCCAGGGCTGAAAAGGTGTCCCACTCCGGCCCTGGGCAGAGGATTGCTGAATAACTTCTCAGAGATTTCAGCTGCTGTCTGGGCTTTCACTGCCTTTCTTCACCTCCCTTTCTCCATGTGTTCAATACTTTTTCCCTGTGTCATTTCATTTTATTATGCATAACTTCATTGGTAAACTAGTTAGATTTGTTTTCTTTGCATGTATGGATTTCATCCAGGGAAAATTTCAAGTCAACGGCACATACAGAAATGTTTTCTGAGAAAAATGGTGACATGTTCAATACTTATTTCCCTGCTGTAGATATGAATACATCTGTGAAATCTGGTGTTTGTAAATGCTGCTGAAATGGAGATTTTTACCTCAAAATAAATTGATTTGTGAAAATTACCTTAACAAATCTGAATTATAACAAATTTAAAGGTTGTTATAAAAGAAACTCTTAAAAGTGTACCTTTAATGTTTTCTTTTCATTTGACTGAAAAAACCCTCTCATAATTTTGACCAAAATTTGAGCCTAAAATCTCAATTCACAGGTGCATGAAAAAAATAGTTTTTTGCTTGCAGTGTCTCACTTCAAGCTCAAGCAGGTTCAAAAAAGAAAGACCACAAATATTTAAGCAACATAAAAGTGTGTATATATTATGGCACAGTTTAAGATTTTTGTGTTAATGCTTCTTTAAAATCAGTGATCACATGACTGACCTGTCTTGATAGGATCAGTGATGGCAGTGCTGTTGCAGACTCCGTTGTGAGCCGTCACGCTGAAGTTGTAGATGTGACCACAGTTCAGTACTGGGAGGATACAGCTGGTGTTGCTCTCACAGTTTACTCTTAGGCCTTCAGGAGTCACAGCCACTGCGGTGAAGCCGGCTGCACCGTTAGAGGCATCCCAGGAAATCCGAGTGTTGGATGGACTGTACTGGACTGTCAGATGTTGAGGAACACATGTACCTGCAAAGGTATGAAAGCGCTGTGGTTTAGACAAGAGACATTTTTTTTTATTATTTGTGTTGTTTCATGCTTGTAGATAAAATCTCAGATGACCCTAATATCCTGTTTTCCTTATTTGCCTGAAAAAAGTTACAATTGCATTATAGTAATTTATAATATGTGACCCAGGACGGAGTTACACAGATATATTTGTAATAAATAATAAGTATATTATGTTTTATTCATCTTCTATGAAGCCATTTGATCAATTCCTTACCGTAAATAATACAAAAAAACTTTTGATTAGTAATATGCAGTTGCTAATATGCATATGATCAGCTTTAAAGGGGTGGTCCACTATGATATTATATTTTAAACTTTAGTTGATGTGTAATGTAGCTGTGTGAACATAAACTGATCTCTGAATGTAATATGCGCAGAGTTCAATGCAAAGGGAGACATTGGCTTTTACGGAGTTAGCTTAGCAAAGCCAACAGCTAACAAAGTTTGGGGACTACAAAAAAAAATACATCCAGGCTAGTGAGATCACAAGAGCTTCAGGATATGCGCATTAACCACGCGCAGCAAAGGGGCGTGGCTAGAGGCACTGTAGTGTTGTAATGTAGATGAGAAAGCTTAAATGCCATCTAAACACTGCAATTTCCACAGAGCTTGTTCTGTTTTTGTATTTGGGCCTCCAAAGGACATGACGCAAAGAGAGAAGTGCTTACAATTGAATTATGTTCCAGAGAATTATAATAAAGGTTTAGCTCTAGCATTTGATAATGGACAGCTTCCAGAATCTCTCCTAGTTCAGTGCTGGATTCGGCTAAAAAAAGGTGCAGCTCCAACTATGATAGACGAAGCTGTGGACTGTGAACCACAACCTTAAGTATTTTATTTGTTTTTTGTTCAAATTTATCTATTACATGAATAGTTTTTAAGCATTAATGGTATGTTGTAGCAAGGAGGTAAACAAGGATGTAGACAATGGAAAATGTTGTTTGGCACCGCTAGCAATTCACAAGCGATGCAACGTCTCTCTATGCGGCTGCTTTCTGTGCATTCTACATCTCAAATAACGACCGAAAAATATGTAAACGTTGCATATTACTTACAGATGCTTATTCCGAAAATATGTGAAAGACACTTGTCAGTTTTTATTTTAGAGAGTGAGATTCAGCTGTCTCCGCTGTGTCATTTTCTGTCTGATTCAGTCTCAAACTGATGACGCTAACAGCTACTCTGACTGACTGTGTTTACACAGTGCAAAAGCGCGTGCTTGAAGAAGTGTGGCGCTTTTCTTGGTGTCGTGGAGCCGTTCTGCGAATCACAACACATTATGTTAGCTGACTAATCAGAGCCTTTTGAGGGTGGACAATTCGGAGGAACTAGGAAATATAACAGTCATTTTCATGTTAGCTGAGTAGTAGTACATAGTCATAGTAAGATATATGAAAAAAAAAACAGATAATTTACAAATGAAGCATAAGCACACATTCCTTTGCATCTTAGAAACACAAGCAAGCCTTAAAAATACACTGTGGACCACTCCTTTAAAGGTTCAGGACACCCTGGAGAACTTTTTTATATATATTAACAGATTTGTGTGTGTTGAGCATCAGTTAAGACAATGTTAGCACCTGTCAGCTTTAACTGTGGGGAAAACTGGATAATTTTGAGCTTTTGTCAGCTAATTTCAGCTTCTGGGTTTAAAATGATTTTTGGGGAGGGATCAAAATCGTCGACGTAGCGAAGCACTGCAAGTGCAATGATGACGCGTCGGTTTCTCATTATTATTCAAAGCAGAGTTTCCTTATCCTATGAGAAGAGCCGGCTGCTTAATTATTCATGAGAGCACGACAGCACGCGCTTTCCGAAGGCAAGGCAGACGTAGACCAGTGCCAAGCTTAAACTGTGAGACACGGACCCACGGCACGCAGTAGCCGTTTATGAAGGCTCGTATGTGTTTGTTTCCATGATCCAAGGGGTTTGTTGCATGTTTTTCCCCGAGATCCTGTCAGGGCCGATCATACAGCAAATCTGTGTGTGTGATGCAAGCATTTTTGTCAGGAGAGCAGCACGAGAATTGGAGAATGGCGGATGTTGTCTTGTATCAGGAGTTCATTCACATTCAGACACATCGCTGTGCTGCTGTGTTTGCCTAAATCCTCCAGATTACCAGCAGGACTAATAGTTAAAATAGACAGGTCAGGAGACCTGCTCCACTGAGTCTGCATTTAGATCTATGATTCAGAACCGGGGATTGAGGGAGAAGTCCTCATTTATAGTGTTTATATGAACTCGATTATCTTTATAATGATATAAATTGTGGTTGTCTGTATATGAAATTACGAATAACAAATGTAGCAGGTCATTAAATTACTGTTTATTTCTTTGCATTTTAACTTTGTGAACTATAAACTCATGCGTCTCCTCACGGTTTGTCTCAATTTGTGAGCTAACTGACATCAACAGTTGTTCGCTCCCCTTCTCCCCTGCTGGCCACGCCCACTCCTGCCCTATGCTCGCGGAGCTCCACGCCCATTAATCATGCATCTTTTGAAAAAATTCTGAAGTAGACTTTAACCGAAAGTGGGGGGTGTCATGGCCCTTTAAGTTAAGAAGGTTTCTATATTTTTAGATCATTTTGAACTCTCAGATGACACATTTTCAAACTGTTGTCAGTTCCCAGGCAAATCTTATCATATTCTAACAAATCATACATCAACGCAAAACTTGTTATTTAGCTTTCAGATGATTCATAAATCTCAGTTTCCAAACATCGACTCTCATTTTGTAGTCCAATGTCACATTTGTTTTGTTTCGTATTACAATTTATTTCTATAATGGCAATGGCAATGGCCATGCAGAATTTAACACGTCTACAATGTCTTCTGGTCCTTCAGAAGTCATGTTAATGCTGATTTGTTGCTTTATAGTGATTAGTTATTATTGGTGCTCAAACATTAGTAATGATTTTTATCATTATTACTATTTTAAAAGATGTTATGCTTCATATTAATATAAAAACTGTTCAAAAAATGTTCTTGATAAGCAAAATGTTCAAATAAATGCCTTTAATTTTACTTTTCATTGATTTAACATTTTTTAAAAAGTTATTATGTGGGAAAACATACGTTTTAATAGTAATTTTGAATGACAGTTCATCAGAAAATATGAAGCAGCTCTCTTACTGATTTTATCACTGGGAAGTTGCATATTTGCAATGATTTCTGAAGGATCAAGTAATGGAGCTGAATCATAGGAATACATTAAATTGTAAAATATATACTTCTAAATTCAAACTTCTGTCTGTCTATCTGTCCGTATAGTAAAATTGACAAATGAAGCAGCAAAAGTAAAAAAAAAAAACAACTCCTAAAAAACTGTTTAAAAGTTTGAGTTGCGCTTATTAAATCACAAGCGAATTAGACTGACTAAATCTCACCTATAATCAGGGAGCTGTTCATCTGTGCGCTGGCATTGCACGTGTTACCCAAAGTCTGAACAGTCACCATATACTCAGTGCCACACTGTAGGTTGCTCAGCTCACAGTATGTACTGGAGCTGTTGGACATACAGCCGGTCCTGTTGCCTAGCAGGGACAAGGCAGAGACGGCATACCCTTGAGCTCCTTCACCGTATTGCCATGACACAATGGCTGAATTCAGCTGACAATCCAGCACTGCCTTGATGGAGGAAGCTGTGCAGGGAACTATGGGTAAAAGCAAAAAAGACACTGAGAATGTAAACATTCAATAGCAGCACAGTGTTCCTCAGTGTGAATGAAGATATTTGCCGTAATTAAAAGCACTGTACAACTTTTGCCAGTATTTGGCATTTTACATAAACTACTGATACACTAGTGATTGGAAAGTGTTTTCTTTATGTTCACAGTTGATGCATTTATTTGTTTAAATAATTTTTTTTTTTTTTGAAAAAAAATATAGTTTAAAATATTAGTTTTTTTTATTTTAACATATTTTTAAAAATCTATTTACTCCTGTCATTACACTACAGTCTACAGTGTCTTCCAGAGATCCTTCTGAAATCCTCATTTAGTGCTCAAGAAACATTCCTTATTGTTATATTTCTGGAAGACAGTGATGGAAATAACAGGACCCACATAGCAAAATTTCTCTGGCCCAGCTCTGGCCCACACAATCAGGTTTTGCTTGGCCCACATGCCGCAGTGAATTACGGTACATGACTGGACCAAATCTGGCTTCCAGACAAGGGCCAAACACAGACCATATCTGGGCCAAGTCTCAGCCAAGTTAATAACTCATAACTGGGCCTGAACTGGGCCAGATAGGTTGGTGTGTCACGATTGCAATGAAATTGATAAACCCATGGAGTGATGCGCTTTAGGCACACTCTGGGCATGCTTTTTCTCAAAGTGACCTGATAGGTAGAATTTTTTTTCTTTATTCAAAAATGATTTTAGTGTATTTTAAATGTGGGTCAAGACTGGCCAAACTCACATGGCCCACTTATCAAATTTTTAAATCTGGGCCAAATACTACATTTTTCATCTGGCCCAAATCTTGTGTGCCGCCTTAAAGACGGTGCCACCTCTGCCAAACCCGGGCCATGTTTGGCCCTCATGCTGTATGCCAGTGCCGGATGAATGCCTGCTGTGCCAGCTTTATGCCAAATCTGGGCCTGAATTCTTTGCTACTAGGGGAGTTATTATATATAATATTGCATTATATATAAATGCATAATGTTTTAAAATATATATATTACAAATTTTGAAAGAGATAAAACAATGAGATAGGAAAATTAAATACAATAATTTAAAACTTTATATTTTGTAGTGTTTTGCATTAGTTTGTTAAATAGTGTGTACCTGAGTTTGTGTTTACAGTAGCACTTGGAACGCTGCTGCACATATTATCTGACGCTGTCACGTTGATGGAGTACAGTTGCCCACATCTGAGCCCTGTAACATTACACTGTGAGCCTGTGGACTGGCAGGAGGTGGAGACTCCATTGCTGTCCTGCAAAGTGGCTGTGTAATACTGTCCTCCTGCACTAGGAGTCCAAGAAACCACTAAAGCATTTGTGAAACAGTTCACGATGGCCAGGACATTCCTTGGAGTGCAAGGCGCTAGAGTAGAAGAAGACCTAATTCAGTGTTTTTTGTTTACAGTTTAGCATATTTTATAAGACCTTTCTAAAACTAATGAACTCTTTTTTTTATTTAAGGAATGACATTCTTCAGTTTTAAAAGAATCATAAAGTTAAATAAGACATAAAATGGTGCATTTATGTTTTATTACCTGTCTGGATCTGAATAGGAGTACTCTGCACACTGCTGCAGTTGTTGCCTCCGGCCTTCACTGTGATGGTGTAGGATTGTCCACATGTCAGAGCCAACAGGTCACAGGAAGTGAAAACTGAAGTGCAGTTCACCGAGAGACCATTGGCACTACTGGCTGTCACAGAGTAAACGTCCGCCCTGCGGCTCCTCCCCCAGGTTACCGTTGCTATGTTGCTGCTACAGCTCACATTGGCTGACACATTTTGTGGTGCACAAAGTGCTGGGTAAAAGAGAGAAAACAATGGCTGACCATAGTCTTTCTGCAGGTAACCACAACTAAAACCTTCAGTATGCAAAGGGATGGACACAGCGAGGTTAGACAGTAAGGAAATTGCTCACCAGTGGTAATGCGGCGCACTTCATTACGTTGTCCAGTACAGTTCGCACTCATAGCTGTGAGAGACACATTGTACACTTCACTACATGCCAGACCACTGATGTTACAGGAAGTGCTGCTGGAGTTGCAGGTTAACGGACGTCCATTATCATATTCTGCTGTTACAATGTAGTAGGAAACTAAGCCACTGGATGCTGCCCAGGAAACAGATGCTGTGTCAGATCCATGGGCTAGAGACACATTGACTTGAGTGGGTGCACATGGAGCTGAAAGAGAAAAGAATCAATTATGTGATGCACCACCTTCAATAAATAGATCACCAAACCTGCAGTCAATCTCACTGCCTTTTGCGTTCTTCTTTGATTTTTATACCTGTGTCTACAGTGGACATGGATGTGGAAACGGATGACCCGACCAGGCCATTTCCTGTAACATTGATGCTGTAGCGTTGACCGCACTGCAGTGAGCTGATGTTGCATGAAGAGCCACTGGTGAAGCAGCTGTGCAACTGGCTATCCTGAAAAGACTGCAGCGATACATTGAAACTGAGTGCACCATTGCCGGGTGTCCAAGAAACAAGTGCTGAGTTGCTGCCACAGTCAAGCGTGGACTGAATGTTAGTGTTAGGACATGGTGCTGCAACAGGAAAACAGATTGATTAACTTAATGTGTCCTTGGTGGATAAAAGTATTAGCGTGTCTTTAAAATAAATCTTGCTGACTACAGGCTTTTGGACAGTGTTGGATTTCAAAAAACAGCATTTAATTTAATCATTTCTTTGCCTTACCTGTTGCGATTGGTGGTCCAGTTTGCACAGAGCTGTTGCACGACAGTCCAACTGCCATTACTTGAACTGGACACGCTTGCCCACATGTCATGTTAGTGATGTCACATGTCATTTGACTGGTCATGCACGTATACGTCTGTCCAGGAAAGCATTGCATTGTCATTAAAAAGGAAAGTGCTCCATTGCCAGGGGACCAGGACACACTCGCTGTTTTGTTGCCAAAGTTCATTGTGGACTGGATATTCAGTGGAGGGCATGGGGCTAAAGATAAGAGAACAAAGTGTAATTCAAAGCATGTCATTGCTACAGAGCTAGGAACAGGGGATGTATGGGACCCAGAGGCTTGGAGAGGACTATGACGAAGAGGAGGACTGGTCAACTGGTAGAATGCATGAGAAGTGATGTGCTGTTATCTGGTGATTGTCAGCATCTATTGGTGCGGTGTCAATTGGCCTTGAGAAGAGTGAATAGATTTCACATGGCTGCTAAGCACTTGGTAGTGCATTAGTACTGACAGTCATTTTGAGAAAGATATTGCCCTGAGTTTATCACTTTTACAGAAAGGTAAATACTGAATGTGGGAATCAGCATTATACTGTACATAGTAGCAGTGATGCAGTGACCTCTAGAGGACTTTTAGACCGTTTTGCTGCCTAATACAGTTGCATGGTTTTAAATCAGCTTTCATGTTAACCAACTGAACTCCATTCTTAATTTCCTAAATCTTTTAGGCTATGCTATGTCAAATGTTATTACCTGTCTGGATCTGAACAGGAGTGCTCTGCACACTGCTGCAGTTACTAGCTCCAGCCTTAACTGTGATGGTGTAGGATTGTCCACATGTCAGAGCCAACAGGTCACAGGAAGTGGAGGCTGAAGTGCAGTTAATCGAGACACCATTGGCACTACTGGCTGTCACAGAGTAAACGTCCGCCCTGCGGCTCCTCCCCCAGGTTACCGTTGCTATGTTGCTGCTACAGCTCACATTGGCTGACACATTTTGTGGTGCACAAAGTGCTGGGTAAAAGAGAGAAAACAATGACTGACCATAGTCTTTCTGCAGGTAACCACAACTAAAACCTTCAGTATGCAAAGTGATGGATACGATGGAGCGAGGTTAGACGGTAAGGAAATTGCTTACCAGTGTTAATGCGGCGCACTTCACTACGTTGTCCAGTGCAGTTTGCGCTCATAGCTGTGACCGACACATTGTACGCCTCACTACATGCCAGACCACTGATGTTACAGGAAGTGCTGCTGGAGTTGCAGGTTAACGGACGTCCATTATCATATTCTGCTGTTACAATGGAGTAGGAAACTAAGCCACTGGATGCTGCCCAGGAAACAGATGCTGTGTCAGATCCATGGGCTAGAGACACATTAACTTGAGTGGGTGCACATGGAGCTGAAAAAGAAAAGAATCAATTATGTGATGCACAACATTCAATAAATAGATCACCAAACCTGCATCCAATCTCTCTGCCTTTTGCGTTCTTTTTTTATTTTTATACCTGTGTCTACAGTGGACATGGATGTGGAAACGGATGACCCGACCAGGCCGTTTGCTGTAACATTGATGCTGTAGCGTTGACCGCACTGCAGTGAGCTGATGTTGCATGAAGAGCCACTGGTGAAGCAGCTGTGCAATTGACTATCCTGAAAAGACTGCAGCGATACATTGAAACTGAGTGCACCATTGCCTGGTGTCCAAGAAACGAGTGCTGAGTTGCTGCCACAGTCAAGCGTGGCCTGAATGTCAGAGTTGAGACATGGTGCTGCAACAAGAAAAGCAAATTGATTTACTTAATGTGTCCTTGGTGGATAAAAGTATTAGCGTGTCTTTAAAACAAATCTTGCTGACTACAGGCTTTTGGACAGTGTTGGATATCTTCATAAAACAGCATTTAATTTAATTAATTCTTTGCCTTACCTGTTGCGATTGGTGGTCCAGTTTGCACAGAGCTGTTGCACGATAGTCCAACTGCCATTACTTGAACTGGACACGCTTGCCCACATGTCATGTTAGTGATGTCACATGTCATTTGACTGGTCATGCACGTATACGTCTGTCCAGGAAAGCATTGCATTGTCATTAAAAAGGAAAGTGCTCCATTGCCAGGGGACCAGGACACACTCGCTGTTTTGTTGCCAAAGTTCATTGTGGACTGGATATTCAGTGGAGGGCATGGGGCTAAAGACAAGAGAACAAAGTCAAAGCATGTCATTGCTACAGAGCTAGGAACAGGGGATGTATGGGACCCAGAGGCTGGGAGAGGACTATGACGAAGAGGAGGACTGGTCAACTGGTAGAATGCATGAGAAGTGATGTGCTGTTATCTGGTGATTGTCAGCATCTATTGGTGCGGTGTCAATTTGGCCTTGAGAAGAGTGAATAAATTCCACAGGGCTGCTAGGCACTTGGTAGTGCATTATTATTGACAGTCATTTTGAGAAAGATATTGCCCTGAGTTTATCACATTTACAGAAAGGTAAATACTGAATGTGGGAATCAGCATTATACATAGGAGCAGTGATGCAGTGACCTCTAGAGGAATTGTAGACTTTTTTGCTGCCTGATACAGTTGCATGGTTTTAAATCATTCTTCGTGTTAACAAACTGAACTTCACTCTTAATTCCTAAGATCTTTTGGTCAATGATATGTCAAATTTTATTACCTGTCTGGATCTGAACAGGAGTACTCTGCACACTGCTGCAGTTGCTGCCTCCGGCCTTCACTGTGATGGTGTAGGATTGTCCACATGTCAGAGCCAACAGGTCACAGGAAGTGGAGGCTGAAGTACAGTTAATCGAGACACCATTGGCACTACTGGCTGTCACAGAGTAAACGTCCGCCCTGCGGCTCCTCCCCCAGGTTACCGTTGCTATGTTGCTGCTACAGCTCACATTGGCTGACACATTTTGTGGTGCACAAAGTGCTGGGTAAAAGAGAGAAAACAATGACTGACCATAGTCTTTCTGCAGGTAACCACAACTAAAACCTTCAGTATGCAAAGGGATGGACACAGCGAGGTTAGACAGTAAGGAAATTGCTCACAAGTGGTAATGCGGCGCACTTCACTACGTTGTCCAGTGCAGTTCGCACTCATAGCTGTGACCGACACATTGTACACCTCACTACATGCCAGACCACTGATGTTACAGGAAGTGCTGCTGGAGTTGCAGGTTAACGGACGTCCATTATCATATTCTGCTGTCACTACATAGTAGGAAGCTAAGCCACTGGATGCTGCCCAGGAAACAGATGCTGTGCCAGATCCATGGGCTAGAGACACATTGACTTGAGTGGGTGCACATGGAGCTGAAAAAGAAAAGAATCAATTATGCGATGCACAACATTCAATAAATAGATCACCAAACCTACATCTAATCTCATTTTCTTAGTGTTCTTGTTTGATTTTTATACCTGTGTCTACAGTGGCCATGGATGTGGAAACAGATGACCCGACCAGGCCATTTCCTGTAACATTGATGCTGTAGCGTTGACCGCACTGCAGTGAGCTGATGTTGCATGAAGAGCCACTGGTGAAGCAGCTGTGCAACTGGCTATCCTGGAAAGACTGCAGCGATACATTGAAACTGAGTGCACCATTGCCTGGTGTCCAAGAAACGAGTGCTGAGTTGCTGCCACAGTTAAGCGTGGCCTGAATGTCAGAGTTGAGACATGGTTCTGCAACAAGAAAAGCAAATTGATTTACTTAATATGTCCTTGGTGGATAAAAGTATTAGCGTGTCTTTAAAACAAATCTTGCTGACTACAGGCTTTTGGACAGTGTTGTATATCTTCATAAAAAAGCATTTAATTTAATCAGCTCTTTGCCTTACCTGTTGCGATTGGTGGTCCAGTTTGCACAGAGCTGTTGCACGACGGTCCAACTGCCACTACTTGAACTGGACACGCTTGCCCACATGTCATGTTAGTGATGTCACATGTCATTTGACTGGTCATGCACGTATACGTCTGTCCAGGAAAGCATTGCATTGTCATTAAAAAAGAAAGTGCTCCATTGCCAGGGGACCAGGACACACTCGCTGTTTTGTTGCCAAAGTTCATTGAGGACTGGATATTCAGTGGAGGGCATGGGGCTAAAGACAAGAGAACAAAGTGTAATTCAAAGCATGTCATTACTACAGAGCTAGGAACAGGGGGTGTATGGGACCCAGAGGCTTGGAGAGGACTATGACGAAGAGGAGGACTGGTCAACTGGTAGAATGCATGAGAAGTGATGTGCTGTTATCTGGTGATTGTCAGCATCTATTGGTGCTGTGTCACTTGGCCTTGAGAAGAGTGAATAGATTTCACATGGCTGCTAAGCACTTGGTAGTGCATTATTACTGACAGTCATTTTGAGAAAGATATTGCCCTGAGTTTATCACTTTTACAGAAAGGTAAATACTGAATGTGGGAATCAGCATTATACATAGGAGCAGTGATGCAGTGATCTCTAGAGGAATTTTAGACCGTTTCACTGCCTAATACAGTTGCATGGTTTTAAATCAGTTTTCTTGTTAACAAACTAAACTTTACTCTTAATTCCCAAAATCATTTGGTCTATGATATATCAAATTATTTACCTGTCTGGATCTGAACTGGAGTACTCTGCACACTGCTGCAGTTGCTGCCTCCGGCCTTCACTGTGATGGTGTAGGATTGTCCACATGTCAGAGCCAACAGGTCACAGGAAGTGGAGGCTGAAGTGCAGTTAATCGAGACACCATTGGCACTACTGGCTGTCACAGAGTAAACGTCCGCCCTGCGGCTCCTCCCCCAGGTTACCGTTGCTATGTTGCTGCTACAGCTCACATTGGCTGACACATTTTGTGGTGCACAAAGTGCTGGGTAAAAGAGAGAAAACAATGACTGACCATAGTCTTTCTGCAAGTAACCACAACTAAAACCTTCAGTATGCAAAGAGATGGACACAGCGAGGTTAGACGTTAAGGAAATTGCCTACCAGTGTTAATGCGGCGCACTTCACTACGTTGCCCAGTACAGTTCGCACTCATAGCTGTGACCGACACATTGTACACCTCACTACATGCCAGACCACTGATGTTACAGGAAGTGCTGATGGAGTTGCAGGTTAACGGACGTCCATTATCATATTCTGCTGTTACAATGTAGTAAGAAACTAAGCCACTGGATGCTGCCCAGGAAACAGATGCTGTGTCAGATCCATGGGCTAGAGACACATTGACTTGAGTGGGTGCACATGGAGCTGAAAAAGAAAAGAATCAATTATGTGATGCACAACATTCAATAAATAGATCACCAAACCTGCATCCAATCTCTCTGCCTTTTGCGTTCTTGTTTGATTTTTATACCTGTGTCGACACTGGACATGGATGTGGAAACAGATGACCCGACCAGGCTGTTTCCTGTAACATTGATGCTGTAGCGTTGACCGCACTGCAGTGAGCTGATGTTGCATGAAGAGCCACTGGTGAAGCAGCTGTGCAACTGGCTATCCTGAAAAGACTGGAGCGATACATTGAAACTGAGTGCACCGTTGCCTGGTGTCCAAGAAACAAGTGCTGAGTTGCTGCCACAGTCAAGCGTGGACTGAATGTTAGTGTTAGGACATGGTGCTGCAACAGGAAAACAGATTGATTAACCTAATGTGTCCTTGGTGGATAAAAGTATTAGCGTGTCTTTAAAACAAATCTTGCTGACTACAGGCTTTTGGACAGTGTTGGATTTCAAAAAACAGCATTTAATTTAATCATTTCTTTGCCTTACCTGTTGCGATTGGTGGTCCAGTTTGCACAGAGCTGTTGCACGATAGTCCAACTGCCACTACTTGAACTGGACACGCTTGCCCACATGTCATGTTAGTGATGTCACATGTCATTTGACTGGTCATGCACGTATACGTCTGTCCAGGAAAGCATTGCATTGTCATTAAAAAGGAAAGTGCTCCATTGCCAGGGGACCAGGACACACTCGCTGTTTTGTTGCCATAGTTCATTGTGGACTGGATATTCAGTGGAGGGCATGGGGCTAAAGACAAGAGAACAAAGTGTAATTCAAAGCATGTCATTGCTACAGAGCTAGGAACAGGGGATGTATGGGACCCAGAGGCTTGGAGACGACTATGACGAAGAGGAGGACTGGTCAACTGGTAGAATGCATGAGAAGTGATGTGCTGTTATCTGGTGATTGTCAGCATCTATTGGTGCGGTGTCAATTGGCCTTGAGAAGAGTGAATAGATTTCACAGGGCTGCTAAGCACTTTGTAGTGCATTATTACTGACAGTCATTTTGAGAAAGAAATGGCCCTAAGTTTATCAGTTGCATGATTTTTAAATCAGCTTTCATGTTAACAAACTGAACTCCATTCTTAATTTCCAAGATCTTGTGGTCTATGATATGTCAAATTTTATTACCTGTCTGGATCTGAACAGGAGTACTCTGCACACTGCTGCAGTTGCTGCCTCCGGCCTTCACTGTGATGGTGTAGGATTGTCCACATGTCAGAGCCAACAGGTCACAGGAAGTGGAAACTGAAGTGCAGTTCACCGAGAGACCATTGGCACTACTGGCTGTCACAGAGTAAACGTCCGCCCTGCGGCTCCTCCCCCAGGTTACCGTTGCTATGTTGTTGCTACAGCTCACATTGGCTGACACATTTTGTGGTGCACAAAGTGCTGGGTAAAAGAGAGAAAACAATGGCTGACCATAGTCTTTCTGCAGGTAACCACAACTAAAACCTTTAGTATGCAAAGGAATGGACACGTCGAGGTTAGACGTTAAGGAAATTGCTTACCAGTGTTAATGCGGCGCACTTCACTACGTTGTCCAGTGCAGTTCGCACTCATAGCTGTGACCGACACATTGTACACCTCACTACATGCCAGACCACTGATGTTACAGGAAGTGCTGCTGGAGTTGCAGGTTAACGGACGTCCATTATCATATTCTGCTGTTACAATGTAGTAAGAAACTAAGCCACTGGATGCTGCCCAGGAAACAGATGCTGTGTCAGATCCATGGGCTAGAGACACATTGACTTGAGTGGGTGCACATGGAGCTGAAAAAGAAAAGAATCAATTATGTGATGCACAACATTCAATAAATAGATCACCAAACCTGTATCCAATCTCTCTGCCTTTTGCGTTCTTGTTTGATTTTTATACCTGTGTCTACAGTGGACATGGATGTGGAAACGGATGACCCGACCAGGCCGTTTCCTGTAACATTGATGCTGTAGCGTTGACCGCACTGCAGTGAGCTGATGTTGCATGAAGAGCCACTGGTGAAGCAGCTGTGCAATTGACTATCCTGAAAAGACTGCAGCGATACATTGAAACTGAGTGCACCGTTGCCTGGTGTCCAAGAAACGAGAGCTGAGTTGGTGCCACAGTCAAGCGTGGCCTGAATGTCAGAGTTGAGACATGGTGCTGCAACAAGAAAAACAAATTGATTAACCTAATGTGTCCTTGGTGGATAAAAGTATTAGCGTGTCTTTAAAACAAATCTTGCTGACTACAGGCTTTTGGACAGTGTTGGATTTCATAAAAAGCATTTAATTTAATCATTTCTTTGCCTTACCTGTTGCGATTGGTGGTCCAGTTTGCACAGAGCTGTTGCATGATGGTCCAACTGCCACTACTTGAACTGGACACACTTGCCCACATGTCATGTTAGTGATGTCACATGTCATTTGACTGGTCATGCACGTATACGTCTGTCCAGGAAAGCATTGCATTGTCATTAAAAAGGAAAGTGCTCCATTGCCAGGGGACCAGGACACACTCGCTGTTTTGTTGCCAAAGTTCATTGTGGACTGGATATTCAGTGGAGGGCATGGGGCTAAAGACAAGAGAACAAAGTGTAATTCAAAGCATGTCATTGCTACAGAGCTAGGAACAGGGGATGTATGGGACCCAGAGGCTTGGAGAGGACTATGACGAAGAGGAGGACTGGTCAACTGGTAGAATGCATGAGAAGTGATGTGCTGTTATCTGGTGATTGTCAGCATCTATTGGTGCGGTGTCACTTGGCCTTGAGAAGAGTGAATGAATTTCACAGGGCTGCTAGGCACTTGGTTGTGCATTAGTACTGACAGTCATTGTTTTTCACTTTTACTGCAAGTTAAAGGCTTGATGTGTGAATCAGCATTATACATAGGAGCACTCATGCAGTGACCTCCAGTGGAATTTTAGACTCTTCTGTTGCCTTAAACTTTTGCATGTTTTTTTTAACCAGTCTTCATGCTAACAAACCAAACTCCATTCCTATTTACCAAGATCTTGTGGTCTATGATATGTCAAATTTTATTACCTGTCTGGATCTGAACAGGAGTACTCTGCACACTGCTGCAGTTGCTGCCTCCGGCCTTCACTGTGATGGTGTAGGATTGTCCACATGTCAGAGCCAAAAGTTCACAGGAAGTGGAGGCTGAAGTGGAGTTAATCGAGAGACCATTTGCACTACTGGCTGTCACAGAGTAAACGTCCGCCCTCCGGCTCCTGCCCCAGGTTACTGTTGCTATGTTGCTGCTACAGCTCACATTGGCTGACACATTTTGTGGTGCACAAAGTGCTGGGTAAAAGAGAGAAAACAATGGCTGACCATAGTCTTTCTGCAGGTAACCACAACTAAAACCTTCAGTATGCAAAGGGATGGATACGATGGAGCGAGGTTAGACAGTAAGGAAATTGCTTACCAGTGTTGATGCGGCGCACTTCACTACGTTGTCCAGTGCAGTTCGCACTCATAGCTGTGACCGACACATTGTACGCCTCACTACATGCCAGACCACTAATGTTACAGGAAGTGCTGCTGGAGTTGCAGGTTAACGGACGTCCATTATCATATTCTGCTGTTACAGTATAGTAGGAAACTAAGCCACTGGATGCTGCCCAGGAAACAGATGCTGTGTCAGATCCATGGGCTAGAGACACATTGACTTGAGTGGGTGCACATGGAGCTGAAAAAGAAAAGAATCAATTATGTGATGCACAACATTCAATAAATAGATCACCAAACCTGCAGTCAATCGATTTTCCTTTTGCGTTCTTCTTTAATTTCATACCTGTGTCTACAGTGGCCATGGATGTGGAAACAGATGACCCGACCAGGCTGTTTCCTGTAACATTGATGCTGTAGCGTTGACCGCACTGCAGTGAGCTGATGTTGCATGAAGAGCCACTGGTGAAGCAGCTGTGCAACTGGCTATCCTGAAAAGACTGCAGTGATACATTGAAACTGAGTGCACCATTGCCTGGTGTCCAAGAAACGAGTGCTGAGTTGCTGCCACAGTCAAGCGTGGCCTGAATGTCAGAGTTGAGACATGGTGCTGCAACAAGAAAAGCAAATTGATTTACTTAATGTGTCCTTGGTGGATAAAAGTATTAGCGTGTCTTTAAAACAAATCTTGCTGACTACAGGCTTTTGGACAGTGTTGTATATCTTCATAAAAAAGCATTTAATTTAATCAGCTCTTTGGCTTACCTGTTGCGATTGGTGGTCCAGTTTGCACAGAGCTGTTGCACGACGGTCCAACTGCCACTACTTGAACTGGACACGCTTGCCCACATGTCATGTTAGTGATGTCACATGTCATTTGACTGGTCATGCACGTATACGTCTGTCCAGGAAAGCATTGCATTGTCATTAAAAAGGAAAGTGCTCCATTGCCAGGGGACCAGGACACACTCGCTGTTTTGTTGCCAAAGTTCATTGTGGACTGGATATTCAGTGGAGGGCATGGGGCTAAAGACAAGAGAACAAAGTGTAATTCAAAGCATGTCATTACTACAGAGCTAGGAACAGGGGATGTATGGGACCCAGAGGCTTGGAGACGACTATGACGAAGAGGAGGACTGGTCAACTGGTAGAATGCATGAGAAGTGATGTGCTGTTATCTGGTGATTGTCAGCATCTATTGATGTGGTGTCACTTGGCCTTGAGAAGAGTAAATAGATTTCACAGGGCTGCTTAGCACTTGATAGTGCATTAGTACTGACAGTCATTTTGAGAAAGATATTGCCCAGAGTTTATCACTTTTACAGAAAGGTAAATACTGAATGTGGGAATCAGCATTATACATAGGAGCAGTGATGCAGTAACCTCTAGAGGAATTTTAGACCGTTTCGCTGCCTAGTACAGTTGCATGTTTTTAAATCAGCTTTTATGTTAACAAACTGAACTCCATTCTTAATTTCCAAGATCTTGTGGTCTATGATATGTCAAATTTTATTACCTGTCTGGATCTGAACAGGAGTACTCTGCACACTGCTGCAGTTGCTGCTTCCGGCCTTAACTGTGATGGTGTAGGATTGTCCACATGTGAGAGCCAACAGGTCACAGGAAGTGGAGGCTGAAGTGCAGTTAATCGAGACACCATTGGCACTACTGGCTGTCACAGAGTAAACGTCCGCCCTGCGGCTCCTCCCCCAGGTTACCGTTGCTATGTTGCTGCTACAGCTCACATTGGCTGACACATTTTGTGGTGCACAAAGTGCTGGGTAAAAAAAGAGAGAAAACAATGGCTGACCATAGTCTTTCTGCAGGTAACCACAACTAAAACCTTCAGTATGCAAAGGGATGGACACAGCGAGGTTAGACGGTAAGGAAATTGCTTACCAGTGTTAATGCGGCGCACTTCATTACGTTGTCCAGTGCAGTTCGCACTCATAGCTGTGACCGACACATTGTACACCTCACTACATGCCAGACCACTGATGTTACAGGAAGTGCTGCTGGAGTTGCAGGTTAACGCACGTCCATTATCATATTCTGCTGTTACAATATAGTAGGAAACTAAGCCACTGGATGCTGCCCAGGAAACAGATGCTGTGTCAGATCCATGGGCTAGAGACACATTGACTTGAGTGGGTGCACATGGAGCTGAAAAAGAAAAGAATCAATTATGTGATGCACAACATTCAATAAATAGATCACCAAACCTGCATCCAATCTCTCTGCCTTTTGCGTTCTTCTTTGATTTTATACCTGTGTCTACAGTGGACATGGATGTGGAAACGGATGACCCGACCAGGCTGTTTCCTGTAACATTGATGCTGTAGCGTTGACCGCACTGCAGTGAGCTGATGTTGCATGAAGAGCCACTGGTGAAGCAGCTGTGCAATTGACTATCCTGGAAAGACTGCAGCGATACATTGAAACTGAGTACACCATTGCCTGGTGTCCAAGAAACGAGTGCTGAGTTGGTGCCACAGTCAAGCGTGGCCTGAATGTCAGTGTTAGGACATGGTGCTGCAACAGGAAAACAGATTGATTAACCTAATGTGCCCTTGGTGGATAAAAGTATTAGCGTGTCTTTAAAACAAATCTTGCTGACTACAGGCTTTTGGTCAGTGTTGGATATCTTTATAAAACAGCATTTAATTTAATCAATTCTTTGGCTTACCTGTTGCGATTGGGGGTCCAATTTGCACAGAGCTGTTGCACGACGGTCCAACTGCCACTACTTGAACTGGACACACTTGCCCACATGTCATGTTAGTGATGTCACATGTCGTTTGACTGGTCATGCACATATACGTCTGTCCAGGAAAGCATTGCATTGTCATTAAAAAGGAAAGTGCTCCATTGCCAGGGGACCAGGACACACTCGCTGTTTTGTTGCCAACGTTCATTGTGGACTGGATATTCAGTGGAGGGCATGGGGCTAAAGACAAGAGAACAAAGTGTAATTCAAAGCATGTCATTGCTACAGAGCTAGGAACAGGGGATGTATGGGACCCAGAGGCTGGGAGAGGACTATGACGAAGAGGAGGACTGGTCAACTGGTAGAATGCATGAGAAGTGATGTGCTGTTATCTGGTGATTGTCAGCATCTATTGATGTGGTGTCAATTGGCCTTGAGAAGAGTGAATAGATTTCACAGGGCTGCTAAGCACTTGGTAGTGCATTATTACTGACAGTCATTTTGAGAAAGATATTGCCCTGAGTTTATCACTTTTACAGAAAGGTAAATACTGAATGTGGGAATCAGCATTATACATAGGAGTAGTGACGCAGTGACCTCCAGAGGAATTTTAGGCTACGTTCACACTGCAGGCAAATGAGGCACGGATCAGATTTTTTCCCCCTTCGTGTGACTCAGGTGATGACAGTGTGAACTGCCCAAACCGCATGAAATCTGATCTTTTCAGGTCAGATCTGTGCCACTTTCATATGTAGTCTTAAATCAGGCACAGATCTGATGTTCTACAATGCGACCAGGGTGTGAACAGTTATGTCGGATTTCATGTGACTTTTTCATAATCTCAGAGTGACATGCGTCATCATTCTGTGCTGCAAATATCATCTACCCCTCAGCAGCACAGTAGAATGGTACACAGGGCGATTACAGTACCACAGAAAGTTGGTTGTTCATGTTGAAAAAGATTTTAAAGGCATAACTGGTGCTTGTTAACTAATCTGGTTAAGGATTGAGGCACGGGTTGATCGTGAAGCTGAAGAGTGTCAAGGGTGTTGTGGATAGGGGATCTGTGTGCAAAGGAGGAAGAACTTTCTCTCCGAGAGAAAAAAGGGCAGGTGCTCGAGCACCCAAACCCCCATTCTGCACGTGTCTGCTGTTTATAACGAAAGTTAAATTAAATAACTCCACAAACAGAGATAAACCAACTCCGCCTTCACAGCTCAGTCTGCGGCTGCTCATATACCCTTGATGAGTCCGCTACACCGGTGATCAGAGCGCCACCCACCGCGGCTGTCATTAATCACAAACGATCAGTGTTTCTTTTTTTTTTATCACAGAAGACATTTTAGTTCTCAAATGCCGAAATACACTTTAGTAGTAGCAGAAAAATCATTTACAGTTCATGAAATACACCACGGTTGTCTGTAAAAAGGGTAATAATGATATAAGCATGATCTGACAACGTGCTTACTCATGCAGCACACGCGTGTGCATAATTAGACATGTGTTCTCCGTAATGCACTTTTGCGCATGCGGGTCAGTTTAGGACCATGATTTGTTCATACTGCAGATCTGATATTGGCCACATTTATAGGAGCAATGTGAACAGCCATGCAAAAAAATCTGATCAGATTTGAGCACTAAGCCTTGCAGTGTGAACGTAGCCTTAGACCGATTTGCTGCCTGATACAGTTGCATGATTTTTAAATCAGCTTTCATGTTAACAAACTGAACTTTATTCTTAATTTCCAAGATCTTGTGGTCTATGATATGTCGAATGTTATTACCTGTCTGGATCTGAACAGGAGTACTCTGCACACTGCTGCAGTTGCTGCCGCCGGCCTTCACTGTGATGGTGTAGGATTGTCCACATGTCAGAGCCAACAGGTCACAGGAAGTGGAGGCTGAAGTGCAGTTCACCGAGAGACCATTGGCACTACTGGCTGTCACAGAGTAAACGTCCGCCCTGCGGCTCCTCCCCCAGGTTACTGTTGCTATGTTGCTGCTACAGCTCACATTGGCTGACACATTTTGTGGTGCACAAAGTGCTGGGTAAAAGAGAGAAAACAATGGCTGACCATAGTCTTTCTGCAGGCAACCACAACTAAAACCTTCAGTATGCTAAGGGATGGACACAGCGAGGTTAGACAGTAAGGAAATTGCTTACCAGTGTTAATGCGGCGCACTTCACTACGTTGCCCAGTACAGTTCGCACTCATAGCTGTGACCGACACATTGTACACCTCACTACATGCCAGACCACTGATGTTACAGGAAGTGCTGATGGAGTTGCAGGTTAACGGACGTCCATTACCATATTCTGCTGTTACGATGTAGTAGGAAACTAAGCCACTGGATGCTGCCCAGGACACAGATGCTGTGTCAGATCCATGGGCTAGAGACACATTGACTTGAGTGGGTGCACATGGAGCTGATAAAGAAAAGAATCAAATATGTGATGCACAGCATTCAATAAATAGATCACCAAACCTGCATCCAATCTCTCTGCCTTTTGCGTTCTTCTTTGATTTTTATACCTGTGTCTACACTGGACATGGATGTGGAAACAGATGACCCGACCAGGCCGTTTCCTGTAACATTGATGCTGTAGCGTTGACCGCACTGCAGTGAGCTGATGTTGCATGAAGAGCCACTGGTGAAGCAGCTGTGCAACTGGCTATCCTGGAGAGACTGCAGCGATACATTGAAACTGAGTGCACCATTGCCTGGTGTCCAAGAAACGAGTGCTGAGTTGGTGCCACAGTCAAGCGTGGACTGAATGTCAGAGTTGAGACATGGTGCTGCAACATGAAAACAAATTGGTTAAGCTAATGTGCCCTTGGTGGATAAAAGTATTAGCGTGTCTTTAAACAAATCTTGCTGACTACAGGCTTTTGGACAGTGTTGTATATCTTCATAAAAAAGCATTTAATTTTATCAGCTCTTTGCCTTACCTGTTGCGATTGGTGGTCCAGTTTGCACAGAGCTGTTGCACGATGGTCCAACTGCCACTACTTGAACTGGACACGCTTGCCCACATGTCATGTTAGTGATGTCACATGTCGTTTGACTGGTCATGCACGTATACGTCTGTCCAGGAAAGCATTGCATTGTCATTAAAAAGGAAAGTGCTCCATTGCCAGGGGTCCATGACACACTCGCTGTTTTGTTGCCAAAGTTCATTGAGGACTGGATATTCAGTGGAGGGCATGGGGCTAAAGACAAGAGAACAAAGTGTAATTCAAAGCATGTCATTACTACAGAGCTAGGAACAGGGGGTGTATGGGACCCAGAGGCTTGGAGAGGACTATGACGAAGAGGAGGACTGGTCAACTAGTAGAATGCATGAGAAGTGATGTGCTGTTATCTGGTGATTGTCAGCATCTATTGGTGCTGTGTCACTTGGCCTTGAGAAGAGTGAATAAATTTCACAGGGCTGCTAGGCACTTGGTAGTGCATTAGTACTGACAGTCATTGTTTTTCACTTTTACTGCAAGTTAAAGGCTTGATGTGTGAATCAGTATTATACATAGGAGCACTTATGCAGTGACCTCCAGTGGAATTTTAGACTCTTCTGTTGCCTTAAACTTTTGCATGTTTTTTTTTAACCAGTCTTCATGCTAACAAACCAAACTCCATTCCTATTTCCCAAGATATTTTGGTCTATAATATGTCAAAATTTATTACCTGTCTGGATCTGAACAGGAGTACTCTGCACACTGCTGCAGTTGCTGCTTCTGGCCTTCACTGTGATGGTGTAGGATTGTCCACATGTCAGAGCCAACAGGTCACAGGAAGTGGAGGCTGAAGTGCAGTTAATCGAGACACCATTGGCACTACTGGCTGTCACAGAGTAAACGTCCGCCCTGCGGCTCCTCCCCCAGGTTACTGTTGCTATGTTGCTGCTACAGCTCACATTGGCTGACACATTTTGTGGTGCACAAAGTGCTGGGTAAAAGAGAGAAAACAATGACTGACCATAGTCTTTCTGCAGGTAACCAGAAGTAAAACCTTCATTATGAAAAGTGATGGATACGATGTACTGAGGTTAGACAGTGAGAAAATTGCTTACCAGTGTTAATGCGGCGCACTTCACTACGTTGCCCAGAGCAGTTTGCACTCATAGCTGTGACCGATACATTGTACACCTCACTACATGCCAGACCACTGATGTTACAGGAAGTGCTGCTGGAGTTGCAGGTTAACGGACGTCCATTATCGTATTCTGCTGTTACAGTATAGTAGGAAACTAAGCCACTGGATGCTGCCCAGGAAACAGATGCTGTGTCAGATCCATGGGCTAGAGACACATTGACTTGAGTGGGTGCACATGGAGCTGAAAAAGAAAAGAATCAAATATGTGATGCACAGCATTCAATAAATAGATCATCAAACCTGCATCCAATCTCACTGCCTTTTGCGTTCTCGTTTGATTTTTATACCTGTGTCTACAGTGGCCATGGATGTGGAAACGGATGACCCGACCAGGCTGTTTCCTGTAACATTGATGCTGTAGCGTTGACCGCACTGCAGTGAGCTGATGTTGCATGAAGAGCCACTGGTGAAGCAGCTGTGCAATTGACTATCCTGGAAAGACTGCAGCGAAACATTGAAACTGAGTGCACCATTGCCGGGTGTCCAAGAAACGAGTGCTGAGTTGCTGCCACAGTCAAGCGTGGCCTGAATGTCAGAGTTGAGACATGGTGCTGCAACAAGAAAAACAAATTGATTAACCTAATGTGTCCTTGGTGGATAAAAGTATTAGCGTGTCTTTAAAACAAATCTTGCTGACTACAGGCTTTTGGACAGTGTTGGATTTCATAAAAAGCATTTAATTTAATCAGCTCTTTGCCTTACCTGTTGCGATTGGTGGTCCAGTTTGCACAGAGCTGTTGCACGATGGTCCAACTGCCACTACTTGAACTGGACACGCTTGCCCACATGTCATGTTAGTGATGTCACATGTCGTTTGACTGGTCATGCACGTATACGTCTGTCCAGGAAAGCATTGCATTGTCATTAAAAAGGAAAGTGCTCCATTGCCAGGGGACCAGGACACACTCGCTGTTTTGTTGCCAAAGTTCATTGTGGACTGGATATTCAGTGGAGGGCATGGGGCTAAAGACAAGAGAACAAAGTGTAATTCAAAGCATGTCATTGCTACAGAGCTAGGAACAGGGGATGTAAAGGACCCAGATGATTGGAATATGATGAAGTGGAGGACTGGTCAACTGGTAGAATGCATGGGAAGTGCAATAGTACTGATAGTCATTTAGAGAAAGAAATTGCCCAGAGTTTATCACTTTTATAGTAAGTTAAATATTTGATGTGTGAATCAGCATTATACATAGCAGCAGTGATGCAGTGACCTCTAGAGGAATTTTAGACTGTTTTGCTGCCTGATACAGTTCCCTGCTGAAAAATCCAGCTTAAACCAGCCTAGGCTGGTTGGCTGGTTTTAGCTGGTCGACCAGGCTGGTTTTAGAGGGGTTTTGGCCTGAAAAATTACCAGCCAAATCCAGCTAAAACCAGCTTGACCAGCCTGGTTTAAGCTGGATATAGCTGGTTTTGGCTGGACTTCCAGCTTGGCTAGGCTGGTCAAGCTGGTTTTAGCTGGTCATCTCCCAGGATTTTTCAGCAAGGTTGCATTTTTTTAAACCACTCATCATGTTAACAAACTGAACTTCATTCTTAATTTCCAAGATCTTGTGGTCTATGATATGTCGAATAGTATTACCTGTCTGGATCTGAACAGGAGTACTCTGTACACTGCTGCAGTTGCTGCCTCCGGCCTTCACTGTGATGGTGTAGGATTGTCCACATGTCAGAGCCAACAGGTCACAGGAAGTGGAGGCTGAAGTGCAGTTCACCGAGAGACCATTGGCACTACTGGCTGTCACAGAGTAAACGTCCGCCCTGCGGCTCCTCCCCCAGGTTACTGTTGCTATGTTGCTGCTACAGCTCACATTGGCTGACACATTTTGTGGTGCACAAAGTGCTGGGTAAAAGAAAGAGAAAACAATGACTGACCATAGTCTTTCTGCAGGTAACTATAACTAAAACCTTCAGTATGCAAAGGGATTGACACAGCGAGGTTTTATGGTAAGGAAATTGCTTACCAGTGTTGATGCGGCGCACTTCACTACGTTGCCCAGTACAGTTTGCGCTCATAGCTGTGACCGAGACATTGTACACCTCACTACATGCCAGACCACTGATGTTACAGGAAGTGCTGCTGGAGTTGCAGGTTAACGGACGTCCATTACCATATTCTGCCGTGACAACGTAGTAGGAAACTAAGCCACTGGATGCTGCCCAGGAAACAGATGCTGTGTCAGATCCATGGGCTAGAGACACATTGACTTGAGTGGGTGCACATGGAGCTGAAAAAGAAAAGAATCAATTATGTGATTCACAACATTCAATAAATAGATCACCAAACCTGCATCCAATCTCACTGTCTTTTGCGTTCTTGTTTGATTTTTATACCTGTGTCTACAGTGGCCATTGATGTGGAAATGGATGACCCGACCAGGCCGTTTCCTGTAACATTGATGCTGTAGCGTTGACCGCACTGCAGTGAGCTGATGTTGCATAAAGAGCCACTGGTGAAGCAGCTGTGCAACTGGCTATCCTGGAAAGACTGCAGCGATACGTTGAAACTGAGTGCACCATTGCCTGGTGTCCAAGAAACGAGTGCTGAGTTGCTGCCACAGTCAAGCGTGGCCTGAATGCCAGAGTTGGGACATGGTGCTGCAAAAAATGTTAATGTTGTTGTTATATGGATGGTCACAACAAGCTGCATTTGAGTACATACAAAGCGAGTTTCAAAGAGTTGTTACAGTGTAAAAATGCGTGCATGCACACATAAAAGTTACCTGAATGTATTTGAATTGGTGTGGATGGCAGACTCCTGCAGTGACCATCGTTCATTGTAACTGAGAGGTTGTACTTGACTCCGCAGAGCAGCTTTGGTAATGTGCAGTTGTTAAAGCTGGTGCTGCAGTTTATTGACGATCCATATTCATCCTGTAGTATTGCTGTGTACAGACCTCCCGACTGAAGGGTCTGCCAGCTGACTGTTGTATAATTCGCTGCATAGTCTGCAGTGACCCCCACACCAGCAGGAGCACATGGGGCTACAAAGGAGAATGGATGAGACTTACTTAGTTTGTGCCCTAGTTTATATCTCATTTTTGGACAGATTCGTTAATAAATTGTTAGAAAATTATTTATAAAAATATAACATTTTAGTCGCTGCTTTTACATTGTAATTATCTAGTTTATCTAATCTAAATTCATACGTATTATGTAGATCTTGCTTTGATTTCTTGGGACATTTCAATCATCGCCTCTTCACTTATTAATTGATTTGTTTTTTATTTAACAATATTCCTAGTTTTGTTTATTTACCCTTATTTTTTTTTTATTTAAAATATCTTGACTCTTTTTTTACTCCTTTTATTTTACATTATTGTTAAACCTTTATTTATTGTCATTTTTTTACATTTATTTTACATATTGATATAAATGTTAAATTTCGCTAAATTACAATAACATGGCAGATAAATATTTCACTATATATGAAAATCACAAGTATTTAAACATGTGACTTGAAAATGAATATTATCCAATTCCTATTGGATACAGTCAATTATTAAGGTGCATTTAACTGAAGCTAACCAATGAAGCTAACCAGGGCTGCGCCCGGTCAGTACCTGGATGGGAGACCACATGGGAAAGCTAGGTTGAGGCCAGCAGGGGGCGCTCAGCCTGTGGTCTGTGTGGGTCCTAATGCCCCAGTATAGTGATGGGGACTCTATACTGCACAAAGTCTTTCGGATGAGACGTTAAACCGAGGTGCCGACTCTCTGTGGTCATTAAAAATCCCAGGATGTCCTTCGAAAAAGAGTAGGGGTTTAACCCCGGCATCCTGGCCAAATCTGCCCACTGGCCTCTGTTCATCATGGCCTCCTAACCATCCCCATATTCTAATTGGCTTCATCACTCTGTCTCCTCTCCACCAATCAACTGCTGTGTAGTGTGTGGTGTGCGGTCTGGCGCAAAATGGATGCCATCAAGTCATCCAGCTGGATGCTGCACACTGGTGGTGGATGAGGAGATCCCCCCCATTGTGTAAAGCACTTTGAGTGCCCTGAAAAGCGCTATATAAATGTAAGGAATTATTATGATTATTATTAAATTAAGAGTTTGGGGAATAGATCGATAATAAATTTAAATTTCAACTGGTTATTGCAAAAAAAAAAAAAAACAATCGATTAAATTGATATATTTCTTATGTTCCTTTTGACTTTTCCTGTTCCTGTAAAATTAATTTAATATTTTTCCCCAACATATTAATTTGAATGTAAGTTTTGGATTGTGATCTTTTTGTTTTGTTAGATTAGTTCCAATTTTGCCTTTGATACTAACTCATCTAATGTATGTGCACAAATATATTATTGTAAAGCATCCTATAGAAAATATTAATTTAAAAGAGAGATCTGGTGTACTCAGGTGTACTCAGTGTCGGCCTGTTTAATTGGCAATATAGGTGGTCGTCTAGGGCCCCACGTTTCTTGAAGGGCCCACGAACACTGCTGTTGTATATTTACTGTGAATGTGGACATTTGCGAGGACGAGCGCATACTTATAAATCATGCACAATGCGCAGTACTTAAACTCTATTAAACGCAATACAATTCACATCGATGATGAGAAATAAAATAACATCCACATTTCATTAAAAGAATAGTTCTATAATTCATACATGACAAATAAATGAAAAAAGATAATAAATACACAACAACAGTATGAATAAAAGCAGAAATTATAGGCGAATTACCGGTTTGTAAACATTCAGGATGCACGCCCATTGAGGTTGCAGAAAGAAACCGGGAGCGCTAGCATTTACAGTGAGGGAATAACATCCGATGCGATACAGTTTGTTGTTGTCTTAGAAATAAGTTAAATTGATTACATTTTATATATTATTTAAATAATGCTTTCAGCGAATTATAACAGCTCGTCACCCAGTGATAAGCACAGTTATTCTGCAATATTAATGTTAAAGTGAGCGGCGTTCATCTGACAGGTCCATTCATGATAGCACCCTCCCAATGGATATTGGATGAGACGAATGGCCAAGCATTCAGCCACAAATATACAATCTCATTGAAAATCCAAGTGATCTTACAAGAGAGAAGATAAAGGTCTTACAAGACTTTGGATGCCAACAATGTTGTTCTGTGTGGTCATGTGCAAGGAATAATATTCCATGATTACCAGATTCAAAACTATGTAGTGCTAAAAACTGAGGTTCTGCCTTGCCAAAGACAAGAAAAGAAGATGGAACTATACAAGGCCTGGGTAATCATCAACAAGCAAACTGCATTCTGACGGCGAACTGCATCTGTACGGCAGGGTATGTGATTTTATATTTTATATTTAAATCTAAGCATTCAATGTTCACAGTTTAATTTACCTTATTTAACTGTTTTTGCTAAAAAAATAAACATTGCTGCAATCAAAAAACGAGTAATGTGTATGATTCAGCAGCCTGAACTTGAGAACTGAATGAGAACTGCAGAGTGGAGCATTTTTAATTAGGTCCTTACTTGATTCAGCTCTTTTGATGGCTGTTAGCATAAGACATCTGCAGTTGGGATTAAAAGCAGTCTGGTGTATGGTAAAATTTAATCGATTTTGGCCTCCTACCACACAACACAACATGTTTGCTATTGCAGCCGGTCTTTTTTTGTAACCGTTATGTGCGGTTGAACCCATGTGACGTCAGGTGTGACATAGGTTGGTAAATCCTCTTTTAGAATCATAAGCAGCAACGCTACGCTCTATTTTGCATAACACTGCCCGCGATCGGCTATTGAGTAAACTAGAATAACGCAACGTACGTATTCCTACACAGATTCCATATATCTCTCCAAATTGCACAAGTGTCCAATCTGTGTGTTCTTCTTCATCTATTTATTTTTTATTTATTTGTATTTTATTTAGTTTGTTTTATGTACAGTTGGTTTTTACAACCTACATGCACTTTCATTTGCAATACTTTACAATACTTGCAAACTTATTTGTTTAAATCTAAGTAAATAATTTTACATATGTATTATAGGTTAAATATGTTGCAGTTAATAAAAGTGTACACACTTAAATATTAAAATGATATGTTTTTGATGCTTTCTTCTTACTGTTTTTACACCAGTGGGCCCAGTTTTTTTAATCTAGCCTAGGACCCCTCACCTCTATGGGTTGTTACCTGGTGTACTCAATTATGCTGGGCACTGCATTTGCCTTCCTTATGCCCTTTTACATTTAAGTATATATATATATATATATATATATATATATATATATATATATATATATATATATATATATATATACCGTTATGTGCAGTTGAACCCATGTGACGTCAGGTGTGACTTAGGTTGGTAATTCCTCTTTTAGAAACTTACGCAACAACGCTACACTATTTTGCATAACACTGCCCGCGATCGGCTATTGAGTGAACTAGAATAACGCAACGCACGTATTCCTTCACAGATTCTCTCCAAATTGCACTAGTGTCCAGTCTGTGCCCTTCTTCATCTATTTATTTTTATTTATTTGCATTCTATTTAGTTTGTTTTATGTACAGTTTGTTTTTGATAAGTATATAATATAAGTATATAAGTATATATAAGTATATATGTTTGTTTTTGCAACCTACTTATATATGTACATATATATAGTTTTTTTGTTTGTTTGTTTTTTTAATTATCTATATGCATCATATCATTTATTTGACATTTTAATTACGTGGCACGTCTTATTCAAAGTTTGCACACCTACCCGTCTTCAAGGTGACATGTTGACTCTCAGAGCTGTTGCACTGCAGGTTTGTTGCTACAACGTAAGCATCGTAGGTCTCGCCACATCTCAGGCTTTCAAATATGCACTCCGTCTTCGAGGCAGTGCAGCTGTAAACTGTGCCGTCTGCGTGTTTTGCTGTTCCATAGTATAAGATGGCACCGTTGCTTCCGAGCCATGAGAGAGTGGCAGAGTTTGAACTACATTTCTCCACCGCGGACACGTTCTGAGGGATGCAGGGAACTGTGGTGCAAGTTAAAAAGACTTAGCATATACAGTTGATGTCAGAATTATTAGCCCTTCTGAATTATTAGCCCTCCCTTTGTATTTTTTTCCAAACTTTCTGTTTAACGGAAAAAAGATCAACACATTTCTAAACATAATAGTTGTAATAACTGATTTCTTTCATCTTTGCCATGATAACAGAACATAATATTTGCCTAGATATTTTTCAAGATACTAGTATTCAGCTTAAAGTGACATTAAAAGGTTAATCAGGCAAGTTAGGGTAATTAGGCAAGTTATTGTATAACGATAATTTGTTCTGTATACCATAGAAAAAGATATTACTAAAAGAGGCTAATCGTTCTGACCCTAAAATGGGTTTTTAAAAAATAAAAATAAAAACTTTCATTCTAGCCGAAATAAACCAAACAAGACTTTCTCCAGAAGAAAAAAATGTTATTGGAAATACTGTGATAAAGTTTGTGCTCTATTAAACATCATTTGGGGAAAAAAAAGTCACAGAACAGCTAATAATTCTGACTTCAAACTTCAACTGTAGCATTACCACATGATTCTAGGCAAAATAAACACACCATGGTGTTGGGGAGAATGTGTACAGAGAATGTGCGCACATACCTGTGTCTGCCACTTCACCCAACACAGGCTCAGTCGTACATTCACCATCAGTGGCAATAAGCCAAATGCTCAGGCTTTCTCCGCAGTCCAGATCTGTGAGTGTACAGCTCGAATTTTGAGATGTGCAGTTGTAGAAATCTCTGCTATTGCCAAAGGCCTCCACCATGTAGGTCTGGGCTCCTTCGGCCATGTCCCAAGTAGTGACGGCAGTGCTGATGCTATTACAGTCTGCTGTTGTGTGGACATTCTGAGGCAGACATGGAGCTAGAGGCATAATGGGAAAAAAAATATATATATGTACATGTTAAGTCACGTTTATTCATGCATTGCTTCATAAAGTATAGAAAGGTTTTCAAACTGCACTTAACCTCAGGTTATTTTAGACTTTTTCGCATTTTATACAAGTTATTTTGAAGGAGGAATAGCACCACTTTTCACTTTTTTATTATAAAAATTCATTCATTGTTTCCACTCCATAAAACTTTGTTTCTTTCTTTTATTACATACATACATACCCACACTGGCCACTTTATAAGGTGCGCCTGTCCAAATGCTCGTTAACACAAGTTTCTAATCAGCCGATCACATGCATTAACTCAATGCATTTAGGCATGTACACATGGTCAAGACAATCTCCTGCAGTTCAAACCGATCATCAGAATGAGGAAGAAAGGTGATTTAAGTGGCTTTGATTGTGGCATGGTTGTTGGTACCAGACGGGCTGGTTGGAGTATTTCAGAAACTGCTGATCTTCTGGGATTTTCACGCACAACCATCTCTAGAGGTTTACAGAGAATGGTCAGAAAAAGAGAAAATGTCCAGTAAACGCCTTGTTGAGGCCAGAGGTCTGAGAAGAATTGCCAGACTGGTTCGAGCTGATAGAAAGGCAACAGTAACTCAAATAACCACTAGCTACAACTGAGGTCTGCAGAAGACCATCTCTGAATGCACAAAACTTCTAACCTTGAAGCGGATGGGCTACAACAGCAGAAGACCACACCGGGAGCCACTCTTGTCAGCTAAGAACAAGAAACTGAAGCTACAATTCGCCCAGGCTCACCAAAATTAGACAATAGAAGATTGGAAAAACGTTGCCTGATCTGAAGAGTCTCGATTTCTGCTGCGACTTTCAGATGGTAGGGTCAGAATTTGGCATCAACAACATGAAAGCATGGCTCCATTCTGCTTTGTATCAACGCTTCAGGCTGGTGGTGGTGGTGGTGTAATTATGTGAGGAATTTTCTTGGCACACTTTGAGCCCACTACTACCAATTGAGCTTTGTGTCAATGACACAGCCTTCCTGATTGTATTGTTGCTGACCATGTCCATCCCTTTATGACCACAGTGTACCCATCTTCTGATGGCTACTTCCAGCAGGATAACGCACCATGTTGAAAAGCGTGAATCATCTCAGACTGGTTTCTTGAACATGATAATGAGTTCACTGTACTCAAATGGCCTCCACAGTCACCAGATCTCAATCCAATAGTGCACCTTTAGGATGTGGTGGAACAGCAGATTCTCATCATGGATGTACAGCTGACAAATCTGCAGCAACTACGTGATGCTATCATGTCAATATGGACTAAAATCTCTGAGGAATATTTCCAATACCTTGTTGAATCTATGCCAAGAATGAATAAGGCAGTTCTGAAGGCAAAAGGGGTCATACATACAGTATATATATATATATATATATATATATATATATATATATATATAGCTGGATATAGCTGGCACCTAATATCCTCCATAGTATTTTTTTCTTTCTTTTAAAGGAACATTTTACAAAAGTAATTTGGAAGCATGTTTTTATGCATATTTTTTCTTAATTGTTTACTTTCCCTTTATGAGTTTTTTTTTTTCTTTTATTAAACAAAAAAGTTATTTTAGAAATGCTGGAAACTGGCATCCTTTAACCTTCACCCATTAACTATGGAAGTCGATTAGTGTCAGAAAACAGAATTTTTTAAATATACAATATCTTAGAAAAAAAACTCCTGAAGGTTTAAATTAGCATGAGGAGGAGCAAACTATGAGTCAACTTTCATTTTTAGATAAACTTTCATTAACGTTTCGTAAACTATCATTTCATTAAAATGTCAAATCACATTTTGCACATTAACTGGGTCATATCATGTTCTTTTGATTTGACCAAAATGGTTAACTCACCTGTTCTGACCATCTTAGCTTGCGTGTTTCCACTGTTGCACTGTTCCACTCCGGTGTAGGTGGAGCTGACGTAGAAACTGTAGCCTTTAGCACAAACAGTGTCAGTGAAGTAGCAGGAAGTTTCCTGAGTGAGGCACTCGGTCACCAGGCCATCCGAGTCCACCGCGGTTGCAAGGTAATAAGCCGTGTTGTTGGTGGGATTCCAGGAGAACACAATGGCATTAGTAGAGCACTCACGATATAACATTGGTGATTTGGGAGGGCAGGGTGCTGTGTGTTTGAGAGACAGAAAGAAATTCATTAAAATGTGCATTGGTTTAGCTCAAAATGAGATAATGTGAAGAATATGAACACTACAGCGGTCAACATTTGAAATGGATTAAAAAGTTTTTCAAACTCAAATTGGTTTTGAACAAGTTAATGGTGAGTAGTGATGACAGTGACAGTATGACAGTATTGTCATTGTGGCAGCACGGTGGCTCAGTGGTTAGCACGGCTGTCTCACTTCAAGAAAGTCACTGGTTTAAGTCCCAACTGGACTAGAAGGCAGTTCTGTGTGGAGTTTGCATGTTCTCTTCGTGTATGTGTGGGTTTCCTCTAGGTGCTCCCAACAATCCAAAGACATGTGATGTAGTTTATTTTATAAACTAAACTGTAGGTTGTAGTGTAAAAATGGGAGAGTTTGTAGGGGTATTTCCCAGCACTGAGGGTTGTACTCTCAGTGCTAGTTTGGTACTGGAATTGCAATTGCTGGTAAAACACATTTCATGGTAAGTGGTGGTTTATTCTACTTTGGCGAATAATGTATTAGTTAAAGGAAGTCATTTCAAAAGTACTCAGGAGTAGTGAGTATTGAGCTGTGAAAAGCTGATGTGTTTACATGTAGTTTGTGGATGTGTGTAAACGTAACATTCTGTAGTGCATTCAGTTAATGTCCAGCAGGCACACAACGTCATAAGACGTTAATATTAGGTTAGATTTAGGTTGTGATGTTGGTAACATTTTAGAATAATTATTCGTTATAACTAGTTATTAGACCATTAATAAACTGTTAGTTAACAAGTTATAAATGACTTGTTAAATAAAAGTTAATAGTTTGTTAATTATTTACAACTGTGCCTTATAGATGGCTAATAGATAACTTACAAGCTGTTAGTTAACAAGTTGTAAATGACTTCTTTACTGTATTTTAATGATTTATAACTATACCTAATCAATTAGTAATAGATCATGAACAAGCTGTTAGTAAATAACTTAATAAAGGCTTGTTAAGTATCAGTTAATAGTGTATATATGTTATTGGGACGTTATTCTAAAGTTGCAGCTATTCTTCATTTATTAACTGTTAGTAAATGAGGAATAGTTGAAACTTTAGAATAACGTCCCAATAACATGCTTAAGCAAATAACTAACAATTAACTATTATATTTACTCACACTTTACAGATCAGTTGTTCACCATTTAATAACACCAGTGAAACTTTTTTTATTAGACCACTGGTGTAATTTTAAATTTTTATTTATTTTGTTTTCATGTTGCATATCATGGGTTTGTATTCTTGCATACTGCTGTACTGCCATGTGATGGTTCAGTATGTGTGTTTCTATACATTAAACACAACGTTTAACATTTAATCTATGGAGTTTCTTTGGTAAAACACAGCACACAGAAAAGCCTATAAGTGGAACAAGGTTTAGAAACAAACATTTTATATTTTAAATATTACATCAAACTTCTGTAGCTTGAACTTATTCCATCCATTTGCAGTTCTACAAAGATTCTCTGGTATTAGTAGATGGTTAACAAACGATAAACAACTCTCGTCTGTAAAGTGTGAGTAAATATAATAGTTAAGTGTTAGTTATTTGCTTAAGCATGTTATTGTGATGTTATTCTAAAGTTGCAACTATTCCTCATTTACTAAAAGTTAATAAATGAAAAATAGCTGCAACTTTAGAATAACGTCCCAATAACATATACACACCATAACTGATACTTAACAAGTCTTTATTAAGTAATTTACTAACAGCTTGTTCATGATCTTTTAATAACTTATGAGGCATAGTTATAAATCATTAAAATACAGTAAAGAAGTCATTTACAACTTGTCAACTAACGGCTTGTAAGTTATCCATTGCTCATCTATAAGGCACAGTTGTAAATAATTAACAAACTATTAACTTTTATTTAACAAGTCATTTAAAATTTGTTAACTAACAGTTTATTTATGGTCTATTAACTAGTTATAACGGATGGTTATTCTAAAGTGTTACCGTGATGTTAGGTGACCAAAATTCAATGTGTAGCCAGTGTCTAAGGACAACATTATTTTGATGTCGAATAACAAGGTCAAATGACTTTGATATTTGGTTGATTTTAGGTTGTGTTGTGACCAAAATTCAACATTGAGCCAACATCTAAAACCAACGTCATATTGACATCATATACTGACATTTATTTGTCAGTTATGACAACCAAAATCAAGCGTTTGAAAGATAGTGGTAGCGTCATTAGATGTTAATTTTTGGTTGTTTTTAGGTTGGACATTGATGTCAGTCTGACATTGACTTCTGACGTCAACCCGATTTTCATTTCCAAACAAAATGCAACGCCCCCACAAGGTTGAGGTACAAGGTCAATCTGACATCATGTTGATGTCTTGTGCCTTCTGGGTGTTTAAGGCCATTTCGGTCATCATACAGCAAACATTCCTCATCTTCTCATCAGTGACATGCACCTAAACATTCTCAGGATCAATGTGTGTAAAAATCTGGACATCTACTTTTAGTTGTGAACTATCCATTTAAAGAGATCTAGATCAGTGGTGAGCATGCTCTTTAAGAAAAGGACATTTTTACCTGTCTCGAAGACATAGCTGCCATCTGAGGTGCTTTCACAGCTAGCGATGGCTTTAATCCGTACGCTGTATAGTTCTCCACAAGGCACTGACACAATCTGGCAGTTTGTGTCTGTGGACGTGCAGTTAAGTGACTGTCCTTTACTATCTGTAATGATAGCACGGTACAGCGTGGCGCCAGTAACAGCATTCCAGCTTACCGAAGCTGTAGCTTTGTTGCAGCTGTAATCCACAGAGATGGAGGAAACTGTTGGAATGGCTGAGAACAAGAAGAAATGAACAGTTAAATCAAGTTAAATTATTGTACAGATCGATACAAGATTATTTTCTTTATATTATATGATCTTAACCCTTGCATGCTGTTGGGGATGACTTCATCCACTCTAGGGTGAGCTTGAGTCTTAATTTGGCCATAACTTTCTCTGTGATTCAGCTAGCAGAATGATTTCTGGTGACAAATCCTTTTTGACACATTTTGAGAAAATCTTCGATTTTTTAAAAATAAAATCAACAATACACTCTGGATAAATTGACTAACCTTTTCTTATGTTAGGGGAAAAACATCCACTGAATTAAACTGCTGTAAAAATGCATCAGATATATATATATATATATTTTTTTTTTTTGCATAAATCTATTAATCATCCTCAGTCCTGTTTAAAACTATACTAAATTGTTTAAAATATTACAGAATTTTAACTCTTTAATTGCCAAATTCATAAATGATGTCATTAATTTGGTGAAAAAAACACACAAATGGCATATTTTCAGAATAAAAAGAAATTGTGGACTGGATTTTTTTTTTAATATTTAAAGTCTGGGACATGTAAAACAACATTGCCTTTGATGCATTGTTTTTGTTTGATTTTCATTTTTGTTCTCCATAATGTACTGTTGGTGGCTGTTTTTCCCCATTGACTTCCATTATAACCACGTTTCTTTGATTACAAAACCATGACACCATGTAATCATGCATTCTTAATTGTTGATGGTTTTCCCTGTTGAGACAAGGTAAAATGTGTCATTTTTACTGTTGATCAGTAATTGACAGCAATAGCCCTTTAGACAGACCTGTGCAAAAAAAAAATACATATATATATATATATATATATATATATATATATATATATATATATATATATATATATATATATATATATATATAGTTTCTGGCTCTTATAGAGTTTAACAGCAAATTAAAGTGTGTGTCTGTGAGAGTGACATTTCGCACACTCACCTGTGTGTCTGACAAAATCAAAATATGCATTTCAGTTCTCAGAACTACATGGAGTAAACAAGAACAAAGACTGTGTATTTATGCACCATCAAATGTGTTTACAATGGCAGTCAACAGGACAAAAACAGCCAACAACAGTAAATTAGGGAGAAAAACTGAAAATCAATGCATTAAAGCTAATACTGTTACTAATCGTTCACATGTCAAAGACTGATAAAATTCCACGACTACTTTTTATATTAAACAATGCTTTATTTTGTGTTTTTTTTTTTTTTTTTTACCACGTTGGCAATTAAAGAGTTAAGTTTTTAAAATTTTCTAAACAATTTAGTAGATTTGATCAGGACTGAGATTGATTAACAGATTTATGCAAAAAAAGTATATATATATATTTATCTGATGCTTTCCACAGCAGTTTAATTCATCTCATACATAACTAAGGGGTAGTAAATTTGAACAGTGCACAAAGCTTAATCTGCCCCTTAATGTTCTAACAGATTGATTCTGATTAATATTAGGTAATTACTGATTACATGTGCATAATGAGATTCCAAAAATTAAATACTTGTAATAAGTATAAAGTTTTAACTGACAAAAAAAGTTCTTTGAACATTCTTAGTTGATTCCCAAAAAACAAACCAAATGTGACAAAAGGGAAAAAAAGTCTTTTATACCTCAGGTACATGTGTGGAATTAGCCCAAAAAAACACTGTATGTCTTAATTATTTATTTTTATTTAATGCCAAAAATCATTAGCATAAGGTAAAGAGCATGTTGCACTAAGACAGTCAATTTTATACTGTAAACATATCAAAAATGTAAACTTAAACCTATCAAAACTCAATATTTGATAAGCAATGTGCATTGTTTAGAACTTAATTTGGGCAACTTTAAAGGCAATATTCTGATTTGGACCCTCAGATTACAGATATTTAAATAGTCAAATCTCTACCAAATATTATAGTATCATAACCATCAATGGAAAGAGTTAGCTTTCATATAATACATAAATCTCAATTTTCTAATAATGTACCCTCGTTGTGACTTGCTTTGTGGTCAAGGGTAACAAGTGAGATCCAAAAGTTAAAAAAAAAATGTCATTTGTCTTTTTACCTCTTGAAAAAGTGTTGGTCAAGTTAGTTTCTAAGCATCCAAAACACATACATGTTAAAATGCTTTAACTTTGATTCTATTCAAAGGTCCTGTTTCATGTTGAGTTTGTAGTTTTGACTCACTGATAGTTGTGTAGGTGACATTGTTGGCCTCCCCTGCTTCCAGGAACATGTTGTAGGATGAAACCCCAATAGTGTATGTTGTACATGGCTCCAAGTTTGAGATGTCCGCAGTAGTACTGGTGACGTTCTTTAAAGCAGGAACTGGCATATTATTGGAGGACATTGACACCTGGTAGAGCAGGACTCCTGAGACGGCTTGCCATGTTACTCGAGCCGTGGTTCGGGTTAATCCAGTCACATTCACGCCATCTGGTGGCTGCACCACTTTGGAGCAAGTTATGCAAATAGTCAATACTTGTTGGTTATAGAATGATAAGACTGACTAATTGAAAAACAAAACAAGGAGACTTACATGTTCTTATGGTTTTAACAAGGCTCTTGGCTCCGATGCCTGCAGCATTAGCGGAGTAAACATAACAGTTGTATGAAGTGGATCGCTGGAGGTTGCCTATCTGTCCATTTAGCTTGGTAAATGTGAGGTTGTAAAACTCATTGGGTCCCTCCACAATCAAAATATACTTATCAGCTCCTTGCGCACTGGACCACTCGAATTTGATTGAGGTGCTTGATATTGCTTTTAAGTATGTGATTTGAGAGGTGGCGGGAACTGCATTGAAGAAAGGTGTACAGTTTAGCTAGAACATGACACAAGTGTTGAAGTTACTGTAAAGATACATTGATGCAATACTTACTTGTCTGTGCTATCTGTGAATTGATGCATATCATGTAACTGAACACGTACACTCTAAAAATCACTTGATAAATTTGTCCTGGTCTTAAGCCTTGGACCAGTTTCTCCACTGTGGTCGAAGCGAGTGGTGGGACAGAAATGGGTGCTACGATTGATGAATTCACAGGTCTGAGTTCCAGATTGTAGCTTGTTGCTCCTGGAAAAGTGCTCCATTTTACGTAGAGAGACGACGCAGTAGGTGATGATGTCGATGTTATGTTACAGTCTGGAGGAGACATAAAACCCCAGTTTATAATTCAGTTCATACATTTATATAAAACTATGATTAAAGGTAAGATATTAATAATGAGGCAGTTCCTAGACTCTCTGGATTGACAATTTGCTTTGCATTTTATTAAAAATCTAAATAATTAATTACTAGGCATTTTTGGCAAACAACAGATGAAATGTTTCTTTACAATTTTGAATAAAAAATATTTACAGCATACAATGACTATAATAAAAAAAGAAAAATGCCATGTTTTTAGATGTGTATATTCACAATGCTACTGATTTAATAGGGTCATTAACTGGAGGTCCACTTGTGATGTTTGTGTCGTTTGTACTTTAAAAAAAAATCAAAATTAGTAAGTAATAAGCTATTTTCTATTGAAACCCCTTACTGTGGCAGTAAGTCATAAATTGTGAGTCATAAAGTCAGAAATCCAAGTTATAAAGTCAGAATTGTTATAAAGTCAGAATTTAGAGGTAGGCTATAAAGTCGTAATTCCGAGTTATAAAGTCGCAACTCTGGTTATGAATTCAGAAATACGATTATTATTAAAGTCAGAATTCTGGATTATTTTAAAGTCAGATTTCCATCCCCCATTGCAAAATTCCTCTGGCCTAGATTTGGCCCACACCATCGGCTTTTGCTTGGCCCACAAGCCGCAGTGAATTACGGTACATGACTGGACCAAGTCTGGCTTCCATACAAGAGGCAAACGTGGACCATATCTGGGCCAATTCTCAGCCAAGTTAATAACCCATAACTACGCCAAATATGTTGGTGTGTCGTGACTGCAATGTTTTTATAAACATTTGAAGCAGTTCGCTTTATGGCTGTGCTTTTTCTTAAAGCAGCCTGATTGATAGAATTTTTTCTTTACTCAAAAATAATTCAAATGTATTTTAAAAGTGGGTAGATAGACCAAACTTATGTGGCCCACATATACATTTTAACGTTTGGGCCAAATACTTCATTTGATATCTGGCCCAAGTCTTGAGAGCCACCTGTAAGATGGTGCCACCTCAGCCAAACCTGGGCCATGTTTGGCTCACGTGCTTTTTGCCAGTGCCGAACGAATGCCTGCTGTGCCAGCTTTATGCCAAATCTGGGCCAGAATTCTTTGCTACCTAGGATGTTATAAAGTCACATTTCTGAGTTATAAAGTCAGAATTCAGTGTTATAAAGTCAGAATTTCAAGTTATAAAGTCAGGATTCAGAGTTATATAGTCTGAATTGCGAGTTATAAAGTCAGAATTTTGAGTTATAAAGTCCGAGTTGCGAGTTATTAAGTCAGGATTTTGAGTTATAAAGTCCCAATTCTGAGTTATAAAGTCAGGATTTTGAGTTATAAAGTCAGGATTTTGAGTTATAAAGTCAGGATTTTGAGTTATAAAGTCAGAGTACAGAGTTTCCATAATTTTCTACCCTAGTTTTAAGGCTGATTTTAAAATAGTTCAGTTTTTATGGTTGGCCACATTGAAGGCTCGGAAGTAAAAGCTCTCAGCGATGAATGGATAATGATGACTCCCCCCTCAGTTCACATGGTGGGGACTATTCTTTAGTAGCTAATTCATACAAAATCATGACTTGTCTGATTTTTAAAAGAAGGCGTGGCTCCAAATCTCACCCCTAAACCCACCATCATCCTAAATTGTACGAATGAGATCATACAAATTCATACGAATTAGCCAATAAATCAAACATGTACTAATTGATGTGAGATAGCATTGGAATTGGAGTGATTCTTTTCAAATATGTTTAAGTCTGATCCTAAATTTCTAAATGATTACGCAACTACACCTAAAATACCAAGGATGCTCCACACTGCAAAAAAAATAATAATAATTTAAGGCAACAAACTTGAGGACGTGTTTTGAGTTGACTCAACGTTCAACCCAATTACTTCATTTGACTTGATTTAAGTAAATGAGTAACAGTTTAGGTATAAATTAACTTTACATAACTCGTGAAATCCTTGGCATCAATGTCCAGTTAGAAATTTGAAGTTTTTAGCGATTTGGTTTTAGCTGCGTTTTCAAGTTTTCAGTTGACAGAGTGTGTGTGTGCATGAGTCTCCAGAAAGCTTAAAGACCTCTTTAAACTACTCGAAATAGGCTATTCGTAATTTTTGGCCGTACCAGTACATATTTACACAATCTATAAATTGTTAAAATATTTGTGTATAGAATGAGCTTTAACAAAACTATAATAAAGAAAACGCAAAACTGTTATTTTTTCCCCTGACTCCTCGAATTGATGGAGCAGACATTATAAACCAAAAACAAAAACTTTGTGCATTAATGAAGTGTGCATCACACAGGTGAGTGGGTTTGACAAACTACCTGTAGAAACAAACTCTCACTAGCAAAAAAAATAAAATAAGCTTCCCTCTTCTGACTGTAGCATTTAATTCTCTGAGCACAAACATTTGCTTTGTTTATTTAGCACTACTTGTGTGTATTGCCTCTTCTTGTTAAATAACTGAATGCCTCCTTAATTGTAAGTCGCTTTGGACAAAACTGTTTACTAAACATAAATGTTTAAATTATTTGTTGATGTGGTTATTTCTCTGAGCATTATTTGATATTTTAAATATTTCTGTAGGACTTTTCATTGTGTTCATTATATTATTAATTGTATTGTTCTTCTCACAGGAATGATAAATGATATGTACAGGGCTGGGCGATTCATCAAAAAGTAATCAAAATCGACATTCAGAAAATCAATCTAATTTTTCCAGGACGATTTTTTCATTTACTTTCCCTACATGTCACATGACCCCGTTCTGTTTAACTCTATTCAGTTCACATTTAGTTCTATAGCGCTTTTACAATGTAGATTGTGTCAAAGCAGCTTCATATAGATGATTATAGTGATTTGAAACCGTGTCAGTTCAGATTTCAGAGTTCAAGTTCAGTTTAGCTCCGTTCAGTGTGGTTTAATAATCACTGCTGTGTGCCCAAACACTGAAGAGCAAATCCATCGATGCGCAGCCCTACAGGTCCCGAACCATGCAAGCCAGTCGCGACAGCGCCAAAGAAAAAAACTCACTAATTGGCAAAAGTGAAGGATAAAAAACCTAGAGAGAAACCAAGCTCAGTTGGGCACGACCATTTCTCATATGGCTAAACGTCTTGTGCAGAGCTGCAGTCTAGGCGCCGGAGCCTCTGGCTGAGTTCTACCTCTGCGAATCTTATCTGAATCTGATCTCTGGTCAAGTTAGACAATGGACCTATTCTTGGGCCTTACTTTGCACTACATTGACGATTATTGGAAGCTGCACCAGAGATGCCTTTAGATGACATATAACCATAAATAAATAAATAAATGAATGAATATATCAAGAAATAAATGATTAAATAAATGAATAAAAAATAAATAAATAAATAAATAAATGAATTAATTAATCAATGAATAAATAAATAAATACATGAATAAATAAATAAATAAATAAATAAATAAATAAATAAATAAATTACTTATTCATTAATCAAAATCATAAGTAAAAATGTTTAATTAATCGTGATTTTGATTTTAGGCTAAATCGCCCAGCCCTATTTAGACTGATGCTATTTGCATAATTGCTGGGTTGGATAATTTAAATCGGTCAAAGAAGGTCATTGAGTTTGATTTTAATCTATTCCAATGTTTAATTACAATCTTAATGACAATAACAAATTGGACAAACAAGTGCTGGTAAAGTTCAAGGGTGGAAAATCATAACTGAAATGACCATCTCCAAGATATTTTGTTCATACTCTAGCCTTATTATATTTTGTATAAGCACAGGTTGTGGTTCAGTGTTTTCCACCAACACTTTAAACAAAAATGGTATTAAACTGAAATATTGATCTGCATTTTGTGCTGACGAACAGAAAAAGTGATGCACAGTTCATCTGTTCTCTTCAAAAAGGAATAAAAGCATAATCTATATATTCATCCTGTGGGTTTATAATTAATAATGAAGGAATGAAAACTTAAATTATTAAATGTTCATCATTTTAAAATTATAGATAAATAGATAGATAGATAGATAGATAGATAGATAGATAGATAGATAGATAGATAGATAGATAGATAGATAGTTAGATAGATAGATAGATAGATAGATAGATAGATAGATAGATAGATAGATAGATAGATAGATAGATAGATAGATAGATAGATAGATAGATAGATAGATAGATAGATAATAAATAAATAAATAAATAAATAAATAAATAAATAAATAAATAAATAAATAAATAAATACAAATAAATTATGGATTATAACTGATATGGAAATAATTTTTGCAATCTTGTCAGTCACTACGCATGCAGCAACAATGTTCATTTTTTAATATAAACATAAAGTACAGATTATATAATATTTATATAAAGGTATAAAATCCTTACCTGCAACAGCTTCTTTTACCTTAGAACAAAGGAAAAACACAGAGGATGATATAAACATAAAACCTTCAACATACAATAATGACTTATCAACCTTTAACTGATCATATTGTTTACTTCACAGATGAATTAATTACCTGGGTCAGTGAAAACAGCATTACGAAGAAACACAATGTCCTTGGAAGGTGCATCTTTGATTTGATGTGTAAGGTGCTAATTAGTTAGAGGTGAGTTAAGGTACATTCACATACTAATACGGAGAGAAATATGAAATCTTTTGTGGGATGTTGCAGGTATACCTGATCCGTGAGAGCCAATCAGTACATTCAAACAAAAAAAGAGGACAAATGCATGCCTCTGGGTGGAAAGACATCATCCAGGATTCATTGTATGTGTGTGTGTGCGTGTTTTAACAGGGTGACTGTTTAAGGGTTATTTTTAGACTAGTTAAGGTTACAAACTTTGACTCTAACTGATTTCTCTTAATCATGACTTGCCTTATAATTACTTTATTTGAAAAAATATATTATGGACTTAAATGAAGAATATGTTTGTGTTTTAGGATTGTTTTTCACTAGGAAACTGTATAGGTTGTTAGTCATTGGGTTTCAGGAAAGCAAGCTTAACAAATAAAGAAGAGAGTGTAATTCCCATCCTTGTGTTTGCCTGCCTGGAGCATTTTAGAGCTGAAAGAGCAAGAAAGGTTCAGTTTCTGGTTATCAAACGCAGATGTTCTTCCTCTTATTACACCTAAATTAAAAATTGTGTATTGTTATGACCATGTTGAACTTGTGACTGTGTTGGTCTTTTGCATTTGTCCTTTCTGTGTATGTCAAGAAAAAAGACTAATTACATTTATTTAATTGAAATATTTGCCTCAGTTGAAGCTGAACTGAACTAGCTGTTCTGGATTAGTGACTAGCTGTTCACAGGGATTTGATTACTGTGATGTTATCCATTTACAGCTCAATGAATTTACAATGTTAACCGGAAATAGAACTGGGCAATTAATTGAAATTAAATAGCAAACACGACTGAGCAAAGCTACGATTTCATGCACATGTTGTCAGGGAAGAGTCTTTGGCAAAGAGTTAGAATTGTTATAAAGACTTATAAACTACTTATATTGATTTAGCATGACTAATAATCACACTACTATAAAATAATCTCACAAGAGGATTTATTTCAAACAATTGACTGAAGTTATAAAGTGAGCGTGGAGTAAAACCATGTTATCCACACAAACTACACAGAGATAGAGGTTATTAAGAAAGCTACACAAACAGCTTCGATTTTTAACGTTTTGGTAATCTTCAATCAAAGTCTGACCATTTTTTTTTTCTTTACTTTGAAATTTGCTCCTCGCCGCTGTCACCACTGCCTTGTTTGGTTTGGACTTGTGTAGCTGTGCATCGATGGATTTGCCTTTTTAGTGTTTGGACTTTCTAGTGAAATTTAAACCACACTGAACTGAACTGAACTAAACTTCAACTCAGAAAATTGGACTGACACAGTTTCAATTTACTACACTCTTCTATGTTAAGCTGCTTGACACAATCTACAATTGTAAAAGCGCTATAGAAATAAAGGTGAATTGAATTTAACTAAATTTGCTTCTGCGTTTGGAGGAGTTCTCTGTTAACTCTCTGTTCTCTGTTTATGTCAGTTTGATGACTTCAACCACAATATTCTTAATCTCACCCCTCTTATATTGTTAGTTTGCTGAGCGAATGATGCACTAAAAGAAAGCCCTGTCCCCTACTCAATTTACTCTTTTAGTTTGAAGTAAATACTGAAATAAAAGACTCGGCAACTTCCAGTTCAATCTGACTTTAATAAAACACAATAGGCTACTGTAAGGGATAGGTTTGAGGCTGGGGTATTAGTGTAGATAATAATAAAACACAATAGGTTGGACAATCAAAAGACTGAGAAGGTTTGTACAGCCCAATTGGAGCACAAGTGCCACCAGTTCTAGCTGACTCTGACCTTTGTTTATACCTAACTTCATGCTAAAGGTTTACTAGTAACTGCTACACTGACAAAATGTGCATGAAGATTGCTCTAGATAATAATGCCCAGCGCTAACTGGAATGTAGTCAAGACTATAAATGGTACACTTTAAACAAATTGCCCTATAACTGGTTTTTGACTCGTACGTTTTACAAACAACTAAAAATAAATGGCAAGTAATAAATTGGATTAAACATGACATTTGTAAACAGAACTCTAACAGTACTTTCATTCATTATTCATAACTTTTGATTTTTTTTACACCAGTTTGTAACACTTTAACAGTCATTGTAACTTCCCGATTGACTTTTTGTGAATAGGTTATCAATAAAACAAGAAACTCACAATTTGATGTCAGGAAAACAATTTAGCCATTTTTTTCTCTTTTTTAATACTAAAATGTAGAACCTTTTCAGCTTATTGAGAGAGTTTTGTTTCTTAGGTTTTGTTATTTGTTCTTTTATCTATATTTATATAATTCAATTTTTTGACCAGTTGTCCTTTTCTTTGGAAACAATGATCTTAATTAAAATATTTTATTTGAAATGTACAATAAATATTCCAAGATCTATACAGAATAATAAAAATACTAATAAATGACACAAATTTTCCATAGTTGCCTATTGGCCAATCGTCATCTTGGTTTGTCCTTACACATGGCGTGAGTGATAGCAGAACATGAAGGAAGAGGAGAGAAGTGATCGAGTTTTATGGTTGATTGATGAATTAATAATGTTTTGTTATTTTATCGAGGGTGACCAATGACCAGAGAGTTCAACTGGATCTGAATTCAGGGAAATGCACGAAAGCATCACAGTCTTAGAAAGGAGATCACAGTTATGTATGAATCAAGATTGTGATTTTATTTATTTATTTATTTTTTCATTAATTGAAATTTTATCATGACTCCTAATGAAAGGTGTAGCAGGATCAAAGTAATATAGAGTATACACAAAGTAAAAAAAATGAATACTAAATTTTCAGCTTTAACCTCATCCATCTCATTTTCTTATTGGTTCATTTCCATGTTCTCATTGTCTTTCAGAACAAGCCTTATTTATCAAAACCGGAATATTCAAGTTTTCAGGTGTGTTGCGTTTAAGTTTGATGGATGGTGTGTTTCCTTAAATTCATTAAGAGAAGCAGTTTAAAGCAATAGTTCGCCAAAATTTTAAAATGCACTTACGCTCAGAACATTTTTGGTGTATAGGCCATTATAGTTGGGTCATGAATATTTTTTATTGAATTATTCATTTTTATACAAATTATTTTTCAGTGAAACAAACTAAATTTTTGTCATTAAAGTTTCTCAATCAAAGTGTCAATACTCAATATTTTATATTTCAAACAACTATAATAGCATCATTAATATTTAATTATATTTCATGACATTTTAATAACAAATTCAATTTGTACCACTAGAAGAGGTCAAGAAAAATATTAATGGCGGGCATCACAGTGGCGCAGTGGGTAGCACAATCGCCTCACAGCAAGAAGGTCACTGGTTTAAGTCCCGGCTGGGTCAGTTAGTGTTTCTGTGTGGAGTTTGCATGTTCTCCCTGTATTCGCGTGTGTTTCCTCTTGGTGCTAAATTGTCCATTGTGTATTTGTGTTAATAAGTGTTTATGGATGTTTCCCAGTGAGGGTTGCAGCTGGAAGGGCATGCGCTGCATAAAACATGTGCTGGATAAACTGATGGTTCATTCCACTGTGGTGTCTCCAGATTAATAAAGGGACTAAGCCAAGAAGAAAATGACTGAATTATAACGGCCTTATGACAATCATGTTTATGACAGATTTATGACAAGTTCTGTTGTTTTAACATAATAAGTTGTCATAACAAAGACAAAGACTGGTTAGGTATTTATTTATGTCAAGTCTTTATAAAACAGACATCTCAAACAACGTCCCCTTCACATTTAAAATGACATCTGAGCGAATGACACTTAATGAATTGTCATAAGTGTGCATAAAACCTCATTTATATTCATGACATGTCATGTTGTGATTATAAAGTTTACATGACAGCCTTATGAACATCCCCTTTAAGTAAAGTTACCACTAATGCACTAAAAAAATCTTACTGCCCTATTTTTTTTAGTCAAATCAAATGATCTTTTCTAGTCATCTCAACTTACATTAGTCATACTCGTAAACCCGGTACCGGGTCCGTGATGTCATCGACTTTCGCTTTAAGATTTAAAGGGCTAGCTTTGCACCAGACCCCCATAAGTGGTTTCGTTTGAAAATGTAGAATCTATATTTCATGCACATATGCATCACCTTGGTTTTATACTTAAATACACAGTATTTTGGATACCCGTGCTGGGTATTTTACATTGGTTCATTTTCATATTTTTCATATGACACATGTACAAGTTATAGCTCAAATGAAAGCTCTTGCCGGTGCTCATACCGTTAGCATTCTTTTTACTGAATTATATTCACATCTCAAACAGTTGCCAAATGAATCGCAGTGTTTCCATGGCGCAGAAATGAAAACAATACATTTATGATCACTAAGCAGCCTCAGATAGCACAGACAGCTCTCATCTCTTACCTTATGCTGTGTGCTTCAGGGCCATCTCTCCTCTGTTTTTGAGGTGATGTGCGTAAGTAATCCTTTTATATGTCTGATGTGGTCCTAACACAGTGAATTTTGTTTGATCAAATTAAAGAATAGTGAAATATGGAAACAATGATCGGTCTTGATATGGCTTGTATAGCACCTCTCATCAGTTGGAATACAATAACTTTTGCATAGATTATGGAGACATTTTTCTTTTTTTCTATGATTACAGACATGTGCAGGAACCACCAAAATTAATTACAGCACACTACTAGACCACGCAGAACCTAAAAGGTACACTTTCAAATTTGAGTTCATAAAAAAAAATACAAAAAACGCCACTTTTTTTAAAGGTATTTATTATAACACAGACAACATATACAGTTATTTTAAACACTTTCAATAGTGTTTTATGAAAATTCAAAGTTTTTTTTTTAAATGATATTAAATTGTTGCATTTACACCTTAGTATGTGAATTTGGGAAGCTTTTAAATTTGGGCAGGCAAAATCCAGGCGGAAATCCCAAAATAACAGCAGAGTATAACTGGTATAACTTTTTAGAAAAAAAGTTGTTAAAAACCTGATGAACTTATTAAATTAAGTTAAAGTAACATAAAAGCTTTTGTTGTAATGACTTGAAAAAAATGTAATTAAATGTTTATTTT